TTTATTAGCAGTTCGTGTAGTCCATGTTGAAACGAAGTGCACTAGACCCCAATTGTTCGATACGTGAGTGACCATGGCTGGCGAGTGGGGAAATCAATCCACATATTGGATCAAGGTGATGGAAATATGCAAGTGGTGGTAGGTTGATTTCATCATGGAAGATGATGAGTATTTTTGTCATTAGTGGCTCCTACATGATGTTGGCGTCAGGGGATGTGGGAGGATGTGGAGAGGCTGTGTATGCATCGACAGCTGATCACCTCAAAGGCTAGCTAGCAGCCACGGTTAATGCATTGAGATGTCGAATGTGGTGTTCTCTTGTGGGCCGATACCAATAATTGGGTGTCATATTACTAGTAGACAGTAATGGCTATTCCTGATTTTTTACGTCAGCCAGCTTCAATCAAATGGGTTGGGCTTCTATCAATTCTTTAGTCTCTTGTGAAATCAGTTCCCAGTTGTTGGCTGAGCAATGTGGAGGAGGCGTTCAACGTTGGGGTCTCACGTTAATTCCAGAAATTAGCAAATCAGCATGAATTGGTTGGGTCCCAGTTCTCGACCATATCTAATTTAATACCACGGAAGTAACCGGCTTTCAACCGATTTACCAAATGCAACAAGCCATACAGTCTAAGATGAGATGAGATCGGGTTTTGGCAGCAAAGATGGTGTGTGAGTTGTGCATTGATAGTAATATCCAAGCAATTATAGTATAGATAGAAGCTATCTTACGGTTGCTCTCCCCGTTGAGGCTTTCTAGGCTTCGAAGCGTGCCTACTGTCTACTGGAGTAGCCAAGTTCACAACAGGGGACTAATCTGATAGATAGAAGCTAGTTTAAAGCCCTGCCGCCCTGTGGCTTTAGACCTGGAGCCTGGGCATAAGTTCTTCATGGGTCAATATCTTTGAGGTGGCTTGAGGGCAAGGATCAGTAAGGGACATGGATATTACTCTGAAGGAAAAGAGCCAAGTCAGGAACGGCATGGACAATCGGTCGTGATCGACAAGGGTTTTTTCTGTGGGTGGTGGGTGGGGCATAGATAGATCTTGGTAGCAAGCCCGCACTGCAACTTGGCTGTTCAACTATTTCAGGGAGTCAGATACGTCTTGTGCACGTCATGGTTCCTCGTTCAGTCAATGCATGTTTCGGAAAAGGGTTTATGGTCATGGCTCAATATTAATTGCTCTTCTTGTTGGAGATGGCCCACGTCGATATCCCTGCGTGCTCTTGAGCCTCTCAGCACTTGCGAAAGGTTATTTTCTATCTCCGGACTTGATGGCCGTTGCCCTTTGATCTCTGTTCGCAATGCTGACGGGATGCTCTGGACCAAAAGTAGATCCGCCGCACCAAACAAAAATTACGTGACAGGAGTGCCCAGGACCGGCACGAGCCCTTAGGCCCTTAGGCCCTTAGGCCCACGTTGGCGAAGTGCTTGCCCTGATTCATACCTATTATACGTAAGTACCTACCTACTAAGCGTCAGTGGAGGTGAAACCCCGCCGTTTGATTGATTCCCCGTCTGGTCCAACGTTCGTTCAAATTTACATCTGCCGCCAAAGTCGGCTTAAATCGCCGCCGGCAGCTGTCAAAATACTATCCGCGTCATGCAACACGGGATTATTATCTAAATAGTTTCTTGGTAAAAAGCTCACAGATCAGCATGTTCTTATCAATGATCCCTGGTTAATGGAAAGCGGTTTGTTGGTGATTCCTCACCCTCGAGCATGAGACGGGGGGGAAGGTTGATCAACAAACCCCCTGCTTTGAAGCATTGTTAGCATTGGCTGGTTGCTCCATGCTGCAGCGAGCTGCATCATAGCCCCCTGTCATTGCAACGACTGTCATGGATCACCAAGGTAGGTGGGCTTTGTGGACACTGCAGGCAGTTTGATTTTGGAGGACTCTATTTAATTGGGCACAGCGCAAAACAATAGATTAGGTATGAAGTTGCATATATCGACTGAAAGTGGGAAATTCGATTGAAAAAGATTTCATCTATCTAAGATTTATCGTTCACGTAGACGATATTCCTTCGTCTACCGGAGTAAACCACGGCAGGTCCGGAGCAAAGTGCCTGAAGATCGTCCTCTTGCCGCATAAGTTACCCTATGCAATGGCAGGTTGAGAAAGATGAGACGCTAGGCCAGACAAGCATCAAGTTATGAAATTTCGCCAAGAGTCGTCCTGATCGACCTCTTGGTCAAGTGGGCATGCACCCTAGTCCCCTCCAATACTCCGGTGAACTGGCTAGACTGGTCCCATCCCATCTTGTCTCCAAAAAAGAAACGGCAACGCACTTGGGCCATGGAAATGGGCGCTCACTAATTTAGGGCCCTGCGGGCTGAGCCAGGCTCCTAGGTCCCCCGAGCTCCAAGCTCCAGGCTCTACACTCCAACAGCCAGTATCCAGCACTAACACCAGCCGTGGCGCTTTTTCAAGCCAAGCCAAGCCAAAACCCTGGGTCCCCAGTCTTGAGTCTCAGTCGTAGCTGCCTTAGTCTGAACTGGGTAGACAAAGTGCCTCGGCCGGCCTTTACTCTCCACTTTGGATCTCTCATCTCATACCTCACCATCCACCACTCACCACCTCCTGGCACGCCCACCATCGTCCGCAGCTAATACCTCATCTTGAACTTGGGACACAACAACAGAAATAGCCACTGTTACAGATTGAACGGGCTTCCATCCACTCGGCACTTACCGGAGACTGTGGGTTCTTCAGAGGGCACGGCTGCACGGCTGCACGGCTGCACGGCTATTCGGGTACGGTGTACCTCACTTCTCAGTTGGTTCCCTCTTGATCTATCCAGGTCCTGGCTGTCCCCTCTTTCTCCATCAATGCCTTCCAAGCAGCTGGCTCAGTGACCGTCCGGCTGGATACCTGATGACATCGGCCGTTTGTGCTAAATCCTGAATCACTCCCTAGTCATTCTCAATTGTCAGCCTTCCTTCCACCTCGAATTCCAATTCCACCTTGATCAAGTAACGGTCCATTTAGAGGTATCCCCCTTGCCTAGACGCCTCTAAACTCGACGCCATCAACTGGATTAGACTCGACGGCTTTTAACCCCCTGTCCCCGCCTGGCTCTCAACGTCCTGGAACCTGCGGTGCAGTGTGCCTCTAGCTTCATGAGGGACAGAGTAGACTAGTGCGTACCAGAAACCCCCTCCCTCCTACTCTACTTCCAGCACGATACGTGCTCTAACCTGGACTAGGTTGGTCTTTCGTGGTGCGCTAGTAGAAAGACACCCCCAATGACTACATGCGATGGGGCGGACAGAAAAGATAGCCCCTACACAATTCCACCAGGCGCTCAACCCAAGCCAAAGACAAAGACAATGCGAGGTGCTGTTTCCGTATTAAGTACGGGTATAAAACAAAACGCAGAGATTAGCAGCTTGTAACTGCACTAAGAATGGATCGTGGCCCGCACTACACCACCACCTCGGATCATTATTCAACTTGGACTCAGTTCGTTCATGCCAGGCCACCATGCTTCGAGTCTCGGAAACTATTTGTGATTCCTGGCCCACAAAGCCAGCTACTGCTCGCCGCCATCGATAAACAAGAGAACCCAGTGAAAGAATGATGATACCGTGCTGTACCCTCAGGCCTCAACTACACCTCGTCTCTTCTCTGTCTGTTCGCTGGTGTTAGTGCCAGCCCTGTTCTCCATTTTCCCTTACCTCGCCCGTCATCCCCTGACCCTTGATGCATCTTTTCATCTCCCTCGTCCATCAGTCTCCCTCCACTCCCTCTCTATCCACTCGTTGCTCTTTTCCGCACTCCATTTCCCGTCCTTTCTCAATCCCTCACCCTACGCTCTCCCCCGTTACTCGCTGCCGGATGGGTCCCACTGAAGCCCGCTGTTGCAGTACAGGGATCCCTTGACCTTCTCTGATCTCCTGCGTGGTTCCTTGCCGGCCCTGGCCCTGGCCCTGGCCCCCGGCGTATGTATACCATGCTCGCTCGCTCGCTGCACGCCTATAAACTAAGTCAGATTTGCGACGGCCCATCCTGCGAGCTTGGTAGTTCATCCTGATATTTAGCATCTGCTTGGTCCTGGCTACTCTATTCTACACTGCTCGACAAGTCCCTGAACACTCCTGATATCCAGAACCCTTATCCAGCGGACTAGATATAAGCCCAGAGCCCAGTGGCCTTTGTATGAACGTCCAGTTTTGTCTTGCTTGTCTTGCTTGCCAGGGACTCCATCGACCGTCTGTCTACCTGACTCAAATCACCTCAACTAGACGTAAAATAGTCTGATTTTACGACTCAACACTTGTATCATTTCGGGGGACCAGTCATACTGTCACGTCTTTCTCGCTCCAAACCCAATCAACTTTCGCTATAACCTTCTACATTTCCCTTTCCCCTTACTTATTATATTATCCCTCAAAAGCCACTACTGCAGCATAAAGATCACTCTTTTTGCGGCTTGTCCAAGTTTCCCCAGCCCAGCCAATTTTCTTCCCGATCCACTGGGCAAACCCACCTACCTAGGTACCGCCTGCATTAACACGACACCCGCCTTATTAAGACGTTTAAACACTCAGCTCCCACACAGTTCTGGTCCTCAGCTTCATCTGTCCCAGGACATCCCGCACTCGATCACTCGTCGCTGTCGCAAATATATATAATTATATATACAAAACGCCAGGCACCTTCTGCACATCGCCAATACTATAGATATTCTCGATTGTCAGACCAGAGCCCTTACAAGGCATCTTGTAATCGCTGGTTAATCTTTGACTGGATCTCACCGCCGCCTATTATACCCTAATTGCAGGCTCATTTCGACCGTCAAATCGTCGCTCCTTTTCCAGCAAACCTGAATCTTGTGCACTGCATCGGATCTGCAACGATTTACCAGCGAGCATTTGGAATTATTATGCTTTGAGAAGTCGACACTTGTCTAACTACGATTTCCGTCTCATCTTCTGCACCATCATACACACATTGCCTTCGTGGCACATCGAAACTTAGCAAATACAACCATGGAACTGATGGAATTGGTAGAGAACGAGCCTACGGCTCGTCCCTTCCAATGCGACTGGCAGTCTTGCACAAAGGTTAGTCTTCGAAACAACCCTGTGCCCACTTCGTCACTCTAACATCTGCCATAGAGCTTTAATCGCAAATCTGATTTACAGAGACATTATCGTATACATACAAATGAACGACCATACGCTTGCTCTATCCCTGGTTGTGGGAAGAGCTTCATCCAAAGGAGCGCCTTGACAGTTCATATCCGGACACATACTGGAGAGAAACCCCACCAGTGCCAGCATATCGGCTGCGGAAAGCGATTCTCGGATGTAAGTGCAGAATGGATCAACGACCGGCATAGAACTGACCCGAAAATATAGTCATCGAGTCTTGCAAGACATCGACGTATTCACACCGGGAAGCGTCCGTACAAATGCGCCCATGATGGCTGCTCCAAAAGGCAGGTCTCGGAAGTCTCATTCAGCCCATCGCCTACTAACATGAGACCCAGCTTTTGCAGAAAAACCACCATGGTTAAGCATCAACGGAGGTCGCACCAGCAAGGAATGAACCCCAACGACATCGATGACTGCTCCTCAGACTCAGACTCAGACGAGTCTCCGTCCACGCCTCAGCACTCCTCGATGACTTGGTCGCCGCATGATATGGTTCATATGAACCATGTACCCCCAAACGGCTCGTTGCACCGAGCATCCTCTTATGCCGACTTCGAATCCCAGGTTCACAACCACCACCATATGCCGCAAGGCTACGGTCCCAGGCAAGGGATCCCCGCCAGCGTTCCTCACGAGTACCGTGGTTCTCCCGTCCCTGAGCAACACCCACACGTTCAACTCGTTCATCGAGCCTCGACAATGCCACGTCAAGCATACTATGTCACCGAGCAAGGAAACCCAGGGGTCGCTACGATGATAAACGCTGTTCCACCGCATTACCAACTATCCCAGCAAGTGCAACGCCCTGCTATAGAACTGCCATACTCTACATCGGGAATTGCGACGTCGATTCAAAGCAGCCCCAGCACCTTTTCTGTCACCTCCGTCCCGAGCCCCATGGTTCCGGAGGGTTTCTACGGACACCAACCGGGAAGCCAGCCAGCATACTCAGCAGCCGAATCCCAACCCGCTATGATCCAATACCACCAGCCTGTTCAGCACCATATGGCTCAGCCTCATCAGCCAGTGGTCTCTCAAGCGCAGCATATTCCTGCCACGACCGAACACTACCCTCCACCACCGGTCCACTCACAACAAGAGCATTGGCCACACTACGACCCACCGATTGAAGTTACAACTATCGGTCAGCTTCCAGCATACGGAACTGGAGTATACGATATGTATGGACCCAAGATTGAGTTCGATGACCCTTCGCTGCAACTACCAAGCAGCAGACTGGCGAGCATGTGATCCTTCGCAGTCTATGTTTTACGAATATCATATTCAATATGTTAAGATATCCTTTTCTCCACGATAATCACCTGTACCACCACGATCATACCAAGCAAGGCTGGACCACGCAACGATCTCTGTTTGATGAACCTAATTTTCATTCTTAAAGAGAATATACCCACTGGAATACTTTTGGAGGAGATAATAGGCTGCTTTGTTTCATTGAGCAGTGTCTATAGGCATTTCTCTAGAACGCATGAAAGATGTCGCATTCGATATTGAGCAAAAAACATCATTGGGCGTTTTATCTGGTCTCCTTTCCCTGGCGGAAGTTTTTAAAACGTTTGTTTTCTTGTGACTACCTATTGTTAGATTCACTGGCGTCGCATCAATTCACCTTGTCATTCAGCTGTTATGTTGATTTCTTCTAATGGCAACTTTTCGTTTTTGGGTTTTCCCTCTTCTACCGTTAATACTTGGTTTCCCTTTTCTTTCTCCGCTTCAAACATTCTCACTTTATACCCTACGAGAGCAGCATGGTTAATGTCAGATTGGGCGGGATATTTGCCAGGGGGAAGATTCACCATAGTGGCAATGCTTTGGATTGTTGAGTTTGAGTACTCCGTAGTTGTCGCAGAATTGAACGTACAGATGGTTCTGTAAGACGATAAAAGGGGCAATGGAAGTACACGAGTCCACCCTAATGAACATAAGAATATCCGGAGTTTTAAAAATGAAGCTCTATACCTACATATAATAAATGTACAAGAATTCCTAATACTTGAAACATGGTTCTTCGTGTCTTGCCCACAATGATACGCTATATAACATTGGCCGATCGCACTGAGAACCCTTGCTAACTTCTAGGTACAATACTCACTTCAGTACTTTACCTATTCAAGAACGAGCAGAACTAGTCGTCGGTGTAGGTACAGCACCTAAAGAGGTACTTGGCCTCTATGTGCTTTCTTGGTATGGTCAGTTAATATTGATCTCATTCAACTACCGGGACCGGGAGGCGGAAGATCCAACGACCGAAGAGGGATGACTCAGCAATTTCCCGAAAGGGAAAGGACGCTTCTTGTGATGCCGAAGTGCGGACTCAGAGTGGCAAGCTATCCGAACCCCCCCCATTGATCATACCGATGATGCCTGCTCGCGGTTCACTATGAGTGTATCCAGGTAGACACTTTCATTCGTCTCTTTGAGTAGACTTAACATACGACACTCTCGGCTCACGACAAACCGTTCCCGTTCCGAGGACCGTTGAACGTGGCGGGAGGCGCAGACCATCTGCCTACTCGAACGTCATCAGAACACTTTATTATCCTTTCCTCTGATCATCAACCTGAAAATCATCATTGCAAAGGCACTTTTGGTGCATCCACAACCTCATTATGGCTTTTAACGCCATGGTACTGCCAGTATGTTCTTGCGGAGTTCAAAGAATGGCTATTGGGGACAGCGCTGACGAGGCTTCAGAATATGGCAGCGACAACAACGGAATTATGGCCCTCGATTGCGAATACCATGATGTCTCCTTGGAGGCATACAACCTCAATTCCACCACGCTGGTCAGGTTCTTCGAAGGATAAGGCGGGACAGAACGAGGCAGTGGAGTCCCAACAAGTATGTGTGACTGACTGATACTAGAGCTTTAAACTAACATTTGTTACAGATGACTAAACCTCGAATTCCCGAATTCCTTCAACAACTTGACTCGGCTTCTTTCTCTCGCTCACGATTCGCTGCAATGACACCGATGACTGCGCAAACAACTCTGTCTAGTATGGTTCGTGTTGGTCTTCAGGCGGCCAACCCCATTTTGCGACATCCCTACTTCCAACCCCGCGTATCGACATCTTCGTCCTTCATGCGCTCGTTTTCTCGAACTTCTTCCGGTATTCTGTCCTCTTCTCGCAGTATTTCAACTCTCGGTGCATTTTCTGTCCAGCGCAGAGCATTCGGCAGCTCCAATGGCATCTCTCGTAACCAACTGGCAACATTGGAAGAATCCGCCAATCGAAACCCTGGTAATGCGAACGCGCAGAATGCTTTCTATCAACTTCTCCTCCGAGCCAACATGCCTGCTATTCTTGTGGAACGCTATCAATCTGGTCGCTTTGCCACCAGCCCTGCTATCAACGATGCCTACCAACGCGCCCTCGCTCAACTTGGTGCTAGTGCCAATCAAGCTGCGAATGCGCCCGGTGCTATGAACGGAAACTTCGCGCGCAACCAATGGCCAACTTACGAACAAGGCATTGCCAATGCTGCCGTGGCTGGATCTGCGAACGCTGGTAATCCAATGGGCCACAAGGGTGAACCTATCCATGTTATCGTCCAGGAGTCAACTCGATCTACTGTCTTCCGCTGGGTCAAATTCTTGGCGATCTTCATTGTTGTTACCTATCTGTGTTTTGCACTTGTTACGATCGCAATCGAGGCATTCAGTACTTTCCGTCGCGGTGGACCAAACAGCAAGCAAGATTCTGAGGTCAAGGCTGAGAAGCAAACTACTACTTTCAACGATGTCCACGGTTGTGATGAAGCCAAGGAGGAACTTCAGGAAGTCGTCGAGTTTCTGAAGAACCCTGAAAAGTTTAGCGACCTCGGTGCCAAACTTCCCAAGGGTGTCCTCCTGGTTGGTCCTCCTGGTACCGGTAAGACGCTCCTCGCTCGAGCTGTTGCTGGTGAAGCTGGTGTTCCGTTCTTCTACATGTCCGGCAGTGAATTTGACGAGATCTTCGTTGGTGTTGGAGCCAAACGAGTCCGTGAACTCTTTACTGCCGCCAAGAACAAGTCTCCCTCTATTGTCTTCATCGACGAACTTGATGCCATAGGTGGCAAGCGTAACCCTAGAGACCAAGCTCATGCGAAACAGACACTGAACCAGCTGCTTACCGAATTGGACGGTTTTGACCAAGATAGCAAGATCATCATTATTGGAGCTACCAACTTGCCTAAGATGTTGGACAAGGCCCTTACTCGCCCTGGACGTTTCGACCGCCACGTCAATGTTGATTTACCCGATGTCCGTGGCCGAATTGCCATTCTGAAGCACCATGCCAAGAAGATTAAGGTTTCCCCCGATGTCGACCTTGAAGCTGTTGCTGCTCGTTGCCCCGGTCAATCAGGTGCCGAATTGGAGAACATGCTGAATGTTGCCGCTCTTCGAGCCAGCCGAGCCAAGGCCGCCTTCGTCTCAAAGAACGATATGGAATGGGCATACGACCGAGTCACTATGGGTTCTGAGCGAAAGTCAATGGTTATTACAGATAAAGAGAAGGAAATGACGGCTTATCACGAGGCTGGCCATGCGCTTGTTCAACTTTTCGACAAAGAAAGCTCAAACACTTTGTACAAGGTCACAATTCTCCCCAAGGGTCCTTCACTGGGTCACACAGCTCAGCTACCCCAGATGGACAAGTATTCTTACACGGCTGCTGAGTATATGTCAAATATCCGGGTAGCACTAGGAGGCAAGATGGCTGAAGAGCTACGATACGGTAATGACAAGGTGACATCAGGTGTTTCATCGGTAAGTTCGAGCAGAAAGTGTATTCCAATCTTGTGCTAATCCAAAATAGGATCTTGAGAGAGCCACCGATCTAGGCTTCATGATGGTGACCCTCTTCGGCATGTCCAGCGTTCTAGGACCTGTTGAATACGGCCGAAGATACGAAAACCTTAGCTCTGAGACAAAAGCGACAATTGAAGGCGAGGTTCAAAAGACAATACGAAAGTCGTACGAGGATGTGCGAAAGTTGTTGACGGACAAGCGTGGTGAACTGGACCTGCTAGCCAAGGCTCTTGTGAAATACGAGACCCTGGACAAGTCGGAGGTGGAGAAGGTGATTCGCGGCGAAAGTCTTCCTGGACGTGCCGTTGCACCTAAAGGACCTATGAAGATGCCCATTCCTCAGGAATCTCCAACGCCTCCGGGTCTTGGTGGTGTTCCCCACCCTCATCCCCCAGAGACACCAGCACCTCCAGCTGCTGCAGCAGATGCGTCCAACACCGACTGAGGCATTAGGTGACGAATGACAAATCAGGGCTGAGGATGACGCAGAGAAAAGGGGGCCCTACAAGGTTCGCGCCACGTACGAGGTATGTGATGCGTGGGCAAAGTGGGTGACAATCCAAGTCGAGCGCATATTTCTACAGCGAGCATTGCGTGCGGAATTGGAAGGATTGCCCTTTAAGAGACATGGATGAGAATGGGATTTTCCAAGTAAGGGCGGCTGGCATATGTCTGCACTTAGCGATTGATGTCTACATGGGCTTTTATCTGCTAAACAAGTGGTCCTATGGGAGGAACTAGGCTGGGCTGCAGGAGCCGAAAGAAGCCATCATTGCCAACTGGGACGGGATGAGATGAGGTGATGCAGCGAATCTTTTGGCATGGGCCTACACCAAGCGTGTAAATGGATAATCCCTTTCGGTTTTATGTCTCAATTGTAATAATTTATTTTGTACCTGTATTGTATGGATGGTAATGATTGAGATGATGTGGCATTGGTTCGTCCAGTAGTTTAGATGATATGATATCTGCATCCGTATATCAGCATTAGTCCACTCTGAATATTCGAGCGAATGCAAGGCGATGTTGAAGTGCTTTTTACTTATCCGTGACAGTCAGTAACTCTCCGATAACGGAACGAGAACCTTGAGTTAGATACCTACCTTAGACTCCATAACCGTTGTTACAAAAGAGGAGGAAGGCGCGTGGGGGAGAGGAGGGGAATCCCCCAGCTTGAATGACGAATGCCAAATGCGGGTCCAGTTTGTAAAGAGCACCCCCAAAGTTTGTATCCGAGGTATAAGAGGCCATTGGCGTCAAACAGTGAATCTCTGAGCTTTCAAGAATATTTCCATTTCAAAGACATCACTCGAGAAGGGCCGCACTATCCTCATCATGACAAAGGTTCTCCTCACTGGTAAGTTTGGCCAACATCACTATCCGGATAGGCACCGAGTAACTAACAACGTGACTCCAGGTGGCTCAGGCTTCATTGCCGGTATGTCAATGCATTGATATCATGCATCAAAAGAACAATAAAACAAATATCGGTGCTGTGTCTAACTGACATCAACCCAGCTCATACACTCGAGCAGCTCCTCGAAAAGGACTACACTATCGTCACAACCGTCCGCTCAGAGGACAAGGCCAACAAGATCCGCAATGCGTTCCCAGACAAGGTCAAGGATGGCAAGCTAGAGATCGTTATCGTACCGGATATTGCCAAGTCCGATGCTTTTGACGAGGTGGCCAAGACACCTGGTCTCGATGCTGTTGTTCACGTTGCTAGCCCTTTTCACTTCAATATCAGTGAGTAACGATCCCATTTGCATCCTTTTGTGTTATATGGAGATGGCTGGCTGAAACAAACCGGTGTAGGCGACCCCAAGAAGGACCTCATAGATCCAGCGGTCATCGGGACAACTGGTATCCTCAAGGCTCTCCACGCCTCAGCCCCTGGCGTAAAGCGAGTCGTCATTACCTCGTCCTTCGCCTCCGTTCTTGACGAAGCCAAGTTCACCGATGGATCACATGTCTTCTCCGAGAAGACTTGGAACCCCGTCACCATTGACGACATCGGTCGCTCTGACGCAACTGCCTACCGCGCCTCAAAGACGCTCGCTGAGCGTGCAGCTTGGGATTTCGTTGCTGAGAAGAAACCCTCCTTTGACCTTGTGACTGTTTGTCCACCCCTGGTCCTGGGTCCTGTGTCTAAGCATCTAGCTACACTCGAGAGCATCAACACTTCCAATGAACGCATCGTCAAGCTCCTGCAGGGTGGATGGAAAGACGAGATTCCTCCCTGCACACCCGTGCCCCTCTGGATCGACGTCCGGGACGCCGCGCGCGCACACGTCCGCGGCCTTGAGGAGCCCAGTGCTGGCGGAAAGCGGCTCTTTACCACAGCTGGATTGTTTTCGCACCGCGAGATCATCGACGTTGTTGCGAAGAAGTTCCCGGAGTTTAAGGATAAGCTTCCTGGGCCTGAGGTCAAGGGCGGCGAGCTTCCTCCCAAAGACCAAATTTTTGGAATTAACAAGGATGAGACAGACAAACTGGTCAAGATTGACTGGATCAGTATTGAGAAGAGCGTTACGGATCTTGTTGAGTCGCTCAAGGAGATTGGTATCTAGATTAGTGGTGGAAAAGGATTATTGTAGATGTACAAGTTATAGTATGCTACATTTAAGGACTACTAAGCTAAAGTACAAAGTGAAAACGCTAAGCCTAGAATAATACATGTTGTGGATCGTATAGCTCACCATTACCAAGCCTTTATGTACTCATACATACGTCGTATACGATATCTAGCCTTTGCCCTATTGCTATTCCGGAGTTTCTAGACTTCCTTCTCCAAGTACATGGACAGCTAGTTTTCCCAACATTCCACCCCCAAGATTCAGATATAATGAGACCCCTATGTCTCACCGTAGCGCCCGGTCTTTGAACGAGGCGGGCTGTTTGTTGGAGTAGAGGGTCGATAAGGAGGTGTTGATGGAAGTGCCCTTGTCGGTGGTGGTCCCGGGCTGGCGAGCATATTGAATGAGGCATCGTGGGATCGCGGGGGGCGAGTAGGAGAAGTAGTGATACTACAACCAAGAGGCATCATCTGGGCAGAAGCTGGAGGGGTGATGGCTCCATCACTGAAACTTGCTGACCCATGGTTATCTCTGACTTTTGCACCGTCCGGAGCAGTCATGACTATCATGGGTACCTGATTGGCACTGTAAATCCTAGGCGTCCTTTCATGTCGCGGCGAGAGTTTGGCGGTTGTTGGTGAGAAAAGGGGAGAAGATGGAAACCCGATCTGCTGATCCGACATGGTAGGAAGAAACCTACGCTCGCGAAGTCGCGCCGGCGGCGTAAGAGGAACGCCATCAGCGTCAGTATGGGAAAGGGTTGGTGATACAAGAGGGGTGGGTGAGTCTGCAGGAGGTGGTGGTGATGTTGGATGCTTGATGAGTCTTCGGATATCGTTCCTGCGAGATCGACGTCTTCGAAAGAGGCAGAATATGAGAGCGCCGATGGCGAGAAATCCGACGACGGAGATGATAGCTATAGTGACCTTCACACCCAGGGGCATTCCTCTGCTGGTTTCTGTGTCGTTTTGATCGCTGTTGGATGGATCTGAGGTGGATATTATGGCAGGGTTTGTGCTTGTAGAGTATGATGTGTTTGGTATAGAATTTTGCAATGGTAATGATGTTGCTGTTATTATTGTTGAGGTTGTAGCTTTTGTCGAGAGTGTGCTCTCTGTTGCTGTGGACGGGGATATCCTTGATGTACTCGTAGCGGAAGCATCTTCAGTCTTGTCTACTCCTTTGGCTTTTTGGCAGTCCTTTTCGTCTCCATTGATAGACTCAGAGTCGCATATATGGTAGGGCTGTGGAGGACCTGGGTCTATTATAGAATGATATCCAATGCTGCAATATCTTAGTATCAGGTCTTTCTCATCATTGACTGAAGAAGCTCTTACTCTTGACAGGCGTTGATGAGCCAATTCACATTTGCTGCCAGTCTGTTAGCTGCATGAGCCGAGCCACTATTGTGAGCATTAAATCACACATACGATCTCTACCACGTTCTCCCAGATTATCCACACCACAAGCTTGAGCATCGCAGCAGTACAGCGCCTGGAAAGGTTGATCCTTATCCATACGAGCACTGTCTTGCAGGACCTCGCACACTCGCTCGAGTGTCTCACCCTTGGGCGACAGCTCCTCGAGGAACTTCTCCCTACACAAGGCGATACACCGTGGCGGATCCTGAACATCGGGCGCAACGAAGCCCCAGCTATGGCTGCTGCAGCCTCTTTTCTTGGGGGTCATCTGCAGCCAGAAGAAGAGAGAGGAGGAGAGAAATAAGAGGGGTGTAAGGGCCGTAAGTCGTCTTTCTCTTCTTGCTATGGGCGTGACATGCTCTGCTAGAGAGGGGAGAAAGTGGATGGACGAGTGGAAGGTTTCAGCCAGGAATCAAGAGTTGGGCAACTCGAAACGAAGAGGAATGGAAGCGAAGCGAGCCGAACGGGACGATAATAAGATGGATGGATTGGGTGAGTAAGTAAATAAATAATCCACAGAGCGAGGAACAAAACAAGACGGAAAGAAAAGGGGGAGAGCAAACGAGCGAGAAGATGAATACTTGAAGGGGGAGAGAGCCTCGCCGCAGCAGACAAGGTATAGTAGTTACCTCAGTCCGTCTGTCTTTTACTAACTTGGCTCTAACTATAACCATGACTACAGCTGCAACTGCAACTATATCTAGACTCATAGCTGCAGCTAGCAAATCACGATATCCCATCCATACACGGTCAGTCTGTATCTCTGCTTCGTGAGATGCCAGAAGAGTTACGAAGCACAAAACCGGTGATAGTCTATAGTTCCCGGCAAGACCGGTAGCATGGGAAAAAGACCAGGCTCCATTTGTTTTCTCTCTCTCTAAAAAGGATGCACGTTTGCTCGCGGGTTACACAGCTTCTGCTGCAGTTACCCGCGTCCGACGAGAATAGCCTCGTATGGGGGGGGATCTTACCCTCCTTTTCCCCATCAAAACTCCAAAAAAGACCTTGCAAGATCATTTGTCCTGCGCAGACCCGAGAGGCTTGCAGCGTGGCGGACGGAGAATTGCCCTATACAAGAATAAGTATCGAGGCCCTCGTGTTGTGTTTGTTCTATCGAACCAGGTTTCGAGTCTGCGGTGGTGTGGCTGCCAGCATTAGGAGAAGAGGAAGGATGGTACGGACGCTCTATAAGCCGATTGTGATGATGGTTTTGTGTGTGTATGACGCTGGTGATAGTGTTGACGGTGAGAGTTGGAGACAGGGAAAGGTGAGCCGGGAGACAGGATATGACTTGCTCAGCTGCGGCCGTTGTTTGGCAGGCCAAGCGAGTATTCTACAAGGGGTCTTGCATTCTGGTAACCAATTATAGTCATTGTTTCGCGAATACTTGGCAACAGAATACGTACTGTCTCTGGCCATGACATATATCTTGGTACATAGATATTCGGCAATACTTGTCAAGTGCTGCTTGTAAAAGCCCAACTGTCATGCAGGACTTGAGTTATGCAGATGCAGTATTGTATGCATCTATCCTTTACTTGTTCACGTATGTCTATTATGTTTGTAAAAGATCTCACTTCTCAGTGCGTTTGCGTTTGCGTTTGCGTTTGCTGTTGGTCGTTGGTTACACAAACAGAAGCCCTTGCACCGCTGCAGCCATGCTTCCCGCGTGTTGGGAAAAAGAGCTGAAAGGTGCAATCAATAACACGCGTCATGTGCTGCAGATTTCCATTGCATTTGTTATTTCTGCAATTGGAGAGTTTGCCTTCGGGGTGATCATGCCATAAGACGGTATCTTGCAGTCGTTTCATCTCTTTGTGCAGATCGTTCTCTGTGTCGTCCTCTGTGTTTGTTGGTGACATCTCTCTCTCTCTCTCTCTTTCTCTACTAATCAGAGACATGTGTTTAACTCTGCATAACAATTGTTCCAGAATATGCACCTCACTTTGCGGTGAAGACGAGACATGACTGACCGTGTATTAACATCCAGTGACGAGACGAGACAACTATAAAGTGCATTCAACTCTGAGCTGAGCTGAGGCTGAGGCTGAGGCTGAGGCTGAGGTTGGCTCGGCACAACGCATTATAACTCAGCATCTGCAATTCAATGCAAATGACACATACCCTCTCTTTCTCTTTCTCTTTGCCACGCCTTACAACGTGCCTGTAGTAACCACATGTCCCCTTTCTGGTTTCTCCATCTGTGCAACAGAACCCTTTGCAGCAGGGGTCGACCACAAGGAATCAACGCCATCGGCCATCGACCTCTCACCGCAGGAAAGGAACATAGTGCTACTCACGTGGGAGTGTCTGTCTAGTCCCTATTTCTCCCAAAGAGAACCCTTCTTTGGGCTGTGGCATGAACACGATTGGCCGAGTCGTCACCAGGACCTAGGTATACGCACTTTGCACAACCTCGTATTAAGATTCTGACTCTCCTGACGAGCTGACGAGCTGACTAGCCGACCAAGACCCTTGCTATCTACCAGCTAACCATTACGGATTTTCTATAAAGGTAAACTGGACCTGGCCATACCAATGGGATTTGGGGTCGACGTCACCACTCACCTTGTTTCTTCTTGGTATATTCACAATCCGTTCAATGTGATGAATCTCATCAGTAGACAGGGCAAGTTTGACGTCCTACTCGCTATAGGCTCAGGTTATTTGCATTACACAAGTTGAGATTACTCCGAGGCCATCTGCTCTTGTACCTTCTGTCCTCTTTGTCCGTCGTCCTGTTCTTGGCTGCTGCAGATGCTCCGAGATAACGGATTACACATTCGAGTGTATTTCCGTAACAGGAGCCATCTCCTTTTGAATGTGGTACATAGTACGCAAAGGACCGATAGCTGTTCCGAATGATTGCGGTTCGTTGGTCTGGCTTTATTGGAGAAGAGTTATAGAGTGATTCTTGTCCGGCGCAGTCATGAAGGACTCGAGGCAAACAGATACTCGAAGTAATTCATTTAGGATTGATCACAAGCCTAAAACATCGAGTCAATTGCTAAATTAAGAATTTAATGAAGGAATGCTTCTCGATCACTCCACCCTCGTTCCATATGTAGCGTCCACCATCATCCACAATCACCCATATAGGGTAGGCACACCCACCCCAACCACGTGACCCCCGGAAACCCAAATCTCCGTGCCTCGGCTCCGGGGTGGACTCTCCCCTCATGACTCCAGGTCCCACTTTAGCCGGGGAAGCTCTCAACGGGAACATTCCCCAGATTGAGACGTCCCAGGGACCCAGGGACTCAGGGAGCCTCGGCATCATGACAACAAAGCTTCATAAATACAATCACTCAATGATTAATCTCTCACGTCGATACTTTGCTTGAAACACCACACAGTCCCATAAAAAAAAACAGTTGTCATCATGTCAGACAAAGCGAAGGACCGCATCAATGCCATCGGCAACCAGCTCCTCCCTATCAAAAAGGTAGCTCCCGGGTCAAGCAAGCTTCGCGTCGAGGGCAAAGTCGTCATCATAACAGGTACTTTAACTGTGACTTTCATTCCCAAATGGCACTATCAACTCACCGTTTGTACAGGTACAAACTCACCGCTGGGAATCGGCCGTGCGACAGCGCATCAGTACGCAGAAAGCGGCGCGCGAGCATTGTATCTCTGTGACTTTGACGATACCCACTTGGAAACTCACAAGAAGGAGATCAACGCTGCGTTTCCAAAGGTGGAAATCCACACGAGACGCTTCGATGCTGCGGATGAGGCCAAGGTGAAGGAAGTCGTAGACGATGCCATCGAGCGCTACGGTCGCTTGGATGTCTTCTTTGCCAATGCCGGTGTTGTTGGGCGAACCACCTTGTTCTCCGACTTCAGCAAAGATGAGTTTATGGCGATACTAAACACCAACACGTCAAGGTATGCCGCAACTCTGTACCAAACCGGTATCATCTAATTGAATCATCCTACTATAGTGTCTTCTTGGCGGCAAAGTACGCCGCCCCAGCCATGATGCAAACGTCAACCGACAAGCCCGAATCCTGCGGCAGTATCATCGGCACCGCCTCCGTAGCAGGCATACGCTCCAACGCTGGCTCCACCCCGTACTCGGCCTCCAAAGCCGCCGTTGTCTCTCTCGCCCAGACGATATCGTACCAGCTGGCCGGAACTGGTGTTCGCATCAACGCCATCTGCCCCGGCCTGATTGAGACGGGCATGACAGCACCTGTCTACGAAGCTGCGCGAGCCCGGGGAAGTGAGAAGAAGATCGGCCAGCTGAATCCCACCAAGAGAGGCGGCACGGCTGATGAGATTGCCCGTGTTGCGCTGTTCCTGGGAAGCGATGAGAGTAGCTATGTCAACGGACAGGCATGGGCTGTTGATGGAGGGTTGAGCGCAGGGCATCCCTTTGTGCCTGGAAAGCTGGGTTAATGGCATCCAACATGACGCTTCATTTCATATCAGTTATACGACACTGTTCGGGATCTATCAGAAAGCAGCATTATCCAAAAGGCTACCATGCTATAGTGTATCACGACTATTCACATATCCATGTTTCGAAATTTCCCAAATCTAGCCGGAATGAAAAGATGGCTTTTATTTATAAATTTAGAAAAGAGCCTCAAAACTTGGCATTCAGCTCATCCGGTGTCAGCTAGCTAGCTATCTACTATTTGTCACTCTCCTATATGCGTATATCTTGCTCTGATATAGCCAGACAGCGAAAAACACGAAACACGCTGCTTGTCCAATCGCATCCGGCGAGTGCCGTAAGTCTTCCATCGCGCCATCATTCGAGACAAGTCCTGACACTGTTTCTCTCGTGTTTGGATAGCCCTCTTGTTTTATGTTTTGCGTTCTCAGGTGTTATCCGACTTAGCCTTTCCTTTCTTTGGCCACTGTATCACACCACTCGACTACCTTGAAGTAACCACACAGTTTGTGCCGATCGTTCACTTGTGAAGAGATCAAGGACTCTGAACAGTATTATCTTGATAACTGATGGCTTCTCCTTGAAACGAACTGACCATCACACCCATCAATGGCCAGTTGAGCTTAAGCATCAAGAACAAGTTGATCACTACTATCCATGATGAGCCGGTTATGACTACCGAACAAGGCCGTAAATGGGTATGATTCAAAAACAAGATGCAGGACAGGTCCTTTCTTTAATAGCCTACCATCATACAATCATACCATCCACAATTAATGCCCGCCAAACATGCTTCAGGTCTTGGCATCCGTAGATAATCATACCATGTGCTATATAACTATAGTTTCGTTTGACTTAAAAGAACGTCGCTTGACGAAATTATGGGACCTCTAAGTCTCGCGTTACGGGTTCTAGTCGAAACGCCAACCAAAACCAAGACCCCAAGACCCTAAAACCCCAAAACCAAAACCCTCAATCCTCGCTTGCCTCGTTCAAGAAACCCCCATAACAACCATGACAACCCCTTACAAGTCTGAAACGCCCAACGACGGAGAAATCCCATCGATAATTCCATAACCTTGCAATAGCAAGGAAACATTACCAAAAGCGTGCCGTGATAATCGTGAGCCGCGTCATCTCGAGAAAAAAGAATGTTAACAGGGACCATGGCTATAATCCGTAGACGCCTGCTGTATATGGCTGGCTATATGCCCATACTATAGTATATCGCCAGGGTCGCTATATGCAAAACTCGAATTGCCAATACCAATTGTCCGCCCTGTTTTCTTCCTGTAATCTTAACCCACCAGATCGTACGCTAAAATGCACAGAACGCTTCTCGTGGGTCCTCGAATTGATCGCCAGGGGGACCCGATCGCGTTAATCAATTCCCTGCTCAAGTTTGTCGGAGCTTTTGCACTTGAAACCATCAGCTTGCCATTCAAGCCAGGATTCGCTGGCGTCAACATGTAACATCCGTGGAGCTTCTGTCTTTCTCGATCTCGTCTGCTCGTCCGACGATATTAGGAGTTGACATGTAACGTCCATCCCATGTTTTAGTTTTGGGGGGGGGGGCATAGATGATATAAACCCCCGTTGCGCTGGTGGTTCTTATCACGTTCTGCTTCTGGTTCTCTCATCGCCACTTTCATTTGCTCTTTTCTTTCAACTTAGACTTCCAGTTGCAGGCATCTGTGGTCCTTTTCTTTCTTACGATCCTTGTTTTCTTTTCTTTCCTTTTCCTTTCTTTCCCTCTTCTGTCATTCGCCAGTCGAATCTCCTTTCATCTAGGATCAGAATGGCTATTATTTCTCTTATCACATTGGCCTTGGCCGTTTCACCGGTCATGGCACGCCCTCGTCCCCAACTCGGCGGTCTTATTCCTACAGCCCTCCCCGGTGGCGCCGGTAGCCTCCCATCCGATCTCCCCGGCTCCGGAGGCGGCAATGGTGGCCTCGGCGACTTGCTCGGAGGAGGAGGTGCAGGCGGCGGTCTCGGTGACTTGCTAGGGGGAGGAGAAGGAGGAGCAGGTGCAGGCGGCAACGGAGGTGGTGATCTAGGCAGTAAACTCGGCGACTTGCTAGGTGGCCTCTTTGGGGGCAACGGCGGCGGTAGCGGCGGAGGCAACACTGACGCTCCTACCGCAACACCCGGAAGTGCTGCAGACTCCTCCCGCGGCAGAAACGGCGGCGGCAGAAAAGACTCGCCTTCCCTGGCCCCAGGCTCCGGAACCGATGATGCCACCGCGGCACCAACTCTCGTGCTTACGCCTGGCAGTGGCCTCGAAGGTCCAGGTACAGCTCCTAACGGCGTTATCCCAACTTTCGTTGCTGGACCCGGCAACGGCTTCGGACAAGGCAACAGTCCTGGCACACCTAGTGCTCCCGCTCAAACCCCCGGAAACGGTGATCAGCCTGGAGGCGGCCTACAAACACCGCCCAGCAGCGGAACCCAACCCGGCCCTATCATCCCTACCTTTGTTGCTGGGCCTGGCAACGGCTTCGGCGAGGGCAACACTCCCGGAACACCTGGCGCTCCCGCCCAAACCCCTGGAAGTGGTGAACAGCCCGGCGGTGGTCTACTAACACCTCCTGCCAGCGGAACTCAGCCCGGCCCCATCATTCCCACCTTTGTTGCCGGACCTGGTAACGGCTTTGGAGAGGGTAACACTCCTGGAACACCCAGTGCTCCAGCTCAGACTCCTGGAAGCAGTGATCAGCCTGGAGGCGGCCTCCTAACCCCCCCTGACAACGGATCTCAGCCCGGAGGTGCCATTCCTACTTTTGTTGCTGGACCCGGCAATGGCTTTGGAGAAGCTAGCAACTCTGATAGCTCCGATGCTCCCGCTCAGACACCTGACAGCGAAGACCAGCCCGGCTCAACCCTGCCCAGTGCTGACCTAACCCAACCCGCTGGCGATGGCCAGGCCGGAGGTGCCATTCCTACTTTCGTTGCTGGCCCAGGAAAGGGTTTCGGAGAGGGTAACAACTCTGACGCACCTGAGGCTCCTGTTCAAACACCAGGCAGCGACAGTGGAAGCCAGCCCGGCGAGGATGTTGCTCAGCCCGGTGACGAACAAACGCAGCCTAGTGGCGGTCTTCTCCAGCCTGGCGGTGATCAAACACAACCTGGTGCCGTCATTCCTACTTTCGTTGCTGGCCCAGGAAACGGCTTCGGCGAGGGTAACGCTCCTGCTCCCACCCCTACAGCTGGAGCTGGTCTTGGTGGCGGCAACGGCGATTCTACTGACGCCCCTGAGGCTCCTGTCCAGACACCAGGCAGTGGCAGAGGAGGTCAGGCCGGAGACCAGACTGGAGACGGGGCCGGTAACCAGGCTGGAGGTGCCATTCCTACCTTCGTTGCCGCTCCCGGCCAAGGATTCGGTGGTAACCAGAACCAGAACCAGGGCTCGGGCTTCCAAAGACGAGTTCGACGCTCCATGTAAAAATATTCATGCTATACTAGGCAATGATTTGACGGGTTTCTTATGTTGAAGGATTGAAAAGAGGAACAATTCGTATTCCAAGAATTTTTTGGGAAAAGCAGGTCTTTGGCCCTTCATTATGTATCTAACTCCATGGCAGCACCTGTCGTGGTCGATAGAGCAATTTTGGCGAGCATATCCTCCTTCCAGTGCACGTAATCCCTCCGCTTAGCTTCGCTGAGAAAGTCGTATTTGTCTTGAAACATGGTGTCTGCTTTCTTGATGTGCATTTTTGGCATGCTATCGCCATCGAACACCCCAGCGTCTTCGAGATAACCTCTCTGGCCCACCTTGACAACATCTGTGATGCCTTGGTACCAGTCGCCAGTGAGCCATGATTGTTCGTTAACTTTAGCAACAGCGTCGTCGAAATCCTTGGACTTGATATCTGCCCATGCTTCCCAAGCGGTTTCCTCTGGTGAGTTCTTAATAATGACTTCCTGTCGTGCTCTGGTGAGTAGAATGAGGATCTCTTTTCGTATAGGAACGTATCCTTCTCGGTCGACACCTTCCCCAGTAGCAAGCGCTTTAACTCGCATGGTCACGAAAAAGTAGATAGTGGCAAACAGCGCTGTAACATTCTTCAAAACCCACTCGTCTCCTGTTCGACGCCCTTCAGGCGTCAATATGATCTCCATGCCAGCCAGAATCGTAGGAGCGAGGTTCTTGTGGTTTGTTTCCTCACATATCCATCGAGCGACAGGTTGAACCCAGGCATGCAGGTTAGCGCGTGTAAAAGTTTCTCGCTTCATTGTAGATTTTGACGGTGTCCCATTCGCCCCATTCACCCCTTTTGTCGGCGTCCTGAACTGTGCGAGACTTTGCTCTTTAGTTGGGGTTGCTCTTGATGGCAATGGTCGTGATCCAGAAGGTGAGCCATCAGCATCACGAAACCTCGAACTCGGTGTCTTGACTCGTCCTGCAGCATTTCTGCTGGGAGTCGAGGCACCGCTTGGAAGGATGTTATCAAGATGAGTGTAGAGGCGCTTGTAGATACGAGGCGGAATTGGTGGTCGTGGTTCGATGGGTGGAAGATCAAGGGGGATTTTTAGACTGATACTGTAAGCTTCGTGCGATTGGAGTCGGTTTCGTGAGTACCATACCGGTCACAGGCAATATTTGCGCATGCGTATAATCTGGCGATCTCTTCCTCTGTCTTAAGAGTACTTGCTCGATGCCGAGACTGGGCAAGTAAAGAACCTGCCAGTTCTACAAGTTGCGGTGGTAGATCAGAGCCATAAGTCGGCATTAATGAGAGCAACGCTTGCTCAATTTGGCGACTCATGATGCTGGCTTTGGCTTTTGTGGCGACGAGGATTGGTATAACTAGCTTGTAAATGGGGGAAGTCAATATTTAGAAGTTGAGAACGCGGTCGACATGGAACACGCGTTACGTAGCGGTTGTTCCTGACGCCTGGTCACGGGATATGGAGCATCTAATTAACGTCCCCGCCAAATGACACTACTTGTAGATCTGTTCGTAGGACAGGGAATGGGGAATCTCCAAGATATACTCGGTAACTGCAGAGAGGATTAAGGTTTACTATATAGAAAATGTCCCTGGTGAGAATAGAGAATAGTTGTAAAATCGGGTTAAAGTTGTATCTGCATACCTTGAAACGGCGATGAATGATCTAGATCTAGCCCATGGTGTAAACGATTGCTGGAGGAACCTGGCAGTTAACGTTAAGCTTTCAGCGATTCAGTTCTAGCGGCTCGGGGACCCCTGGCATCCATGGCAGCCTCAATCTGTGTGCCACGCTCGCCTGCCCGGAATCGTCACTCCTTTAAAAGCCAGCCTGTCAAACCATCAATTGCTTCCAGATACTTGCATCGCGCAATTCCAGGTGCTCTTGTTATTCCTCCACAATAGACGTACCAGGCATTCGACACAATGCGCACCGGTCTCTTCTTTAGCGTCGCTTTTGCGACCAGCGTCTTTGCCCATTCGCAGAAACCGGTTGTTGACGCCAATGCCGACTGGATGACCAAACACATGGCGGGTATGTTGTCTTTCCATCCTTACGCAATACTCCAAAGATACATATACTAATACACTTCCTTGCAGAGGAGCATCATGTACAGGGCTGGGACGCCGACTCCTTCTTCACCCTCCACGATTACAATGGCGACGGCTGGTGGCAAGCTGCCGAGATGATGCGAACATACGGCCTCTTCGACGAATCAAACAAAGGCATGGCCGATAAGCGAAAGGAAGAGGTTCGCGACATTCTACTAGGCCTTCTTGATAAGGATTCCGACTCCTCGGTCAGTCGCCAGGAGTGGGTGGACTTTATCAAGTCAGGCAAGACGCTGCCAGACCTAAACACCGGCCCTGGCCACCACGGCGACGATGAGTACGAGTACGAGATTCATCATTGGGAAAAGTACCACGACGACAACACCAAGCTCGAGGACCTGACACATCCCGAGGATATCGAGCACTTCAAGAAGCATGACGAGATGGAGGATGCCCAAGACCGCCTTGAAGCTATGCAGAAGCTTTCCATTGTCGAGGCCAACATCCCCCAAAAGTTTCGACGACAATAGATGATAGATAACGGCTTGAACTGTATTTTACCTAGGATACCATGGCTCGGTTGTGGGATAGGGGCATATGACATCATGACGGATGAACTGAACTATATGTACTGAATATTATCGGGATAATATGCGTGATGCATGATGCAGCTAGATCTTGTAAACATGAACATCAAAGACGCAGTGCCAGACGCCTGGCGCAAATGTCTTGACCTGCTCGATATGCTCGACCTTGGCTGCTCGATCTGTTCCTTGGCTCCAATCATCGAATTTGCGCTGGATCTCCTGACTCCTTGTTTCGGTATCGTCTGCGCCAACGTTTTCGTGGAGATGCAGCCATGTCTCACTGGATGGAGTAGAGATGTCCCATGTATCCCTCCAAGTCGGTTCGCTTGTGGGTAGAAAACCGCAGTTGACATGCCGTATATCTTGAGCAACACCACTGCCCTGTAGGGATTGGATGCGTCGTATAGCTTCTTCGTTGCTTTCGAGAAACACTATAATTTGCTCTTCTCCATTGAGAACCTCCTCAGTAGGCAGAGCCAAATCACCACCCTGGACAATCCGTATTGTCCATCGGTTCATTTTGGCGCCGCGTCGCAACCCCTCAACACTCCATGGGTTGATCTCCCAGCAAAGAACTCTCATACCAAGTCGAGCATATGAGAACACGAAGTACCCAATACCAGCGTAGAGATCAACCGCCCATGAGCCTTGAAGTGTCTCGTTCCCCATTTCCAGGAGTCTCGCTTTCTCTTTGACGTTACCCCGGCTGAACATTGTCCATCGCGGAGCCCAGGTTTGGAATATGCCATTCTGTTTTGTCGAGACCCATAGCGTCTTGTCGAAATCCTCCTGTGAAGGCTTTTCTGCTGATGCATTCGCAGGTCCAAAATCTCCATAGAGAGTGCGCAGCCCACTTGGACTTCTTCGCACGTTCTCATCCGTTTCGTCTCCCGCTTTATGCAGTGGAATACCTTCGTTCACGGCCAGATGAGTCAGTGGCTCCTTCGCCTGCGTTGAAAGCTGTTCCAGGATCTTGGACCATAGTCGCTGACAAGCTTCTTGGCCAGCGTTGTCCATAAGAGCAGACCATTGTGAGGTTGTGAAGCTTCCTGTGGGGAGGAGGGCCATATGTTCATAGATCGTGAAGCGCTTTGGCGCACTGTTAATAAGATCTGCTTTCCATGTTGAGTTTGTTTCTATATCGGAAATTGCGACGGAACCAAGCCAGTCGTTGATCGCATTTTGAATGAGGTTGCCTTTTGGAGCTTTTTGTTTCGGCATGTTGATGGTAGGTGGAGTTTTAAATAGGTCCACAGAGGTAAGAGGGTTTTGAAGACTTCGAACAAGAAAGAGTAGTGAGGAGTATGTGCCAATGATTTGAACAGCAAAATTTGGCCATGGCGTACAAAGTCACCATCTATCGACTGATCGCACAGATGTATTGAAAGAAGTATCCATATTTGATCATAATTGATATAACAACTCTAACCAAACCATAAACATCCATTTCCATTTCCACTTAGACACCTCAGGACCATGGGTATTTTGACCCTATGCTATTCTACATGCAACATATGCCATTAAGTCCGTTATACGTATACCGTTCTTCGTTACAAGAAGTAATCTCCGGGACCTCTCCTGTTTGCTGGTACATGTCTCTGGTCATCAGGAACAGCAGAGAAGATACTAAACTTGGGGTTCAGATCCTTCTCCACAGCCATGATGGAAGCGACATTTCCGCAGCGGTAGCAGTAGTTGGGTGCCGACCATACAGTCACTACTGAGTTCTCGGGGAAATGATACTGGTGATGGTTAGCACAACCCTTGTCGTTAGGGAAGGGCGCTTAAATACCTTGTAACCCTCGTTGACGAGCTGATGGGCTCGCGCAATCAACTTCAAACCGTTGACATGATTGAACTCAGTTGCGACCTTGTCTCCAAACAACCATCCGGCGCCTCGAGGACTGATTGCCCATGTTTCTACATCTTCTGGATCTGACCACACCAAGTCGCAGAACGCACCCTCGTGGGGAATTTCTTGCGCACGGGCAACAACTCGGATCTGATCGATCGTTCTAATCTCGGGACTCAAACCTCCGTGAACACAGAGAATCTCACCATCGATAATGGCAGCAAGAACAAGGAAATCGAACACGTGACAGCAGGCCTTCCAGACTGAGGCGTTGCCATACTTTTGCTGGCACTCCTCGTAGAATCCGTACACCTGAGTAATTTGCCGGGATTCGTGGTTTCCGCGGACAAGCACTATTCTGTCAGGGTATCTGTGGAACATGGTTAGTAAAAGATACGCGACTGGAGCCCAAGTATGCTTACTTCGCCTTCAAACACATTAGTAATGTGAATGTCTCCAAACTGAAGTACCCGCGATCCACGAAATCTCCCAAGAAAATGTATCGAGTATCGGCGCTCTGACTTGACGAGTTTGTGGTGACACCAGAGTCTAAACGGTCTGCCATTGTCGCATCAGGATCCTCATCCGCGTCGTTTGCCTCGGTCTCCTCCGCCCCGCTGGATGCTGCTGCATTCTCGCCCGAAGACTTTATCTTCTTTCTCAACTTGGGGTTTGTTATCTCTGTTGGAGGTTCGATATCGTCCGACGTAATGACGGTGGTTGCTGTCTTCGGCGCCTGCACGTTGGACTCGCCTGGCATGCCGCCAGATACTCGGAAGAGCTCGAGAAGGTCGTAGAACTGCCCGTGGATGTCGCCGCACACAGTAACGGGGGTACAGACTGGCTGAATGTTGGATTCTGAGATACCAAGTCAGCAAAAGCTGAAGGTTAGCAACGAGTCCGGCGCTCTTCACCTTCCATCAAAATCTCTTTAACCTTCTCACACAATTCCTTCATCGCCCGCTCGGGAAGATAGTGGCACTGTTTGGCCTCCTCGAGCCACTCATCAAGGCCGGCATTGGGCCCCAAGTTCGCGGGGCCTGGTCGAGGTACGGTGGAAGCCATGATCAAGCATGCCCCGTCGATAGAAGAAGGGGAAATGGGAAAGATGATGGCGCCGCGGGGAAGAGATATATCAGCTCAGCGATGTTGTACTGCGATCTGTGGTGGTAGTGGCACACACGCGGCGAATGGGGTGGGGCTTTGGGCTTAGGCCTGCTGGTGCTGGTGCTTGTCCTTGGTCTTTGGAGGGGTGTGATAGTGAAACACCGGAAATACTTCGGCCGTGATAGGTAGTGATAGGAAGGACTTGTCTTCGAGAGAGATTCACCTATTTTTATTATCATTAATTAATAATCTCTGAACTTATTCCCGACACATTCAGATAAAACAACTTACAGATACACAATAGTGTCACTCGCTGTACAATAGAGACAACACGTGAGAAGCAACACCATTGAGTGGATAGTCGCATATCTCTCCCACAGCGCCCCACTGCCACTGGCGGGGCAGCAAGGCGACGACTCATCGAGCCTTACAGCACTCACTCACTCACTCACCTGGGCCTTTCGCAATATCGGCGTAACAGTAACAGCATCATCAAACAATATTTGCGGTATGCGAAATGTCAGCTCCAGCACAAATACATCCGGTCCGGAGGACGAACGGAGGTTCTTCAGCACCGGCAAGTCAGACTTCAGAATCAACAAAGGTGATTCATCCCTTGCCATTCCATAATAACAAGACTTGATGTCTAACTTGTCTCAGGGAAAGGGGACGCGTGAGAACAACTCCCAGGGGAAAGCTAGAGGTAGAGGCTCTAATGCGAGAACCACGGAGGCAAATAAGGTGATACGAACACCATTCGTGAGGAACAATGGACTCTCACTAACCATGATAAAAGCATGCGAATGAGAGCGAGACTCCCAAACCCACAAAGACTAAGGCTCATAATGAGGGCGAAAAACTTGTGATACGCCGTCTACCTCCCGGTATGACGCAGGCGGAGTTTCTATCAATTCTCGGAAGCGAGTGGGAGCTGGGTAAGGGCAGGGTTGATTGGTTTTGCTTTGCAGGAGGGAAAATTTCTACCGAGTAAGTGCGCAACATTACTTCCGAGGCTCAAATTGCTAACTAGGTTGAAAAGCCCTTCAAAACCTTCTCGACCAGGTCGTGCCTATGTTCATGTCGTGAGAAAGGATGATATCTTGACATTGAGTGAAACTGTGCGAAATGCTGTTTGGGAGGATGCAAAGGCATCTTTCAATAGTCCTTCGTTGATCGGTCCTCCTTCAGTTGAGTTCGCTATCTACAAAAAGATACCAAGTAACAAAAAGCGCACCGATGCACGTCAAGGAACCATCGACCAGGATCCCGAATTTATGGCTTTCTTGGAGGAACTAGCAAATCCAGCTCCGCCAAACCAAACCCTTGGAGGAGAAGAGGGAGACGAGCTCAGCAAGGCAGAGGCCAAGGTCACCACTACACCACTTATTGAATATCTCAAAGAGAAGAAAGCGAACAAGTCTAAGGATAACACATCTTCCAAGAACTCTAAGCACGGACAGGGGGATTCCAGGGGCGGAAAGGGTAAGAACTCGTCTAAGGAGGAAGACTCAGGAAAGAAGAAGGGCAGGGATTCTAAGGCTGAGAAAGCAGAGAAAGCCCCCAGAGAAACTGTCAAGATTCTGACCAAGAAGGCGGCCTCTGAGCAAAATGCAGAGGCATCAAAGACCAATGCCAAAAGCCAAACCAACGACTCTAGCAGCCAGGAGGCAGCACCCAAGAGTCGGCGTGCGGGGATTATGGCTGCTGCAAGAATCTTGCAACGAGATCTTGGTCTAAGTCCTGGAAGTGCGCACAGAAAGGCACGCCATGACGCTGCAAAGGCTGATTCAGATACCAAGACGGTACCAGAAAAGGAGAACCCAGCCTCGTCAGATGGAAAAGCAAGTGCTTCTGAACCCCCAGCTTCACCTGCGAAATCAACTGAGGCTGAGGCTCCTACTGTGAGGGGCCGAGGGGCTGCTGCCAATTCCAATAAGCAACAGCCGTCGAACCGCAGAACCAGAGGTGGAAAGAATGCTGAGAAAGGCAAGGAGAAGGAAAAGGACGGCAACAAAGAGACTAAAGAGAAGGAAAAGATCAAAGAAGGGACCCCAGGCCAAAGTCAAGCGGTCCCCAACCCTCCAATCGTTCTCCTCAGGAAGAAAGGCAACGAAGCCGAGTCCAGTCAGCCCGCGAAACCAGCAAACGCCACCCCTCCGCCATCAGTCACGCAAGGAGGCAGATCGAAGGAGAATGCCCCTGCTGGCTCTAAAGGTGGTGCGAACAAGGCTGCCAATGCTCAAAAGAAGCCTGTTGCCGTTTCTCCTGGCGCTACTCGCGGCTTTATCAAGCACGCCAACCCTTCTCAGGGAGTTACCGAGGCACTTCTCAAGCAAACGCTTTCAGCCTTTGGAACCATTACCTTTGTGGAGATTGACAAGCGCAAGGGTTTCGCCTATGTCGACTTTACCGAACACGAGGGTCTTCTGAAAGCTGTCACGGCCAGTCCTATCACCGTTGCGCAAGGCACTGTGCAAGTCCTGGAGCGAAAGGACAAGAAGCCTGCCAACACAAGCTCTACTGCGCCTGCTACAGCCCCAACACCAGCTGCTGGATCTACTGCCCAGGAGAAGACGTCCGGCAGAGGTAGACGTGGACGTGGCGGAGGCAACAAGGCGAAGGACGCCGGTGCCAGCAACCAGGGCGCAGCTGCTGCCGCACCAGCCTCGGCGAATGGTGGAGGCTGAGTTCCAGAGGTGCTCCTGTGGACTTTTCTCCAACATCTTACTATTCCAGCGAGTAGCCGGGTCTGTCCGGCTGTGCAGCTATGTCCTGAGCCCACCGCAAAGCCCAGCAGCTGGAAGTCCAGCTTGCTGTCATGCATGGACAGGACACAGATAGGAGGTGGAAACAACGTATTCAGGACTTAACAGGCAGACAGAAGTACGAATGTACTCTGGTCCTGATGCATTTACCTCGCGGGCGAGCATCCCAGCTACAAATCAACCAGAGTCGATCTCTCATCGACAATACAATGGTACTGATCGAGGACACGTAGGTAGTATTGTTAACGAAGAGGTGGTGATTATGCTAGGTTTAGGAATCGAGGCACAGCGATGACATTTAACATTTTTGCTCTGTGATGTCGTGAGATCCTAATGGGTTTCTTTCTCTACATCGCCCTTTTAGTCCAAGAACAAAGTTGAATTCATAGAGGGAAAAGACAAGGTAGATAGTTTAACAAAATATTCAAATCAAAGACTCTAGCGCTACTAAAACTAATGGCTATCCTAACATTTGGGGGAATCGTTTCTACGCAGGCTGTTGGACCTGCATCCTGTAGTAAACGTGGTACATATCTATCTGCAATGAAAACAAGGAAAAATGTGTATCTCAACAAGAAAAGAAGAAAAAGATAAAGAAAAAAAAAAAGGAAAAGTCCAAACATCCAATCCCTTTGGGGGAACCTCCTTTTTGAAAGCCAAACAACACTGTACTTTTTGGTATCCAAACCCGAAATTTGCGCCGTCCTATATCCCTTCAAGCCAGAATCCTTGGCCAAGTCGCTGAAATCGCTCCCACTGAAAACATGACAACGTACAACAACAATGCTAGAACAAATCCAACTGCAATCGCTTCGCTTTGAGCAAAAACCTTCCTTGCACGCGCCTTCGCGTCCGTAAACCATAGCGTCTCTCCCACGCTCCGACGAGCAGCTCTAAGCCCAGGCAAACCATCCATGCTCAGCACGTTGGTTTGCTTATGGTAATCCAACATCGTATTGGCTTCAACTTGCTTTCCTGCCCACACATCCATGGTAGGCCGCTCCTCAAACACAGCCAGCTCATTTACTTTACCAACCACACCCTCTTGAAGAATTTGTTCGAGAGACAAGTCCTTCTGAGAGGCCTCCTCGGGTGCGTATATACCTCTTTTCACCCGAGGAACACCGAAGCCGCAGCTTGTCTGGACTTCAAACACATCTGCCAGGATGACTGCTCTGGCGCCATCAAAATCTCGCTTGTTCCTGGAGATGGTGCGGACTAGAGTAGGGAACGATGGGTCATCCCACTCGACAATCCTAGACCGACAGAAGAACCTAACAATCCGAGGAGCGGGACCGAAACTCATAAACATCAAACACAGGCGGCCATTGTCATATGAGTGGGCAATGGTCTCACATCCGGAGCCAGTGCGGTCGATATAGGCACAGGTATTGGGTGTTAGGACAGCGAAATGTGCGTCTGCGCCTTTGGGAGAGACATTGATATGAGAGCCCTGGGTCGGAGCTGAACCTGTAAAGAATACAGGCTGCTTCTGCACCCAGTCGGCAAGGTCCTCGGAAATGGAAGGGTAAAGCTTCATGGCGATGATATAAACGTATGATATGAAATGCAGAGCTCCCAATCAGCTTGATTGGGGTCTGTGTATAGCTGCGAAAACCAACAAAAAAATAATACAAGTCTGAGTTGGAATGCTGCGGATGAGATCGAACAACCCGGTGTGGGGTTTAAGTATCTCGGCCGGGATCGGTATACCTAGTCAATGCGGGGCAACGGCGAGGCAATGCCGGACTAAGGTCTGATAGCCACACCTAGCCATTGGGGTTGAGGCATATGAGGAAGGTGGATTGACCAGGATCCGATCATGGGAGAGAAGAGGTGGAACTTTGAGTAAAGCCCTACCTACTGGGGTCACTCCTCACGTGTATCATGGAGGAAGTGTGTTTGTTCATGAGAACTATGACGGGGTTCTCACGAGCATGTTTTGTTTGGTCTGCAGCCCAGATGGCAGACCAAACAAGACAAAAGAGTGATTAGTTAGGGATGGGGTAGGGATGGTAAGAACCATCCTCATACCGCTCATCATCGTAAGCGCTGCTGTCGCTGCTAAAGTGACCGTTGACAATGCTGGTCGTGCGAGGGACATTGGAGTATGCCGCGCTAGATACAACACTGGCGGCCTTGCGTCCTGTTGCCAAATGGCCGTAAGCGTCAAAGTCGCTTGAAGGGGGTTCATAACGAGGAGACCAACCTCCGGGACCCCATGGCTCAATGAAGCTGGTCTGACGAGGTGCCACGGCAGGGCGCTCATCAAACCGCTTCGATAAGCGTTCCTTGGCCTCAAATCTGTCCTTGTCCTTGGGCTTTTCGCCACGAGATTGTCCTCGATCATCACGTTCGCGGCGTTCGCGACCGTCTCGGTGACGTCGCTCACGGGTGTGCTCATCACGGGGGCTCTCCTCCCGTTCAGAAAGGTGGCGGTCATCTTGCTCACGATGGCGTTCCTCACGAGGCTCTCGCTTGCTAACAGATTTGGTGGACACCTTGCTGGAAGCCTTGCTTGAGGCCTTGCTAGAAGGGCGAGATGGGTTCTTACGGGCCTCAGGGAGAGCAGGAAGAATGGCAGGAAGGGGGCTGGGCATAGGGCTTGTCATGGGGCTTGTCATGGCAGACGAGCCAGCCTGGCTACTCACAGCGTTGTGACGCATGGTGAGATTCTCATGCTTGGCCTGGAGACCAATGAAGCGCTGCTCAAGGTCATGATGCTCAAACTTGACGCGCGCATTCTCCTCCTTGAGGGATTCCTTCTCCTCCTTGAGGGATTCCTTCTCCTCCTTCAGAGACTCCTTCTCCTCTTTGAGTTCATCGCACTCATTGTTAAGGCGGCGCTTGTCGCCCTTGAGCTCCTCGAAGTCGGTGTTGAGGCGGCGATTATCTTCTCGGAGAACCTCAGCTTCAGAGCGGACGCCCTCAATCTGAGCCTTGAGCTCACGGCATGAGATAGTGGACTCGTTAAGCTTGCGGTTGGTTTCCTCCAGGGATGTCTTAGATTCCTTCAGCTTGCGGTTGAGCTGATCGATTTGGGCCTTGAGCCTGTCGTTTTGGGAGCTGAGCTTGTCGTTCTCAGCGTTGGCCTTATTGAGTTCGGTGTTGGCCTTTTGAAGGTCGTCGCGGAGCTCAGATTCGAAATCAACTTCATATTCGTAGTCATGGTCTTGAACTAAACGAGGGAGATGAGGGTTAGCAGGGAGAATTGGGTGATGTGAAAGGCGGCCATTGAACGTACCAGTCAAGGCCCTTGATTTGTTTGTGGAAGAGGTTGAAGAGGTGGTGCTTCTAGCCGAGGAAGAGCTCCGGACAGAGGAGCTGCTCCTCTTGGTAGGGCTAGCAGAGGTCCGCTGGTGCAGAGGCATGGCGTCGGTTGGTCTGGTCACGATCGCCTACACAACAAAAAAAGAAGATGGAAAAGAAGAGCGAGAGGACGCCAAAGTCGTCTCGATGGTGTCTTTGTTGGTGGTTTGGTTTAGTGTTAACTCTGTTCGCTGCGGTGCAGCTCTGCCCAACGACCAGCGGTGTGTTTGGTCTGGCAGGCGGATAGAAGAGCGCGGGCGGTTTTGGCTGGAGAGCACTCTACTGGAAGGGTTGTAGCGGGAGCGGGAGCGGGAGCTGGAGCCACAAAGGTAAATAAAAAAGTGACGTCGAATTTAAAGAGTTGAGTGAGTTTATTTCAAACTCTAGTGAACTAATGCTTTACTAACAAGTAAAACAAGAAATATCTGTCCTTTCTGTAATATGTATACAGACAGAATAGAGAATATTCGCGGATCAAGGTCAAGTAAACCTGTGTGTGTTGGAAAGAGAAGTAAGTTTGGGTGCAGACAGACGAGGGAAAAAGTAGAATATTCGGCTTGATATGGGTTTTGTCAAACTCGGGTGTGGGAGGGAAAATTTGAGAAAAAGAAACGCCTACCAGTGTCTGAGGTGTCTGGAATAGGGGGGTGGGCGATTCTGAGTGTGAGTCTGAGCTCTGAGGAGGAGGGGGGCGCAATAAAGGAAGGGCCAGGTCTCAAACAAAGCAAGGCAGGCAGGGGGGAGAGATATGGGAAGGAAATTGAAGTGAATGAGGTGCTCCTTCTTAGAAAGACTCTCCATCCGTACCTACCTTACGGACACCTTGAGGTATTACAGACAAGGGCAAGAGCGAGAATATGCCTCGCGCAGTTGTGCCTGCCTGGAGGTGAAATTACATATTCCCTGCTTTGTTATCAATCGTCTTACATACATATACACTGACTCTCTTTTACTATATGCTCGACATGAACAAATGACGACAAAACGCAGATGGGAGTTATCCACGATCTGTACTCTACTGTACGTCCATGCAGAGTCGGTACATCGTGGTGCGCGCAAACGCGGAGAGAGACGGAGAGACGGGAAGGGAGGATGCTACACACCCTTATGCACATACACACACACAAGCTGAGCTCGAGGGAGGGAGATTTCCTCTCCGTCCTCCTTTCTGCAGCACAGAATAATAGCATCAAACCCCTGTCTGTACCAGAAATAAAGGGAGCGGAGGGCGTGAACTCGGTCAAGAGGGAGTGAAGCAGACTTCTCTTGCAACCTCGTGATTGGAACATCAGAGACATGGTAAATGGGAACTGCGCATGGCGCACACACTCAGACTCGCATTTGCGCTTTCACTCAACCATGGATCCCTTCTCAACTCATTAAACCCGCCAGTGCGGTATGCGCAAAGCTGATGAGCGAAAGCGTTGTGACGCCAGCAACAGGGACCATAATCAACGCTCAATGCCCAAGGGGAGCCGAACAGAGCCCAATGCCCACTTCGCTCACACCCCAAAACGTTAAACCCCTGTCAAAGCCGGGGTCTTTTATGTTTCTCTGCCGGCTCGGCTCCTGCTCTTTTGCGCTCACTTTCAGTACTCCCCGGTCATTTGTCTGGCTTTAATTCCTGAATCCGTCAACTCGGCGCAAGAAGAGAAAAGGGGTACTGCATTGGCCATGCCGAGGCTATGTTGCGCCGTATTCTGGCAAAGAAGGATAAGATAATTAACCAAGAAAAGCAACGATGGAGAGGTGAAAGGGCGTAGAGAGAGGCACTAACACGGTCACCGTCTTTAAAAGCTACCCCCCAGTCGTCCGCCAGACACCCCGGATGACAGACAGGGGTCGGGAACAGCCAGTTTGACTTTGACTCCCGTTGATTGTCATGATATCCACGAATCTTCTGCGTTCTGCCCAGCAACCTGCAGTCCAGTAAAGAACACGGAGTGAGATATGATTCACATTACCGTAACGTTTACACAGATGGTTCGCCAACCCCAACCCACGAAGCTACACAAAAAAAAGACGCTTTGTTGACTGCCTGCTGGCCGACTCCGCTTCATGCCGCCTCGTGGCTAAGTACCGTCACCGGTGCGGACACCGCCATCTGAGCAACCAAGTTAATTCTGGCGCCGCCCCTGAAGCGCCGCCCACAAAGCACTCAAAAGAGTCCGTTTTGAACGGAGGCTTTCAAAGAGTGACTCATCGGGCTGGTGGAAAGAAGGATTCGCCTGTAGGCATGGGAATTTCGCCGTATTGTTGGCTGTGTTTGCGCCGTCACCCTTGTCATCAATGCGAGTTGTTCGGCACATGGAAGATTTTGTTTCGCAGGTGCGAACATTCCAATATCAACTGCAACTCCCATGGCACACTTCTCTGCTAGGGTATCTGCTGTCTCTGTTTGAAGCCATCCGTGCTCGCTTGCATTGGGCCATCCAACCCTCTTTGCTCGTCTTTCTTGCATCTAGGAATATGAGCAGCAGGATGGCTTCCGTTGGTCACCTATGATGTATCATGCAGATGCGAGATATCATGCGCGTTGTGGAGGGAGGGAAACGATTCCCACTACGACTATGTACAATAATGCCATTCTTGGATTTCGACAAAATCGTGGGGAGGTATCACCCGAATCAGAAAGAGCCTGTTTGTGGAGAGCACGCCCAATTCAAATCAGGACCCATGCCCTAGCACTTGAGGAACCGCCCGCCCATCGCCGGTCGCTTGGGCCCGGACCCGGGGCATATCCGCCGGGAGGGCCTCCCGCTTCTGGGGGTTTGATAATTAACCTAAACGCTTTGGCTTTTTTCCTTCCCGCTTGTCAGAACAAAATTGGGGCGCTAGAAATTTCTGACTCGACCGGAATGGAGTGTTTGATGTTCTTATGGGGAAGGGGATTCATATCGCGCCCCCCTTTGTTGTCGGCTCGTGAGGTGGCCTCGGACTAGCTGGGTTTCTGCTGGCATTCAATGCTTGATTATGAGCTTCTACGGATTGGAACGAGATGAGCTCCGTCATTACCATCGCTCTCCTTGCATTCCCGCATCCCGCTGCCAAGCTAAAGCCCCCGTTACCACGTTTCCAGCCCTAGCTTCTCTTTTATTGCTTGCGTCTGAGTCCTTCACCCCTGATTTTGACTGTTGGTTGACCAATTTTAGACTTGAGGTTTTGTGTACCGACATGATGCCCACTCCCAGGTCTTTAGCCCCAACCCAGTACGTATCTCACTTTACGGTACCAGCAGCATGGGTTACGGATAACGGGATCTAGGCTCCCGCCGCCTCCACCATCCCACATTCGCCAATAACGGTCGCTAAATTGATTTGCGGGAATACCACGGTCACCCGTCTTCCATGACATTTCCCAACATGGAAAGTAAACGTTGGTTTCTTGTCCGTATCGCTAATTAAACTACGGATCTACCCGCCGATAATTCTTTATCGCAAAACGTATCATATGTCGCATCGTTTCACGTCACGCACCTTTTAGATCAAATATTTACCAACCCTTCTCAGGTGTTAGTAATTAACACTTATTTTATTTACATACACGGCCTGTTTTGATAAGCGCGTTGAACTTTTCTGAGGCCCTCCATGTGAGTCAAAAAGACAATACTTGTAGGAACGGTCATGTGAAGATACCCCAGCTACCCAGGCAACCAGCCTTCACCTACCTAGAGTCGGAGTCCTGGATTTTGCAACCCCTTCGCAGTGGTCACCCGCTTTCATACCCACACGTCTTGGCGCCCTCATGTCATACTCATCCTCGTCCACATCCGTCACGATACCACCACTACGGCTCCCTCCCGTCTGCTCCACACCCATTAATGGATTTTGATGGCCCCTCAAACTCAGAAGCTAGCTCAACGACCAGCCATTTCACCTTGTTACCACGCCGGCACACCCTCACCATGCGTAGTATCGTTCCTTGTCGGATCAAGGCACTGCCATCTGCATTCGTATTTCTCAAACAGCTCCTCCACCAGTTCCACACTTTTCTGTCGGCCTAGTCGGCCCCCAAAGCTTATATCCTTGCTATCTTTTTCCACTTAAGCCAGGCGACCAATCCTCATGGACTCCAAAGTCCTTTTCTGCCTAGAATAGGACCTTTCCTTTCAACGCCTCGCGCCCTTTTCCCACTTTGAGGCCACCTCTATTGGTCATTCAGTCCAGGACCCTCCCTCCTTGGTTGCCTCGTTGTCCCCTCCCTTTCACGTCGTCGTTATCATTGATGTACCGTACCCCACGAGTTTCGGGAAAAGTGCACGATACCACGGGACATCGTGTTGCATCGCGTAAAGTAGGTAGCTCATGTCGATAAAATGCGGCCTTTGGGGTGGTTCGCCCAGAGACGCAAGGCACCAGTATGCATATTATGCTATCAACAGCACCGGTTTTACAAAGCACGATGATTGCGGCTCAAATGCACTGCCATCATGCCATTCTATTGCATAATGGCAGTGCATATTACTCACATAATCAAATTCGATCCCTTTCCTCCTGCTTCGAGTGAGCTGAGGAAGCACTACAAGTTTGTAGTGTTATTCTACCACTCTACCATCCCCTCATGAGTCCTGGAGGAGTCGCTGAAGTGTGCGATCCAAGACATTTTCCACCTAAATACCACATTGACATGAATCGTATACGAATGATCATTATCTTCAGGAGGGTTGTGTAGAAGACTAATACGTCACACGACTACATGGGCCATAGCAGTTCTGATCTTCGCGCAGCCACAAACAATTTATTTCGTTGTATAGTAATTGGGGTGCCACCCAAGAAAGTGGCAGTTTATCATTCTGCTTGACCAGAGATATCATCCTCCAAACAGACTCTGTCTAAGTGTCCATGTGCCGTTACTTTGCCCCCGACTCGCATATTAAAAGAACAAGATCATAATGTTAGGCATGGGTTGCAATTTAGTTCATATAAACGAAATGCAACATCCTTGCACAGAGGGGCATTTCCAACTGCCGAGTGTTAGTTATGAGGAGGACGACTTGGAGAGTGGTCTTTTCTTGCCTTGTGATTAAAGAAACTGGGTATCAAAGAAAGAAACGACTGGTGTGAGACATGGCACCGGTAGATGTTCGAACAAAGACAGCAACAGGACCTTGTTCAGGCCTTGGTCATTGTTGCTCAAACAAGATGCCTCCCGCAGTGAAAGAAAGTTGAAATGCAAGGACAAAGAGCAATTTGTAAATTAACAGACGCGCCGTTGCTTGAGCACGTCATCGTAATACGCCGTCTTCTCCGTCTTGGACTCGACTATCGTAATCAGGCCAAGATGTCGCTCACGTAGCTCATCATACTTCTTCTTCCAGAACCCTGACTGGTTCGTCCAGTACTCGATCTGCTTGGTCAGGTCTGCAACCCTGCGGCTGAGGTTCTGATCGACCTGCTTGGATAGCTCGCGTAGTCTGAAGCGAAGATCGCCATTGTCGTCTTGCAGGACCTTGTTCTCCTTTTCAAGCTTGCACAGCTTGCTGCGTAGCTTCTCCAGATCATGGAGGTGGTGATGGACTGGAGGATCGCATGGCTTCTCTGCGGCTCGGCGTAGACATTCGTTGTCGCGGGAGAGTTTGGCGATTTGGTCGTTGAGAGAAGGGATGACGACGTGGCATAGACGGTGGGTTTCGGCCTCTGAGCTGTGAAGTCTTGATCGAAGAGTTTCGTTCTGTGCGGCATAGGCTTGATTGGCCTCGTCGAGTAGCTCGTTCTGCCGGATGATAGTCCTCCACTCCTCGCGGCTGACTTTGTAGTAGTCGCATGGATGTCGGTGAGTGTGGTGGTAAGATCGAGAGCGCTTGATGGTTACGAGCTGAGGACGTCCATCAGGGCTGGCCTCAACATAACAGCGTGGAGGCATGTTGAGTCGAAATTTGGTTGCTTTGTAGTCGATATAGTCGAGTGTTGCGGCAGGTATAAGCGATAGGTGATACGAAGTTTAACAAACAGAGAGAGAGAGAGAGAGAGTTGAGCAGGGCAAGGGAGATATAAACGAAAGTGTCTCTAGGACTTGAGACTTATACAAACAGGCCTTATTCGAGATTCACTGAATGACCTTGCTTATTGTCTTGAAAATAGGTCTTACGGATAAAGAATGACTGTTTGAAAGAGCCCGTTGGACTAATGCAGGTGATCAAAGAAGGTCAGAAGTGGTGGAACAATAGGGACTATGGCCATTAGAAACCATGGTCTTTTATGAACTCTCATCCTAGACTTAGACTCATAGATACCAGGAATAGGATGTTCCACTTTCGAAGCACGCGGACCCGGAAATAGAAGGCATCGTGGCTTATAGAGCCGGGTGATGGGTGGAAGTGTAAGTGATTGTCTTGGTTTGGGCACCGTAGGACTTGTGTGTGTGTGTGCGTGTGTGAGTTGAGGACTGTGGCAGAGCAAACATAGAGACGGGTAGAAGTATGGGATAGTGCGGTTGAAAATAACAAGATAGGAAGAAGTCCTTTTTGAGTCCTTTGGAGTGGCGCGTGGTCACCTCTAGGTTTGTGTCTCATTGATGATGATGGTCATTTACAATGTAGCAAACAGAGACAAAGGAAGGATAGTAGACAGAGTTTATGGTAATAGAGTAATTATGACCCCATGCAATGGTATTATAAGAATAGATCAAGGTATGTTCCCGCGTTGGTCGAAGCTCAAGTGTAGTCTTTGAAGTTGACAAAGTCATAACTGATGGGCCAATATATTCTTTCCAAGTGGTAGAGGTTCATGTTCATGTCCGAGCGCGTCAAAGAAAAGATCAGCGAAATAGAGTCCAAGGCCCCTGGCGGTAGCGGCTGCGGCTGCGGCTACGGGCCCTAAATGAAGCTGCACCTATAAAAGGGCGAAATCGCCATGTGTCGTGCATTTCTTTAGCTGAGTGACGTGCATGTGCGGGTGTTTGTGCCTGATGAGCGTGAGCGGGACATCGCGTGGGTGGGTTGGGTGATAGTCAAGCGACCTAGAGGGGACTGTGCCCGTTATGTCTCACACTGTATGTACAGTCGTTACATGCCCCTAATGTACAGTGTTAATATCTCGCTGACTCTACACTTACCCGCATGACAGGTACACCACGGCTTGCTCAAGCGGCCTCCAGCATCTTCCCCTCAACACCATCACCTCTTTCAGAAATAGGCATCGTCATCCACGGGACCCCTTGCACTTGTGCTCGCCCTTGCAGAAGTGTAAATGCACGCTCTTTAACTCGGCTCGGCCCAAGGCCGCTAAGGAACCTGCATTTATTGGTTTATGAATAGCTTCAATTTGACATACTCCTAACAGCCAGGCCAAAACCCTTTGTCCTTGTTTAAACGCCCGGCCCCCAGCAGCCAACATCTATCTGATGTTACCATGGCACAGCTCTTGCATTGAAGTGACTCATTTGTCTCTTGCTGGTCTGCCCCCTCTGGGTCACATCGCTGCACCCCATGCTGCCCATGGATCTCGCCTTGCTTCAGCCCAGCCCAGACGTCTTTGCCTGTGTTGGCGTCTATCTTCATCAACACCCTGGTAATGAATTTGATCTCTCATATATGCCCGACCCCCTCGAGGTATCTCATCCGCAATGTCCGCCAACCTTGGTCTAAACCTCGGCATCGGACCTCCACCGTGGGGCAAGCATCTATCCGAGTCTTCAGCAGCCTGATTATGGCAACCAACATGTCCACAGGTGTGTTCATTACAGAAGGGTTTGCTTGTATCCCCCCTGGCCAGTCCGTGGAGCTGTGTCTGCCTAGGTCGACCGCATTCTGTGGCGAGGCACTTGTGATCGATGCAGGATTCCGATGAGCGAGTCCTAGGTGCCTGACAGTCGTGAAACTGACAGATATGGCGAGGACAGAACTGGTTGCCTTGTCCGACTCTTCGGCCACATCCTCTTCTGTCGCTGATACCTGGACATAAGTCATAGAGATCTGTTACTCTTAGTACTAAACCAAGTGGTGGGCCAGGCCTAGACAAGTCGAAGGAACTCACCGTCTTCGTAGACAACATATCTCATCCCCTGAGTCGAGAACCTTCTACCCCCAAAACCAGCCCCCATGCGCTGATGACCTTCACAAAACCGCCCCTCCACCACTTCAGCTTCACAGCCATCGTAGACACATTCATGATACGGACAGTATCCACTCCCAAGCTTTCTCTGTCGGCAATGCCTCGTCCTGCACCTGTGCTCTTTGCAAAATTCGCCCCCCTGAGACACATGGCCCTTCAGACAACCTTTCTCAGCGCACGTATGGGCGTGGCAGTAGAAACCCCCTTCGCGAGCATCGTCGCAATCAAGCACTTCGCAGTAGTGCGCGCCGCAGAAAGGTGAAGGCCGCCCGTTGTCTCGAGTATGGCAAGGACGTGGACACTGTGGTCGCTGGCATCGACGATGGCGTTCACAAAACCGTCGAGGGTCGTCTATATCAATGCCTGGAGCGAACGCCACGCAGTAAGACTCGTCACAAGTGTGCGATGTGCAAAATATTCCGACGTCTCGTGGGTTTCGACAATTGTCGTGCTCGCATCGATGTTCGGCACAAAACAGGACAGCTTGATCATTGCGCTGTGATCTCTGGCTTTGACATTCTGGGAACCCGCAAAGATCTGTAAATTATGTCAATCTCAGTCGTTGCAAGTCGAAAGACGTGAGTTACGGAGTTGTGTGCAATACTTGTATATCGCCGAATTCCCATCCTTCACATCCAAACTACACCTCGCCCCATTATCGACTGCCTGGCATCGAAGGTCTTCGCATCTATTAGCCACTCGTATCTGGCCCTAAATGCAATTGTTAACTCACGTTGACTGCAAACCATGGCTCTTGGTAGCTTTGCAATGAGACATGCTCGACCGCCCTCGATTTGTCTGCAGGCATGGAACTGGCAATACAAGGAAGAAACACTCTGGCCGTCCATTGTTAGAATAATTGGCCTGTTGCGACAAATCGTTCCTATTGCTGCGCATGTCGGCTCATAGCCGCGTCTTTGTCGGTAGGGTATACTATACATGTTTATCAGAGATCAAGACACTGTCAATATTGTGAAGAATAATTCCAACTGACCATCAGTCGTCGAGAGACTATTGCACCATCTCATGCCTTTATCTGCGGTGTCTATGCGGCTCTGCGCTACTTCAACCTCTGAGGGCACGTCTCACAAGGCCCAGAATCGAGATCATGGGTTATCACCAACTTAACATGGTATCACCACTTGTTGCAGGACATGCGGCGAGCTGCATCGAATGACAAACCATTAGGAAGACGTATTCAGCTTCCGGTCACCAATGTAGCGGATACGCCGCTTGGGGCATCTTGAACCTTGTAACATGAGCTACATCCAGAGTAGCCAAAAAAAAAAGAGATAAGAGACATAGCACATGAGATCACAGTACCAGAGTCGAACGTTCGTTGCCGGGTCATGAATTTCAATATTCTCACTACCGGCTGTTTCCAGTTCTTACCCATCATATCATGCTCCTTATTCGTGGTATCATTCCAAGCCAAAAGACCTCCACTTCTCTGTTTATCATTCTCTCCTCTCCCTTTCCCTCTCTCTCTCTCCTTTTTAAATCAGCCTTCGAGGCTTCTTTGATCTATAGAAGAAAAACTTTTTTTGCACAGTAAAAAAGACCACTGCCGACTGCGCCTTTGGTGCCACTCCTGATGCGTATCTAATTACTCTGGCTCGCTATAGAGCAACTGGTCCATCGTGAATTCAATAAATATATAAGCGTTGAAAAAAAATGTAAGGAAGAGATGGGGTCTCAATAAGGTGGGTTAGAACCTAGTCCAACACTTGTAGAACTTGCGTATTCAAGTCATTCATCGCTGTCCTACAGAGAATCTGCCACTGCAGCCTGGAGGCCTTGTAACAGAGCTGCCTCCGCGGCATTGTCGTGCATATGCTGATCCATATGTGTCTCCGGTACTGGCACGTGTGCATGAGTATGTGCGTGCATGCTTGGTGTAGCATTTGTAGGCGGAGGCGAGGGGAAAGTGAGCTGAGTGTGCGGAGCACCTGAATACTGAGGTCGATTATGGTGTTGGGCCGCAGGTTGAGGAGTCGGTGTGTGTTGTGCCGGCGGAGAGTGATGCAGTTGTCCGACGGGTGTCGACGTATGAGAGCGGTTTTGGGCAGCTGCGTGAGCATGGGCGGGAGAATGCATCGCACTGTGGTTTTGCTGAGGTATTTGTTGGTGTTGAGACCGTGGAGTTTGAGGAGACATGGACATCTGGGACTGTGGACGAGCAGCTTGATGGGGCGACTGCTGTGCTCCCGACATAACGCTGGGCCTGGCTTGCGGTAACGTTGAGGGCGGGTATCCCGAAGAAGTGGCTGGGTTATACGAGTGAGCGTTTGCTTGATTGTGCGCCTGGCCTTGCTGCAACGAAGCAGCTTGAGCAGGCGTCATAACCCCCGAACCAACGGCCGAGGCTGGTGTTCCTGCAGCTCTTCCCTGCCCATTAGGTGGGTTCTGCAGTCCTCCGGCGAGTGTCATTATACCTTGGAGCTTAGCCTGGTCTTCTTCCGAGTTCATTCTCGCGCGTTCCTCTGCCTCCTTCCTTGCCGCCTGGGTGGGAGCGCGAGTCTTGAGTTCGCCGGTGACTGCCTGAAGATAGTATGGCATCTCTGAGTTAGTCTTGAGGAAGAACAACTTGAGATTACGAGCTTTGTCTTTGAGCTGGACCTGTGTTCGATCTTTGAGTATGTCTGACATTGTACCAGCCGGTCCAAACAAGGTGAGTATTTGACTCCAGTGGGGGCCTTTGACCAAGTCGAGGCCTGCCATGAGAGCTTTCTCTTCATCTTGCGTCCAAGGCCGACGTGTCGAGTGAAGGCCTTCTCTTCTGGTATGGGACGAGTTTTTGGAGAGAGCAGCTTGACGTGCCTTGTCGTACAGCATTGCACTGGGACAGGTCTGGTTTGGTGGTAGGTGTTGACCTGGCTCAGGTGGCGGAGGTTGTGGCTCAGGTACACTCTGCGTATATGATGAATAGTATGTATTTTGAGCTTGTTGTTGTTGGAGTTGATTAAGGTATGATTGTGCTGTATATCGTTAGTCTACAATCCAAGACCACCAAGCTTTCGCTAAACTTACTGGTACTTGTGGGAACTGTAGGTTGATAGGGAACGGGTGATAGTCCATGCAATGTCGTCTTGACATAGTTGGACGTGCTCTCCGCTACCAGTGCCTCCAGTTCCTTGTAATCCGTTATTGTGTGCCCGTTCGTCTGGGGAGTTGAAGAAGTTTCCTTCTCGGGGCTCTTTGTAGGCTCAGCTACTGGTGTAGGTTCAATGGTCTCGTTCACGACCGGCGTCGCCTCGGGGTTCGGGTTCGGATTGGGATTTGGTTCCTCAAGAATAGGGTTGGCCGCATCTGTGGTGGTGTCATCGTTGGTGAATCCAGCCAAGGTGTCCTGAACAAGTGTTGATGCTGTCTTTTCGAAAAACGACGAAAGATCGTCCAAGTCAAGGTTCGGGTCGCCAGAAGTATCGGCCAAGAGGTCGACCGCAGTCTCTTCGCTGGATCGCATGGGATGACCAAGTCTAGATCCGAGATCCGACATTAATGCCAGTCTAGTCTTGACGCATGTTGAAACTTGTCGCAATAGATCGTCGACTTTGTACTTGTCCCTCAAAACAGCTACTGTTGTCAGCACAATAGTCCCCTCACTCCGTCGAAAGCACTTACCAGCCTCGGTTGAAGTCTCGCCTTCGAGCGAAGCTTTCCGTAGTCGGACTGAAGTGACGAATTCCGAGTCGGCAGGTGTAAGATCAAACCCGTTGTGAAGCCCACGTAGCTTGTCCTCCATCCCATTGATCAAAGCCTCCTCCAACACCTGCTCGTTTGATTGCTCTGGTGTTTTCGTGGCAAGCGCATCGATGGCAACTTGGGTCTTCAGTGAGAGGTAAAGATCGAGCGCGTCGGAGCCAAGGTCGGAAACTTGGCCACGGAAGATCGCGTGGAAGTGCTCGTGAGCTTCGGGATATGACGGTGTGGCCTGCAATAGCCAAATGCCGAATTGAGCAAGGTTCGCTAGGTCGAGAATGGTGCGAGATTCGTGATCTTGAAGATCGGGTTCGTCTGCAGACAGAATGGGCCCTGATGAGTAGATCTGCTTGATCTGCGCAAAGGAAGATTGTAGCTGGTGGAACGACTTGGCGTGTTGTGAATCGGCGTCTTGGATCGGTTTAATCGAATCGTCGAAGGATTGCGAGAATAAGAGCAGAACGGAAAGTGCCTATGCCAGCCATGTAAGCGCAGCAACATCTCTACGGTCGCGCCACCTACCATATTACCCAGCGCATGTCTACTGGCCTTGCGCAAGTACGTTTGAGGGTCGGAGAAGAACGTGATTGAAGGAGGAGATGGAGGAGGAGGCGGTGGTGGAAGCGGATGGTCGGTAATCCCATCGATTTCCATGGGATCATCTGTCGAGAAGGCAAAGTCATTCGCATTGCTGAGCGCATTCTGTACGAGGAGCGCAAGACCATCCTCTAATGACTCTTCTGCTCCTTGGTCGAGTTCGAGCGTGGTTTCATGGACAGGCTCGGTCTCGGCCTTGACTCTTTTGTTTGGGTCGTCGCCATTGGAGTGGTCTTCGAAGGGCCGTTTGGTCGCGGCTTGCATTATAGAATCAAGGTCAAGACCCAGGCCCTCGAGGATGTCGACCTCGTGGTTGGGCTCTTGCTTGATCCCTACGGTCACGGCAGTCAGCATCGGTTGTGTTTTCATGGGCATGAGCATGGCGAAGCAAAGTTTGTCCCGCGCAAGCTGACAGAGTAAAGTCAAGTCATTCTACAGTACGCACCCGTCGGGGACATGACCGCGCTGAGCTCGGGCTGGGCGGGCTCAGCCATCATGACGACTTTTATCAAAGCATACGCAGTAGAAGCACGTTCCAGGAGTGTTCCAGTCCTATCTCTAGCAAGAGAACTCGTGGCGTGGTGTCGTTCGGCGCGGCGGCGTAGTCGTGAGGCGTCTCTGATGATGGTAGATTGAGAAAGAAAAGCCCTGCAAAACGGCCCTGGTAATCGCGATACACAGAAGAAGACTGGGTCTCTAAAACTCGTGTAAGTCGTTTCAAAACAGAAGAATCGATGTTGGACGCTGTGTTGAGGGTTGAAGGTTGATGTTTTGGAGATTGACTTTTTCGCCGCGGGGCTGCGAGGCTATTGATCCATATCCGAGTGCCTTAAGATGTTGCTGGGCTCCAGTCAGAGACAATAGAGACAAAGCCAGTACTTGATTCAATTGAAGATTTTGGAAAAAATCGGGCGGGGATATCGGTGGTTATTTTGCCGACTAGGATATGGAGTTGAACAATGGCTGGGGGACCGGGATTATAAACGCTGCTATTGGTTGACTAGAGGAAGTTTATCGCGCCAGGCTCCTTGAGGAAAGGTGGTATCAAAATTTATCCTCCAAAAATTCTTGGCCACAAACGCTGCGCCATGATTGGCTAATAGACTCATCTAACTCACAATGTCTTTCTCACTTGGAGCTACCATGGATGCTTTATGAAGCGTGTAAGTGGGCAATCCATATGAATATATATTTCAGGTACTATAATACCAACAGGTAGTTCTCTACTCAACCCTCCGAGCAAACTAAACCACATTTTACAATAAGCTTTGCAGTTCAAAATAGACTTTGAGAATGTGCTTGAATAACTGGACACGTCTGTAGGAAAACTTTCCCCGTCCAAATCGACAGCATCCCGCTATTTGTTGCTTCGTAGTTCAACAATTTTTGGGGGAAGACTTAGCTGAAGCCATTGACCGGTTGATTATGCCTGAGAAACCCAAGATGATGCAGTTCCCGGCCTTCTCTCCTTTCGTGGCGACACTGTAGTGGTAGCTGGCAGGATGTCTTTCTATGCAAGTTCGATAATTGTTCGAGACACTTACCCGCTGGTTTCCTTTTTCTTTTCTTGTCCGACTTTATATCATGAATCTTCTTGCTCATATAGTACAAATACACGACCACTATCCGTTTGTATCATGAGCATGGTTTCGTCCTCTGTGACTGATATCAGGATGCTCCGGTGAACGCGCCGTTCTCGAGTCTCCCATTACATAACAATGAAGCTGTAATTTGCTAAGATAAATATACAAATGCCTTGAGTTGAGTAAGATATCTGATTGCTCTATTACGCGTACCCAGAGAATCATCCACTTGACTTAACCCCGTTTAAGGGACTACAGAAAGCCTTGGTATAAATGTAACTCTTCCTAAACTTTAACTTTACGACGAGTTTCTCCCACTCACGACTGAACATATGTTCTATCTTCGAACAGCGCAATGTGCAGTGAATACCGAATACCTGAAGAAGGCGACACAGATGCATTCGCAGCCCTACATATCACTCAGTGAAGCCAAGACAATGCTGCAAACCCGCAGTCCTGAGGCAAGTCAACGAGAATATACTACTAACTAGAAATCATTATTATAGTGGCATTGGAACCTAAGGCTTTATATTTTCGGCCTGTGCTGGTCTACTCCCACAACACTAATGATATACTCATCTCTACCTAAGAACGTTCTGGGCCTTGTTTGTGACAATTGCTACCCCAAAACACGCATCTTGTCCAGCCAGGTTGTCGAAGCTAGTTTCGCTTCTTTAAATAACATACTGTATATCAGACCTTTTTCTTGAGGTCTAATTCCAATGATTACTCCGTGATAATCAGCTTTCTCTGGAAGCAATGCCACACTCCTCCAGCCAACCTTAGCCCAGCAAGTGATATCTTGGGCAAGCAACTGCGCATGAGCGAGAGGTTCAAGTAGATTGCACGGGACTTGGAAAGTATCACTTACTTCTTATTAAATAATACTACAACGACGGGATGAATTTGAATACATAACCAAGTATTCATCTGCAGGAGATCTCTAGAGAGATCTTGACCCTCAAGTGACAGGTCACAACAAGGTCGTCCAGTTCAACTAGCGACCCACCACATCCTATGATGCCAACATATACTTCTGTTCCCGTGCTAGGTCCAACGTGAATCACATCTGAAATTTGACGGGGTAGACAACCTTAGTTTACACTTCTTCCCAGGTTCTGCGATTCAAGCTGGCTGTTGAGGGTCTCAACAGATCGACCACACAGACCCTAACGACCCGAGAAGGACATGATAGAGGGCGCCATTGCGTCGAAAAAGGTCCATTCCAATTAAACAGTATCTGTTGTTCTTAGCAGCCCTTGTAAGTTATAATTAACGGGGTACTCCGCATGTTGAGGTTGGCCGTTGTCTGATGACTGTCTCGTGATAACCAATTGTTGGCATAGGTTGCATGGTCATAGTAATAATCTTACGGGAGGGTTTCCTGCAACGATCAATGTCGTCCATGTCAATCTCTTCTGATCGGCAAGATACCATGGGGAGGGAATGGCCCGTATAGCAAAGTTCTATCAGATGATGACGGGAAAGTTCGACTTTCAAGCCTTGGGGCGCACCAGCCCGCAAGAACCTTCATTAGCTACCATTCCCAGAGATGATCTCCGCGGCATATACTCACTTAACTCTTCGTTATCAGGTAGCACTGCGAGGTCACGATGGTTTTGCAAGCTCATAGATAGACCCGAAGTGAGGTGAAGCAGCTCAATTAATACATGCATGTTGCTTCTTAGCTCTACGAAGTTCTTGGTGGTTATTGTTCGCCCTATTCAAGTCATCAAATGATACAAAAATAAAACCAATATCTAATAAATTGTTGTCCAGCTTAGACAAACTCAGTTATTTGCTCAGGAGTTTAGTAGACTCTCTCGGAGTTCAGCTCAGCATTGCTCTCTCGTGGCTGAATTAAGTAGAGCTCTCGTAGATTCCTGATACAACCCAGAGCTATCATTTCCTCGACCAGATTTGATCTACGTAGTAGTAGTTCAGACTTTGAAAACTGATTTCTTGAAGGTTACATATAGTCAAACATGTTCATGATAACTCAGGAACCACCTAGGTACCAACTCGAGAATGTAGGATGATTACCCCCAAATCTGAGGAAAGAGTCTCCTGAATGCTCCCACCAGCAATACAAAGCCAACATTCACCTACACATCACTCCCCAAATCTCTCCTTTTTGCATCTTACAAGTACCCAAGAACTACCTATATCCTATGCACCCTAAAGGCCATCTCTGGCAATCTATCTACCCCACGCTTCTCATGATCGACAAGAACCAATGCCAGACCCATACTCGCAACCCCTGGGGCAGATCACAGCACAGATACGACTACCGATTCCGCTATCTCCTTATGGGTTCTCTATCCATCCTCTTCCTTGCTGTGGTGATCGTTGTCATCATCGTTATCGTCGAGACGTCCAATGGTCACTAGGAGCACTCGGACGAAAATCTCGTGAACCTCGCCTCGGCACACAACCAAGTCCTGAAAACGACACATAATGGTGCAGAGAAAGAAAGCTATCGTCCACCGTTGCCAGTCTGCGGCAACGACTGCCAAGCCTTCTCCGAACCGGTTCGTTTCACCTTCATCCCCAAACACAAGCGCAGCTAAACTAACCTTGGGCTATTTTAGAACCTATGCTGCCCGCCGCTAAAGGATTGCCACGAGACTCCCGAGGCAATACTCTGCTGCGCCATGACTGACGACGAATGTGTCGTCGACGAGGAGCACCCGGTAGCTTGCGCGGTCAACACGACGCACAGCGGGCAAGATGTCGTCGGAGGGTGCTGCCCCGAGGGGACGACGTGTACGACGTGTGGTTGTCTGCAGGCATTGCGCAAGCACTTTATGCCAAGAACTGTGATCGCCAGGTTGTTTCGTAGCGATAAGGCAGACGACACGGTTAGTGCAGGGGTCAAGTTTGGGGAAGTTGGGGTGAAGTCGAGTGTGTGTCATTCATTCCTCAGACCAAGTTTGGTTATCGTATCTGCGGTTATCATCATGGTATTTGCGGCTACTATGTGACAACTCGAGTCCTTTCAAAGTAGCATAGGTTGAATTTCTATTAACTGCAACTGGAATAGCCCTTGATGTCAGACTTCCATCACAGCATAGCCAAGAGACTGATTGCAACTCTTTGCGTCATTTGCTCCCTATGCCTGTCTATCTGTATTCCTTGAAATATGCCAAACCATCCAGGGATACAATACACATGATGCGCATCGAGATTCCCTGCGCATTCCCATATCCCCATATCCCATCCCAAACACGTCATTACGTAGCCATCATTAGTTGTCAAACCATAATCATTCATCCATCAACCACAGTCCTCCGGAAGCAGCGCAGCTGCAGGCTCCACCAAGGAATGTATCTCCAAACCATGAACCAGCATCCACTTAGAGAAGTAGAAATTTGTATATGCGAAAAAGACAAGAAAAAAGCCGACCTAGATAAAACGCCAAATCCGGTGGGGGTATCATAGTATGTTTATGCGCGCGCGTTCAAAAAAAGAGTGGTAGAAAGTTTGTTTCGTCGAGACACCCGTCAACGGGGGTTCAGCTGGTTTGTTCACATCCACACAGCAAAGAAGAGCATGACGAGAACGAGGGCGATGCTGGTGTAAGCAACGTGTTTCCGTCCGGAAGCTGCGCTGCCCTTCTCGTTGGTGACGGATCGCGAAAACACAGAGGTGGTGCCGTTGTTGATGTAGTCGAGGACGTCGTTTGACGAAGACGCCAGGCCGAAGAGGAAGCTCATGCCACCCTGGGCGAAGGCCTTGACGTTGACGGATGCGGTTTCGACGATGGATACTTTGGGGCCTGTTTCGAGCATTTGGGATAGAGCGACTTGTCTCGCGCGGTCTTGGGCGATGATAGCTCGGTCGCGAGAGGGTAATTGCGATGCAACGCCTGGTGAGTTTGTTAGTACTGAAGAGGCAAAGTATATAATGTACTTCATTGATCATGTTGGAGGAACAATGGATTGCAAGGCTGCGAACTTACCATGTGCTGTGAACTGTGAAGTAGGTACTCTGTTACCCGAAATATGGACTTGGGCAGCGAATGCCAAAGACATAAACAGGGAGAGCAAAAATAGTGAAAACGTTGATGAGCGCATTGTGAATATGGGCTCTGGGAGTTTTCGAGACAAAAAAGACCGAGTGCGGACAAGGCGTGAATGTCCAATCAATGGTGTAGGTAATCCAAGACAAGAGAGTTTCTTGACACTGCGCGTCACAAACGATGGATCGACGAACAATTAAGGTTCTCTCTTCCCACTGTCCCTTCTCTTTGTATTCCGAAAGTGTTTTCCTTCAAACAATCCCAAAAACAACAGTAGCGACTGAGCGGAGGGGAAGGGAGGTATAAAAAAGAAGGTTGAATGTGCACCTTAAAGCTTAAAGTCGATTTGTTGTTGTCGTCCTGTTTTCTTTCCCTCTTGTGGAGCTGGAGCAGCCTTGTCTCACCCCCCTTGGGAGAAAAAGGCCGAGCGAGCTGAGACTTGGGAGAGAGTCAGAGTCTCAGACAGAGAAAGGGAGCTAAAGCTAGGCCGTGGGATTAAGTCTAAAAGGCGTGAAAGGCGCCCAAAAAGACGATAATTGGATGGTCTTCCCGGCCACGCGTACTTGCGTTAGGAGAGGTGTGCTTGCGCTGAGGAGTGTGAGTGGGCGTTCTTGGTGTGATCGTGGGGTGTGGTATGAGTGTGTGCGTGTGCGTGTTCCTCTTTTGGAGCAAGCCTCTTTTTGTCTCTGCGATGGCTTGATTTTTCGGGTTTGTCGTGATTGGGTATCACTTTCTTGGATATGCAGGATTGCTGATAAGAGTTTCTTCGGGCGTGTAGTATGAGGTTAGAAGGATAATGAGTTTGGATGTTTTGGATGAATGATGACGAAAAGGAGGATAATTGATGATGAGATTGGCATTGACTGGGGGGTGGTGGTTTCCTTTTCTCTTATTGAGTACTCCGTAAAGTTCGGGTAAATCAAGCAATAGAGTAAAGTAAGAGGAAAAAGCTTAAGCTTGTAGAGAAACATTTGACTTATGTTTAACCCCGACCTTGACCTTGCCTTGACCTTGCCTTGGCCATGGACTTAGATGACCCCCCCTGGCGAATAAACGTAAGCGAGTCAAGTTCGATGAATGCCCCATTTCGTGATCCCTTTTCTTTCCTTGATTCAAGGTACGTAGCATTTTGAATGGATTGCCGATGCAGATGCGGATGCAAACGCAAATGCAAATGCAAAATGCAGCCTGGAAAAGCTCAAGTGGAGAATGGGAAGGGTGAACGTTGCCCTCTTTTTCCCTCTTTCTCTCTTTTTCCCCGATAAACCAACTCAAACCGATTGGGCGATACAAACGCCTCCAAGGCCTCTTTGCAGGTCTTGTTCCCGTCTTTTTTCTTGATTTTTTGCTAGTCCCGAGCCTTTTTGCTCTCCATCGGCGCTAGAAACGAGAAACGAGCACTCTCTTGCATCTGGAGCCTTGCGCTAGCCCCTGGTTGGGGGGTTTCTGTGCTGTTTTAGTGGGACGGAGGAGGTCCTAGCAGTCAGATCTTTTTCTTCTTCACTGTTGGGCCCTCCTTCGCAGCCTTGCATGGGCCATGGGGGCTTTTCACAGCTTACGCTTGCAGGTTACAGGGGGAAGAGGCTGAAGCAAGGATTGAGCATGGGATTTTGTGCCAGATGTAACGCTGAGTTGCATATCTGACGACACATTTCAATGTCGGGTACTTCTTGATTGAGTCAGCAAAGAACTACAGTATCTGAGTTGGTATCGTGAGACTCATGGCTCCAGCTATCAACATAATCGGCATCTACCAAAGTCAATGTCTGTTTTCTCAAGAGGTTTAACGACTCGTGGCGAGACACACAAGCCATCGTCTTTTGCCACAGTGCCCCTGAGCTACCTACCTACAGGCTACGGATCGACAGGCTACAGCTAACTAACATAGAGGCGAAAAGGGAGCAGGCCAAGGCCAAGGCTATCTACGGGTAGTCCAACAAAACAAAAACAAAACCCCTCATTCTGATGCTAATGCTGATGCTGATGTGATGCTCTCATCGGCAACTGTTCCCTTGTGGATCTCTCTCCTCTGCGCGATAACCGCTCCCTCTCAATTCCAAGGTTTTTTCTACGTAGTAAACCTCCTCTTCCCATCTGGACCAGTCCAATCCCCCACATTCCCTTATACATGACGTGGGCTCTACCCTTACCCAAAGACTGGTTCCACTATTGCGCCGATTGGATACAGCTCCTTTTTTTCTTTCTTGGAGACTTTGGAGAAAGAAAGAAAAAGGGCAAGAATCATTTCAGGGAATTCTAATCGCTCAGACCCTCTATCGGAGAAAAAAGAACAAGACGTCAAGAAAACGTGGAGCTCTTTCTTTCTCGGTTGCTGATTGCTGATCTTTGTCTTGATCTGTAAAAGTCGCAGGGAACTGGCAGCTTTACATCGACTTTCTTGGCTCAACGTCAGTTTCCCTTTGTAGTTTGTAGGATTAGGACCCCTTATCCATGTCTTGAAACGGTCTTGCATGATCTCTTAACTCGGCAAGGCCCGAAACACTGACAACATTCTCAATTATGAGTGTCATGCGTCAAAACTGTTTCCAGGGTCGTGGGACTGCAACTGCGACGGTAATGACAGCTGATCTTTTTCTTTTCTTTTTCCCCTTAGTACCTTTTCCACCGAGTTCCCAGCGATTCAAGAGTCGAGACGTGAACAGCCTCGTAGAAGGTCTCAAATTATTCTATCGTGTTTCATAATCCACACTCGCAATGTCTCAAGTACAACCACAACCAACACCAACACGAGGCAAACCACATCCTTCGAATGATCCCTGCATATTCCATAAATGCATGCCAGTCAGCAATAACAATCCCGAAATTAAATATCGAAATTCTCATTTAATCGTAAATTCGTGCATAGTTACGGATACACATGTTCCATCCAATACCAACACATGACAATCGCACAATCCTAATTATGATAACAATACTTTTCAAATGTCCACTCCAGCTCCAGCAAAGAAAATCATTCATGTAGGTATATGCCAGCCTTGTAGGCCGTGCCCCTGCGTCAGATAGATGAAGCATCCGCTGACTGCATATGCGCATGTAGTAAACAGTAACAGTAGGTAATAAACCGTCGCGTTTCATGTCTTCCATCCTAATATAAAGGATTCAGTCCCCACACACTCATCATAAGCATCGTCCTGGAAAGCAGAAAGCAAAACAAACTTCATGTAGCGTCCCATTGGCCCGCAGAGTATTGCGACACGGCAGAGTGTTGTGTATATGCCACATTGCGTGGCCACGAGCTCTGCGATCGTACCGGGTGGAGGCCAACCGAACCGACCCTGTGAATCGCATCCGCGTCGGCCTCGCTGCTGCCAGTCGTGCGGCTCACTTGCGAATAACCTCCGCTGCTGCCGTTTCGACTGTGCTGATATGTCCGTGGTGTTCCGTAGGTGGTATTAGATCCGGTTGGCAGGCTGCCCACGAAACCATCTCCGACAGAATGTATCTGCATCGCACCGAACGAGGCCTCGAGGTCTTGCGAATACTGATGTACGCAGTGTGGCTCTGTGATGTCGCAGACCTCGGTCAAAATCTGGTAGATGCGCTGTTGTACCTCAATAGCAGCAGGTCGGCCGTACGGATTAGTCGCCAGCATGTCCGTCACGACATGAAGTATAGGGGTGACGCCCTTAAGCATGTTCGCGCCATCCTTGGTCGATGATGCCTTGCGCGATGCGTCTTTGGCGAGGCCTGACATCCACGCTTCCACCTGTCCTAGATTCTTATGAAAGGACGTATCCAACACCGCCCCGCCTCGGCCGCCTGTCTTGTGCTTCGCTGATCGAAACGTCGCAAACTTGCTTGATGTCCGTTTGACTAAATATGATAAAAGCTCCAGTATGATACAGCCTACCGAGAAAATGTCGGCTTGCTGTCCACTTAGTTGAGGATTTGCTGCGATGAACATGGCCTGGGGTGAACCACTCAGATCGTATGTCTGCATCATACCGAAATGGCCATCATCGGACGGAAACCTGCTCGTCGGACTCGTTGCCCCTGCAGGTCGAGACCATAATTCCGGTGCAGCATAATCGTATCGTTCACGGTCAAACGACGATTTGTCGGTATGAAGAATCACGTTGTCGGGCGTGAGTCGGGTTGAGTCAGAAAAGAAAACGTGATTTTGACTGGTGAAAAATATGGTTGAAGGTTTGATATATCCATGCGATTGATTCTTTCCGTGGAAGTCGCAAAGCGTATCGACAAGACACAAAATCCAGTTCATGACGAGCTCTCTCCGGCGAGCTTTTGCGAGGTTCTTGAACTGCGATGGTGTTGTTGCCAGAAACGACTTGAGGGTAAAGTCGCTCGACGGCGTGAAAAGAACGTATCCATATCCGTGCTGCGTATATGATGCCCAGTACGAGATCATGTGCTCGTTTTGCAGACCCTTGATCCCTTGGACAGCATCAAGAAACTCCTGCACGGGAATGGCTCCAGGGCCGTTACCGAGAACGTATCGTCGCCGAGAGAATATTTCACCCGGAACGTTGGGAAGCCTAACCTTGTCGTTGCCATGGGACTTGTGCGTGGGCAAAGAAGGTTTCTCGGCAACATCCAGGGGCACAACATCGTTGTCCTTGTAAGCCACATGACTCCCGCGTTGTAGAGGCTTCAGGAGGAAATGAAATTGCCGCTGATAAAACTTCTTCTCGACCTTCTCGTCACGAGTAGCAGTTAGCAATAATCGATCCACGTCTTCGAGAGCAATCGGAAGCTCAGCATCGTCCCAACCATCGTCGACGACTCCGAAGATCTGATCTGGCACGCCGAGGTCGGCGAGAATAAGAAACAGGCGAGGAGCATCATTCCGGATGCTCTCCCAATAAGTACGCTCCGTCAGATCCTCGCCGCCAAATGCAACAGGACGATCCAAGCGATCAACCTCGTCCGGAAGGAGTTGGCTGGCGACATAGGACCGAGTGACGGTGGCTTCTATGCGGGAGTCAATCCACCACTGTCCCATTGTCGATTTGGTTCACTTGATGTTGGAAGGTGAAAAAGGAGAGAGCCCCTTGCGGTACAATGGCTATGGTTTAGACCTGCATCAGTGGTTTGCAGAAACAGAGCTTGAGCGTATTTATGGCGGTTATAACTGAGTCTACCAGAAGCTGGGACTGGGTGTATATATCCCAGACTCTCAATGGTCGGAGTCGAAGTAACGCTGAGTTGATGGCTGGTTACAGTATCCACGAGGGATAGAAGGATTCGGAGGCAGAAATAGAAATAGGAATAGTTGACAAGTGACAAACGACAACTTTAAACAGTGGGCACGAGCAGTTTCATATGATTCAGTTTAGTTCAGTTGAGTTGAATTGGTTGAGAATGCGATTGCGGATTTGTTTAAAGGTGACGTCCAGGGATCGGGGGCTCGCCTCATGGCTTGCAGCATGACATGGACATGGCCAGGTCCAGAAGCTTAAAAATTAGAAGCAAGCAATAGGCGAATTGAAGCGAGAACAGAAACAAATTGCAGTGCAGATTGGCCAAGTTTACGGATACAGCAAAGTAAAGAAAAGGAAAAAGGCAGAGTAGCAGTAGCAGTAGCAAGAGGGCGTAGTGTTCCGAGTTTACAGTAGAAACTAGAAACTAGAAAGGTAGGGCCTGTAGCAGTAGGGGGGGAGAGAGAGAAAAAGATCCAATGGGCTTGTGATTAAGGTCGACGCTTATCTCTGCGTCAAAGTGGGATTGCCCGCGTGATTGGTGGAGAGGGGGCTAAAGAGACAACGGGCGCAAGATAAGATCCTAACGTTTTTAAGGGACGCCTAAATTTTCGATTGCTGATGCTTTCAAAGATTGAGTTGAGATATAAGGCACCTCGGAACTGGATGTCAATCGTAATCTAAATGGTTGCACATAGTAACGAGAAAGTGGCTGTCTTTTGTTACTGCTTGGTTTGAGGCTCGTGATGAACATGCTCGCTTCCGTCTGCATCTCTCACAGACTCTTGGTCTAGGTCTAGATTCATGAACTTCCATTCCCTGGGCCATTAGTAGCGGGCGTAAACTGCACAGGTTCAGCGGGCGTCTCGGGTCGTCGGTGACTGAACTGGGTTTTTGATTCATAAGTCGAGGTACGTAGATGTAGCGTCCGAAAGTTATTAATGTCGCGTGCTCACTCACGTTTTAATGTTGTATCCAATGGTAGGCTGTGATGTATGTTTAATTGAAGACTACCTACCTTAGGCATATATATATAGTCATTCATTTGTCTGCAGTTCCCATACCCAGATACGCTCTTGAATAACAACATCTACGTTCACCACAACAGAAATACAACACCAAAACACTCCCTCCAAAGCCTCGCTTAGGCGTCCCCCGTCAATGGATGGATTATGGGTGTTGGGCGGATTCCAGGTGCATTTCAGCGGGCGTAGGTGACATGACGTTTTTCCCCCGCCAAAAGGGTTCAACACCAATTGGCCCCCACCATCAACCAACCTCCAACCTCCATTTCCCGTCTTCCACTTACAGACCCAAACTTGACGCTTTCTGAACTTTCCATATCCTCGGGACATTCCATGAAACCTCGCGACCTCGCCTTTTACCTTTTACACAAGAGATCTACAGTCACTGCAACAAACAGACGTAATCTAATTTCCTGCTGCACAGAAACATTCCTTATGTAAAACCGCACCATATACCCTCCAGACACTGTAGCATCTACACTCATCTCGCTCCCCGTCCAGGCTCAATATAAGTACAGTTGACAGAACTTATTGGTCCATGCCATCTGCGGTGCAACCGCTGTCTCATGAATCATCTCCTATCCATCCTTAACCTTTACCGGCAATACGAAGCGGGAACTGTGGCCAACGGCCGTACAACAGCTTAAAAGCGCCCGCAGAGGTGCACATGTCCTGTTCCATCTTTTCAGCCCTTGATGGTCTTTTCTATTCCCGGTCGAGAAACCCGCCAGTAGCTGACCTGTCGATTTTTGCGTGATTTGGTATCTGGAGAGTCGCACAGTCAAGTCCGGTTGTCAAACGTTGCCTATTAGTTCTCCTCAGATGTGGTTCTCTTTTCCCATATGCATCCGTAGCGTTCATAGATATAGCATATTCAACCAACGTAGTTCCGATTTTACATTGGAGAACCAAGACTTATATATGGGTGGTTATTTGCTAAACAACTGTCGTGGTCACCATTCTTATACGACGAACCTCGAACATGTCCTGGTAGATGCATATTGTCAACCCACCCTATCATAGACCATTTAATAAATCATACAAGTTCGGTCTATGTTTTTAATCAATCGCTTTAAGGTCTGGCAAGGTAGCTCACTCAGACTCCAATAGCTTTGCTTTGTAGGCCATAACAGCCTGTTATCCCTGACCCTATATTAACGCTCCATAGCCAAGCGTTCTCTAATTTGACATTATCATGTACATTCAACCTCTCTATATTCCTCCCACTCACTCTCTTAAGTAGAACCCGGCGCCAGCGTCAAGTTCACTCCATCTTCTGTCCGTCCCTCCCAATAAACGTCCTCATCCCCCGGTCCACACCCGCAACCCGCCGCGCAAGAGTCTGCACTCCCACCGGCAGCACATTCAGCCAGTCTACCCACCGCGCATACAGCGGCATGGCAACCGTAGCGCCCTTGCCGCTGTCGATAGCCGCCACGATCTCCTTGGTCACGTCCACGGGCTCCACGACAGGCGCGATGAACGAGTTGGGCGTCTGCACCCCGTAGAACAGCGGCGTGCTCACCTGGCCGGGCGTCACTAGCACTGTTCGGATCTCCGGGTGGCTCTCGCGTAGTTCGGCTGTTAGGGAGCGATGCAGAGCTGTGAGGCCGGCCTTTGCAGCGGCGTAGTCGGTTAGCTGTGCGGCGCCGACGGTGCCGATGACTGAGGAGATGTTGACGATGGTGCCGCCCCGTCCACCGCGGATAATGGCGGGTAGGAATGTCTTGAGGCAGTAGAAAGGTCCAAGGAGGTTAGTTGTGAGACTCTTATCAATCTCATCCAGTGATAGATCCAAAAGTGTCTTCCCAATGACAATGGCAGCGTTGTTGATGAGAACAGTCGGTGTGCCAAGCTGAGATATGATTAACAAACAGTTCCAACCACTTTATGAATATCAAACTTACATCCTTCTCAATCTCGAGCGCAACCTTGGCGACCTGCTCCTTGTTTCCGACATCACACTTGTAGTACGTAACACCCCTCGCCTCCGTGTTCTCCATGCCATTGACATCCAGCACCGCCACCGTCGCGCCGCGCATACCATACACCTCAGCGATGAGCAGGCCCAGTCCGCTCGAACCACCCGTAATGACAATAACCTCTTCACTGAGGTCCACCTCACGCGGGATGCCGTGGGCGATGCGCTGGTTGATCACGCTGGCCATCCAAAAGAGCGTGACGACGGTGGCCCAAGCGATGGCAGCCACCATAGGCGGGGCCTCCCATTTTACCGTCTGCGCGCGGAAGCACAACGGTATAATCCAACAGACAAAGGGGTGAAGAAGCGTGGTGTTGAGAACTTTGAGCAAGAGGTCGATGGAGAGCGGCGCAAACCATGAATCGCGCTGTGGCGGCCGCGGGTATTGTGCGGGCATTATGATATTAAGTCAAGCGAGACCGGATACTTGTAAGGTAAGTGAGTATTGAATTATTATGAGACAATTGAATGAGTGAGTGGCTTTTTGAAGGACTGACGACTTATTTATGAAAGAAAAAGGCCAGAGTGGTGATGCCAAGCTTGTGGTTGAAGGTCCGTTTAGCATGTGGCAGTGAAACCATAAACGTCTCTAAGCGCCCTATGTCAAACCATACCCCCTGTCGCATCACCGTAGTGAGCCCACCTCACCTTAAAGAACATCCATCAACACGGGGTAAGTTAAAGTCTACGGCGTGTGACGGATCAAGCCATTGGTAGAGTTGTCTTAGCGTGTCGTAGGATATGTTCAATTCTTGCCAATGATTTGTATGAATTATGAGTTTCTTCTTTAATAACCATATAATTCTTGTCTTTATAATTATGAGCCAACGCTTAAACTCCCATCTTCATTGATCATGTTACATTTCATATAGTAGAGTAAGTTTACAACTATGATACAATACACAAGCGCCGGTCTATATGCAAAAACTGGTCATCATGCTCATCGTACAATCGCCATTTTAAGATCCATCCCTTCCAGATCGCGGGGTATAGGTACCCTTTTGAGAAGAATATGTGCTCTTGCGAGGAGTGTATGTGCCATCCCGAGGAGTGTACGCGCCCTTTCTGGGAGCATAGGTACCCTTCCGGGGAGCATAAGAACCCTTAGTCTCTTGGCCATCACCCTCCTCCCAGTCACGGTTTCGCTGAACCGCATCCTTTCTCCAGACGTGATACGTAGGGTCTCGCGTGACACCCTCACGTCGCCATTTCTGCGGCGGCTTGATACCAAGCGCGGCCTTCTGCTCCCAGACATTCTTTCCACGACGGAACCAGCGCTCCTCTCGGCTTTCCTCCTCCTCGGGACTGGCCTGCCACTTGCTCCTCAGAATACGACGGATGGCCTCGGGCGATACTTCGAACTTTTGCGCAAGGGCAGCGGTTGTGTAGACTTCGGGAAACTGAGCGTTGAGGGCACGAATTCCAGCCAGAGCATCAGGAGAAAGTCGCTTTCGAGGACGCCAGCCTTCGGGGAACTTCTCTTTCAGAGCTGCTTTTTGGTTCTTCCAGAAATTCTCTTTGACTTGCGGTGTTCCTGGAGGGGGGCCCTTGACCCGTTCGTTGAAAACTCCTTTGAAGCCTCCGTCATCGCCAGGCTTCAAAGGCTTCTCTCTTCGCTTCCGTACTACGTCATTTGTGCCTGGCTGTGCTTTCCATGGTGTCGAAGTGTCTGGAGTTTCGGGTAGATCGAGAGGGTTGTCGTCTTTAGCTGAAGACGTCTCATTGGCTGGTTTTATATCGACAAGCGGCTCCGTATCTTTTGAAGCTTCACCAGAAGCATCTTGGTTAAGATGCGTTGAGAAGTGTAGAGATCGAGCCTGTCGCGCAAAGGCAAAATTGTTCTGATACAGTGCCGATCGAGCCGCCTGGGTGCGAATTGGCAGGCGAAGAAGGGAAGGAGAGGATTCGACTTTATGTACTTGAGACAGGCCCTGCACAAAGATTTTCAAAGGCGTGGCGCGGCATGTGCAGCTCATCATGAATACTTGGACCGAACGCTGCAATCCAAGAAATGATAGGAAAATGTGAACCAAATTTGAGCGAGCCTTCATGATGGGAGCAGGGGTCTGTAAGTGGGGCCATTGAGGCGTGGGCTTAACTCAATTGATGTCACGGAGTTATGATAGCCCGTTTCTCCAGGCATCGAATTCATGATTCAATACGGATTTGTAAATGCAGGTTTATTGCCTAGTTTTGCCGTATTCGACTTTGGAAATGGGTTTGGCTTCTCATTTTAATCATGGGTGTAACCGTGTGTTGTATCTACTTATACCAATCCTGGTACAAACGAGGGTGACTATGAACTGATTAACATCCAAATGAGCTTCAACATTCTTACGGTGCAGACCTTACGAGACTTCTTTATCAAGTTTATAAATATTATAAAGAAAGAATTTGATATGCAAAAGGTTATGTTATGCTGTTTTTCACGATACACAAGCAATACCATACGCCATGAACACATGGCATCTAACGTTGGCAAGTTGGTTACCCTATTCTCAAACTCAAACCCCTTGCATTTTGAGATAAAGAACTAAAACCGATTCCTTGACTTCAGGCACATTTCTTCCAATGCATCTATCATGATTATTTGTGCTATTATCTAGATGTCGCTGTCATCGATCTTTCACACGAGTCGGACATCAACTCCGGGCACGCTAAAACGAGGCGATCCTCGATTCGTGGTATTGGTGTCCTGCAAACAAGTATTGCCACTCTATATCAAAGGCCGATGGAATTTTCTTGAGTGCATCATGTATATATCAAGCAAGTCGAAATATGTCTGCTCGCTCGTATAAGTAAATTTGAGACTGATTGATAATGTTGCTAGTGGCTAGTGTCTACCAACTTGCTTCATTGAACTGAATGAGACCTCGTTTGGCCACTGTAAGGTGATGGCCTATATTCTCAACAACATTTCCGAAGAGTCTTGATGGGAATATCTCGATATAGCAGACAATCCGGCTATGACACGAATCTCTCATGATTCGACAATGTTCACTTACATAACCCCAAAGACGAGATGTTAGTTGATTCATGACGCAAACCCACCACCTTAGCCCCATTTTCGTTACATAGTTCTGCGGCCTCTTTGTTCCGTATAACATGCCAAGTAGGGACACGTTCAAGTGATAGACTAGACAAGGAAGTTGAAAGCTGTTCTAGCGCCGCTATTCTTCAGAATGGAGTAGACAACATGTGTCCAGCCGTCATGTATCAGATCGTGCTCGTCATCAATATGTCGAAGTGCCTGAGAAAAGGAGTCCTGGTTTAAAGAAATGGATATCCCTTACTGCCAGGATGTTTCCTACTCTTAACGGATATTCCTGCCTGAGTCGATACAATGGATCACCGCTATTCCTCAGATTTCAATGATGCTAGAAACGTCTGGGGTCATAAGTTTAACTGGACCCCTGACCATCAGACCGCACCTGAGATTGCTCACTTGCTCTATTCGTATGATAAGCTAGCTACAGATGCTTTGGATCGTCTGGACTACTTCTCCCCGCCGACCTCGAAAGGATGGAAGTGCCCTCACGGCTCTGGTCCTGGGCAGAGAGACCTGTATGAGCTCCTGAAGAAACACGCCGACTCGGATGAGATACTGGGGAAGCTTTGGAATGAAGCCTCTACAGTACCTGAGTGGGTTGACTGGGACCAGATTCAGCGTGGACAGCAGGTAGTATATCAGTTCAGCGGACAGATTATGTTCGGAGTGAGTTGAAAACAAATATGTCAGAGAATCACGTCTTGCTAACAACTTTGAAGCTTCTATATAACTCGCTGCTAGGTGGAATGGGCGCATATCGAGTTGTCGAAACTCTTTCGAGGACAGGAGGGTTTGGTGTTAACGTCACTAGACGTCGTCTGTTGGAAACATTGCAACATTTCATGGAGGTTATCGAAGATATTGATGCAATAAAGCCGGGCGGGAAGGGCTATGTATCTTCAGTGCGAGTACGCCTTTTACACGCCTCGGTTCGAAGACGACTTATGCAACTCGAGCATGAGAACCCGGGTTATTTCGACATGGAGAAATGGGGAGTGCCAATAAACGACATGCACTCCATTGGAACTATCTCGGTGTATTCCGTGGCCATCGTCTATCTCGCTTTGCCTCGACAGGGCGTCCACTTGACCGACCAGCAAACCGCTGACTACTTCGCTCTATGGCGTTATGTTGGATATCTTCTAGGAACGCCCGTGGATTGGATGGCCACGCCAGAACAAGCCAAAGTTCTATGGGAGTCAATCGCAGTATCTGAGATAGCCCCGTCGAAGAACTCCCAGATCCTCGCAAACAACATCCTCACAGCAGAAGCTCGAGTTCCACCGCTGAATCTGCCTCGGGAGGTACTCGCTGCCCATGCGTACAGGCTCAACGGAGACGAACTCGCCAATGCCCTTGGTATCGACAAGCCGAGTCTACGCTTCCGTGCTATTGTGTGGTTGCAGTGTGCTTTTCTCTTCTTGTTGAGCTACAGTTACCCCTGGCTGCCAACTCACATGCAGAAAAGACGAGAGCAAGTACGTATACATCTTTTCCCTTTCGCCTTTCATCCATAAGACTGTCTTCTCTTTGTGTGTCCTACTACCTTGGTTATCACAAAAGATACTCAGCCACTTACATCCCCGCCCATAATACGAGCCCGAGAAGCCCGAGCTGACGCTTACAACAGAAATTCAAAACCTTTGCCAACTTCATGGTCCACAACAAAAAAATGGGTGGTATCGGCGATCCCACCACTTTCGAGTTCCAGTATCTCCCTCGCCTCGGGATGCTCACAGAGCTGGGCATGGACAAGAAACAGGAGGCAGAGCAGTCCGCATCAGCTGGTTTCTCCAAACCCATGATCGTCTTGAGGAAGGCAGTGCTCGTAGTCGGGACGATTGCCGGAGCTGTAGCAGCGGTGAGCCTCGTCAGATTCGTGGGCGTATCGAGTATACCGCGCCATCTACTATCCGCTGTCTTGGCGCAGCAAAGCCTCACATGGGCTGATTAGTGCAATCACTTGATGAAAGAACTTGGTCAATAATACAAGTCGTTCACGGTGGGCGGTTATTGAATGTTATGCGCTCTGAATATGATTCCTAATTCAGTAGAACCAACTAGCTATAATGTACATTTGCGCCAGTAAGGTAAAGGCCGACTATTTGTGGCACATTTACCGCTATTTCCAAAATGATGACCAAATAATATATGTTTTTACCAACGCCGGCAGTAACAATGCTGAACAGTGGGAAATGCTCCGATGTAAACCTAGGTAGACAGACCGCTCCTCGTGCCATTCCCGAATCCCCAGTTACCATTATCATATCCGTATCCCTAAACGCCAAAAAAGAAAAGCCATATTATCGATTGCCGCGTGAGTCAACTTCATCTAGCTTAAGCACTGTGCATCAACTCGACAGGAGGTCGAGCAGTGTGTGCCAAGATGGGCTTGGAAGGCTCCACGGGGCTGTACTCGATGGGCTCGTCCGTCATGTCCTCGACAATAACGGCAGGGAAGGTGCTCTTCTCCTCGGGCTTGTAGATGAGAGTAGAGGAGCGCGAGCGTGTGCGGCCTGGCAGCGCAGAGTCGGGAGGAGTCACGGGTGAATCTTGGCTCTCGTCGACAGGGCCAGGGCGGTGGTGCAGCTTAGCAAGCGCATCAGCCAGATCCTCGGCGTGGACCAGCTTGTTGGGCGCATCCTCAAGGCGCATCTCCCAGCCGTGGGGAGGGCTAGGCGGGGGCGAGATGAAGAAGAGCTTGCCAGCGTCGGGAAGAGCGAGGTGCTCGTCGCGCTTGTCGACGGGCGTGGACTTTCCAAAGTAGACGCGGCACTGCTGGCCCATGATGGCCTCATTGTCCCAGATCTGGCGGACGTCTATGGCGGCCTGCTCATCGTAGAAGGAGACGACGATGCGGCGGAAAGACTTTAGCGGGGCGAATGCGTGGATGGGGGCCGAGTGGGTGATGAGGTCGCGGATGACGTTGAGGTTCTCGGGGAGGAAGATGGCTGGGTCGGTGAGGTTGGTGAAGAGGAGTGTGTTGGAAGGAGGCGTAGGCGGGGTCATAGGTGGAAGGTTGGAGAGGTCGAGAGTAAGGTTTGAGCGGCGCGAGGCGGAAGAGGAAGATCGCGAGTGTTGCGGTGTGGTCTCCATTTTGGTGATGTGGTGGTTGTTGTTGTTGTAGGTAAAGTTGTAGAAGAAGAAGAGAGCAGTTGGGAGTGACTGGCTCTAAAGTTGCTGAGTTGTAGGTGCTTTAGATAGTGAAAGATCTACCGGGTGCTGTCGATCTGTTGGTGTGATAGATATTTGTTTATATCGTCGACCTGCAAAGATTCTCTCTTGCTGTTGGTTTGTTTGTTTGGTTGGTTGCTTTCTGAGTTGAGCTGTGGAAAGAAAGATGTGAAGCAAATATGCGAACTGGGTGGCCTATTATGTATTCAAACCATTTTCCATCCTCTTCCAAGCGCCGCCCGCCTCAGGAACACGACGACTACTAAGCCTCCGCAGCGGCTCCAGCTCGAGAACTGTCGCTACTCGCTCCGTCGCTTCCAAGCCCGCTACAGTGGCCACGCACAGAACCGGGCTAGCGGGCTGCTGTACAGGGTCTTGGAGGCCCGGGGGCTGTGCAATGCTGCAAGGTCCTGGGCTCCCCATTGTTTTTTGGACGTGCTGGCCAGTAGCGATACGTCTAGAGGCTGGAAAACCTCCCGGCCATGGCGATGGCGATTCCCATCCTTGGTCCGGGGCCAGAACGTTAAGCTTTTTTTTTTCTTCCTCTCTCGATCAATCGGACTAGGAAGGACCTTGGATGTTTTTTTCTGTTGAGGATATTTAAGAAGGCTGTGTTGATAGTGCTAAGGGGTAGAATGCCAATGCCATCCTCGACTCATGGTTTCTCCATACCTAGCATGTGCTTCATAGCCCGTGTATCGTACATATCTTGTTCTGCACGTTCTCCACCAGGTAAAGCATATCCTGCAGACTACGGATACATACAGAGTTGCATACAGATAGGAACTTACTTCAGGTACGTAGTACTTGTTTGGGGCAGTAAAAGAGAAATTAGACTATCAAGGTTAACTCGTCACGTTTATCCCTCCACAGCCACCTCTTTCCCGGATGAATGTTTGCTTGTTGTTTGTGTGTGATCATCTGTCTCGAAAAGTCATCTTCAAACCCGATTCAAGCCATCCACTGTTTTACCGCTCAATGAATCCGATCCAGCAGAGATCGTCTCTGGACTTTGCGAACTTCTGACACACCCACCCCCTGGAAACCTGCATGACACTACTGCAGTGTATTGCATTTTGACCCAACCCCAGACCTTTAACCTCAAGTCCTCAACCTCGATACTCCGTAGACTTTGCCATAGTTAAGACACTGCACGTTGTTGAAGATAACTCAATCTGATACCCAACGGTAGAAACAAGCTCTATTGAGTTACTCGTTATCAACACTTTAACGTCCCCAGTAACAACGGTTTCTAACAACTCAGATCTATTCCAACTGCCACTGCCACCTGGCAACTGACCTGGGTTCCCTATCTACCCGCAAGGATCCCCCACAACTGCACTCCAGGCGTGGCCACTCACAGCTCTTAAACACCCGATGACACTCTCCAAAACTCAAAGGGGGCTGTGCAAGAGCCAAGAGGAGAAACAACATTCACTCACTCGCATTCACATCCTACGAAGTGCGAACGAGTCTGTTCCTCTTCCGTCCCGAGACCCCCGAACACGGCCACGACTTGACAAGTGCCGTTCTTGTGCTGGTGTATCCTAAGCTTATACGACGTTCCGTTCCTGTCAATGCTTAATCTAATATACGCCCAATATCAAAGAAATATGGGCTTCAGCTTTTACTTCGTGGCTGTATATTCTTCTGGCGAAATTGCGGTTGACCTCCGCCCTCTTGGACCAGTCTGGACATGGCAACATTGGTGTTTGACTAACTGATAGACTACGGGTAGCCCCATGTCTAAGAAAATCGCTTCGGGATGGAGCACTATATGCCGGGTGGGGTCTTTTTGAAGAGGCCTTGGTTATTGCTCGTAACTATCGTCAATGTCGTCACTTTGGCCAACTCTACGGATATCCACATACCTAATACGAGTAGAAGAGGCAGCTTGTCTTGTGATTGAGCCACGACAGCGATAGCATGCTCAATTATTTGTCCGGAATCAGCTGTACCGTGCCTTGAACTAACATAGAATAGTCTCTTTACTCTGGTATTCCCCATATTCTATTCGGCTTGTCTTTGCAATGATACCTACCCTAATGCTATCTAGTCCATGTATACTATCATGCCAAGCTTTACAAATGTCCCTTAATTTACAGCCCGAACAGTGACATGCAGAGATAAAGGCAGGCCACTGGGGTAACCAACCTGCCAACCACATATCACTCGCAAACACCAACTGGTTGTAGTTAAGGAGTCTTCTCATACCTTCCTGATCTGGATGTTCAAAATATTGGGGATAAAAAAAGACTTTAAGCGACTATTCACATCCAACATTCGGTAAACTAAGTGGTGTGCTAGTTGAACAACATGGAATTTCGTGATCTGCGTAGATATGACAATTCTCCTCACAGTCATAGTATGAAGTTGTCATGAATAAGCATGTTATCATGCTTGATATGATTGACTTACTCCTAACCAACATTAAATTTAGCAAGAAGGCTAGAGCTTTAACACTGACTCGCCATTGCTATTCAATAAAACCACGATTCGAGCTAAACTCAGCAAACCGAGGTCCACATACACATACTGTCTCATTCATTTTATCCAACATCTCGGCCGCATAAAAACCTCCGAAGCAAGACAACGCCACTCAAGCTTACGCCACACCGCACAAGCCACCTGCCTCATCTCCCGTCTCTCTCTCTCTCTCTTCCATTCCCACCCCTGTCACGCTGTCACGATATACCACCCCTCTGGGAGGCAGCTCGCCTCATGCAAGGGACCAAGAAGCCCGGACCAGACGTGGCTCAGCACTCAATATCGTCACGTCACTTCTGCAAAGCCATTCGCAGGAATCCTGCAAATTGCAATTGTCACCACTACTGCTACTCGGTTGTGGCTTGGCTCATGGAGATCATTCCTGTTGGGCTGGGGAAATGAAGCCCGTGATTTGACTAGGGCGCAGCAGCTCTTAGACGACATCTTGGTGAAGCTGCGGTTTTGTCACGTTGCTATGCTAGTTGACCACGTCAGAGGAGAGCTCAGCCCGTAAACGAAGGGCGCTTTGTCGCAATTCATCACTCGGATACTATACAGACACGACTAGTATACATCGGTACAGCATACAGCCTCAAGCTACCGTGTTGGGCTGGACCCATGAGCTTCAGCTACTCCACACGTTTATTTCAGCTTGGGTGGCCTATGCTAGATTCTGGCCCATTTTATCGAAGCTCAACACCCAGCTCCTTGACCAGAGCTTTGCGAACATCTTCGTGATAAGCGACAGCCTCTTCGTTCGTCAGCGTCCGCTCTAGGCTGCGGTATACAATACGATACGCCATGCTCTTGCGCCCTGTCTTGGGATGCGTGAATTCGTCGATCAGACGGACATCCTCGACCACGTCACCCGCCACGTTACGGACGATCTCCATCACGTCGTTCTCATGGAATGTGCCCTTGGTGTTGCCACCTGCTGCCGTCGTGGAGCTAAGCCAGAAGGACACGTCCTTGGGGCAGGGAGGGTACTTGGAGAAGGGGACGAAGCGCTTGAGGTTGTCGAGGTTGTCGGTCACGCCCTCGAATTGAGACAGGAAGCGCTTGTCTTTTGACCAGAACAACCGGATATCTGGGATTTTAAAGAGAAGCATGGCAATGCGATCAATGCCAATGCCAAACGCCCAGCCTAGTTGGTTCGGCACGCCGGCGTTGATGTAGATATCCTGCTTGACTACACCACAGCCCAGCACTTCAAGCCAGTCTCCAGCATAGTAGACCTCCAGCTCCCACGAGGGGCTTGTGAAGGGGAAGTAGGCTTCAATCCATCGCATCTGCAGCGGCTCATCTACAAAGTTGGGGTCTTCCTTGATCGCAGCGGCCTTGGCTCGGGAGAAGATATCGACAACCATGCATTCTAATGATCTCTTGAGATGAGCGCCGATAGCCTCGGCTTCAGCAGCTGTGTGATGCGCGTCCTGGAGAGGATTTGTCTCAGGGTGCATGGGAGGGTTTGGGTCATCCACTTTGATCCCGTGAACAGGTAGCTTTTCGAAATCCTTCCACACGGCTGCAGCAACGTCACCATTAGGAACTTTGGTGCGATCCCATGACATGGCGCCCTCCATCTGATGGAATACAGGATAGTGACTTCGGTCAATGGCATCTCGTCTGTAGACATCGGCAGAGACGAGGTATCCCGCACTCTCATTTCCTCGGAAAGTGTCGGCCTGATGCGCACTTGTATGTGTGCGGAGAAGAGTCTCGCTATTTATATAATACGTATCGGAGAGGGCGCGGCCGGGATGGTTCACAGGGAAACCCAGCGAATCGAAGTTCTGGCGGGTTGACACAACGGGACTGAACTCATTGTGGTACTTGAACGTCGGCTCGGGGAAATTGGACTGGATGATTTGGCGGGTGATAGACACAGGATGGTCTTTGAGGAGGTGAAGCTTCCTCGTGGTGGCATCGAGGACGTTGTTGGGTACGTTGAACCACTCTGGATCGGTCTTGATGGTCTGTCCACGGATGGTCACAGAGCCCATTGGGGGTGCTGCAACACGGCCAAGCCAGTCAGCGAGACGTCCACGCAAGTAATTGACTGGAACTGGACCGACCCGACGAGTAAGCCCTCGCTGCGCAAGTTGCTCGCAGCAGAATAGAGCTCCGGGGAAGCTGGACGGTTCGCGGGGCAGAAGCCCTCAGGCAGCGCATGCCCTGGACGTAGAGTCTCATTCTGAAGACCTGTGAAGCTCGACAATTACATTATAGGCCGACAGGGCCACGTAACAAACGCCAATGGCTAGTACAATATCGGTTCGGACAGTTGAAGCTGATTTCCCGAAGAGGTTCCACAGGCTTGGTTGTATCACCAATACTGCAAAAAATGGAGGTTCCGGCGTTCGGCTTTACAGCGGCTCCGGGTATAAGTTCAGCGATCAACGACTCCAGCTTTCTCCAACTGTCTCGCTTAGCGCAGAGGCCCACGATCCCTGTCTTGGATAGACTTGACAGCCGAACTCCGTCCCGCTGCTCCGGCTACAGCTGCTAAACACCGGACCCGATAAGTTTCCGCGATAGCGATAGAGATAGAGATAGAGTGGAAGCAGCTGAGTGAGGTGCTGAGGCTCAGCGAGTTTTAAAAAGTGAACCGACCCTTGCAAACGTAGTAATCGTCAAACTACTACCAACTGACCTACCTTCACCTATCACCGACTTTTTTCTCTTTCTTTTCATCATATCAGCCACTTCCGCCAATTCTTTTGTTTGTACAAGATATGGCATCCCAAACCCATCGATATTTGAGAGCTTAACTTTAGATAGTCTAAGCTAGAAACTCTTGTTCCCCCCCCCTCCAACATTGTGGGCTCAGACTGTGAAACTAAAACTACCTTACCCCGTCATGGCCACCGCTCAGGATACCATGAGCAAGACCACGGCGACAGCGCCTGTCAAGGTGGAAACGGCCACGGCCGATGCTAAGAAGACGACGATAAGATATCCCTTCTGGTTTGGAGGAAGTGCCAGTAGCATGGCTGCTTGCGTGACACATCCGTTGGATCTCGGTATGTCCTGTCCTGCTCTTCAATCACGATAATCAAGTTGAGCTGACTCTGGACCTCTGCGACAGTCAAGGTAACATTTCGCGCCCTCTTACACAAAGCATAGCAGTTCCTCACACGCTCTCTAGGTTCGTCTTCAAATGCGCACCGGCAATGCGCCCAAGAACATGGTCGGTACCTTCGTCCACATCCTGCGCAACGATGGCCCCCTCGGTCTTTACAGCGGCATCTCAGCCTCCCTACTACGCCAGATGACATACTCAACTGTGCGCTTCGGAGTCTACGAGGAGGTCAAGACACGTCTCATTCGCCGTAATGAAGGCCGCGATCCTTCTTTCATGACTCTCGTTGCCCTCGCCGCTGGTTCTGGTTTCGTCGGTGGTATCGCTGGAAACTTCGCCGATGTTCTCAATGTGCGCATGCAGCACGATGCTGCGCTTCCTCCTGCCGAGCGTCGAAACTACCGCCATGCGTTTGACGGAATGGTCCGTATGGCTCGTGAAGAAGGGCCCAAGAGCATGTTCCGCGGATGGTTGCCCAACAGCGGTCGTGCTATGTTTATGACAGCCGGTCAACTTGCCAGTTACGATGTTTCGAAGAGTCTGCTCCTCAAGTACACACCCATGGAAGATAATCTCAAGACGCACTTCACTGCTTCGTTCATTGCTGGTCTGGTAGCTGCTACAATAACAAGCCCTATCGACGTTATCAAGACCAATGTTATGTCGTCAACGAACGACCACAACCTCCTTCATTTGATTCGCGATATTCACCGAAAGCACGGCGTGATGTGGATGTTCAAGGGCTGGGTTCCCAGTTTCCTCAGACTTGGACCGTACGTACATATTCACTAGAACGCAAATACAGTAACTGACAATAACTAGGCAAACCATCTGCACATTTGTCTTCCTCGAGATGCACCGCAAGGCGTACCGCAAGTTACAGGGCTTAGATAAAAACATATAGACCGGGTATGTTAGACTAGAGGAAGAAGGGCATTGTTTTGGCGTTGTCTTTTTGTCGTTGTCACTCGAAGGATATCAATGCCGTTGGCGTTACTACCTGGGCATTAGAGATCTCTCAACTGAGCTTCTCGTGAAGAAGCTGTTCTGTATATCATACTCAACACATAAAAAGGGTGGAGGCCACCGGCATAGAGGCTAGCATATACACACGGAATACTGACTCGATGGATTGTACTCTCTATACCCCCTGAAAAGAATCCATTCTACGACCGTGCTATGCTGTTTTGTTTTGAGCGTGACAAGTTTCCAGACCACCGTATCTTTATCCCTCCAAACCCTCTTTGATTACGAATTGTTTATCCCATGAAACGCCTTCTCACCCTCACTGCCAAGAAGATTGTCCGTACGGTGTTGTTCCGTAAGCTGTCATGCCGCCGCCACCACCTCCGTACGCCGTCTGGCCACCACCATAGGGCGTGGTATACCCTCCGTCTTGCCAGGGCGTGATACCGCCGTCCATGTTCATATCCGGACTTCGGGGACCGTCGAAATCAGCCTCATCACCGCCGTACTTTCTAGGGTCCAAGCCCTTGAGCAAACCGCCAATTTTTTGCTGCAGCACCCTAATGCCGTTCTGCACAATTTGGTCAGGCTCCATGCTCCCTGATGTCTCCACCTCGAAGTAAAACCTGTTTGGAACTGCATCGTAGTCGAAAGGCTCTCCCTCTTGTGGGGGTTCTTCCCAGTCGGCGTATTTGCTCTTGGGCCTAGGAGTACTATGTTAGCATCGTACCGTCAGTGATTAATAAGTCTGCTCACCACTCAACAGCAGGGTCTGTGTCGTTTTCAAACCACCAATCAATGTGGTTGAGCTTGTTATGAGGATCATACTCAAAGCCAACAGCAGATGTGGGCATCCACTTGGCGTGCTCCTTTGCGATTCCCTTCTTAGCAATGCAGCTGATCTTCAGCTCCTGATCCCTGCGCAGCTTCGCGATCAAGCAGCCATAGCCATCTGGGTCAGTGATAACGGGGCTTCCCACGGAGTTCGCATGACGTCCGTCCACTACCAAATCCCTCGCATACACCTTCATGATCTCGTCGGATGTGCATTTGGCGTGTAGTGTAAGGGTAACACTGCATTGTTCGCAGTACTGCTCGCAATCGCAGTCTCGTGAGTAGTTGAGCTCGGCGACTCCTTTTGAGTCGAGAGGGATGAGACCCAGGCGATGGGCGATAAACTCGTCAGCCAGCACGGAGCTGTTGGTTTCGATCTCGACGAGGTCGATGGCGATTGTGGGCACTTCTGCCTGGATGATTCGCCTTAGGGCATTGGCAAAGGCCAGGTTCGTCTTCGAAAGCTCGAAATCGACGTGCGTGTGGTCGGCCTGGGTCGCATCAAGTCACATCAGCTGAGTGTCCCCCGAAAGCAAAAAGACCCAGGAGTCTTCTCATACCGCAGAGATCTTCACTTGGGGCTGCTCGGGCTCCCCGTCCATCACCATAGGGTCATAATCCATTCCGTCCATATTGCCTGGCGTCGGCGCGCCTAAACGATTCTCAGATGGGGAAAGATGACGCAGAAATCCTCAAGATCAAGAACCTGGACTCAATATTGACGCGTGCGAGAGATTTAGGGTTTGATTCTGTTAAGGGTTGAGGAATTATGTAGTTGCGATAGAGAGGGTGAGTTTTCGCAACAAAGCGAACTGAGGCCCTGAGCTTAGACTTGCATATGCGATCCGCCAGTCTGTACCTGGGCCGGCCCCGGAATATTTGTAAGTCCGCTTATCAGCCTGCATGTGCAAGGATGCTTTACGATAACAGAAAAAAATATCCATAGAATCAGTCCCCGCCATATCCAGCCTCAAGAATAGGAAGTTCTACAGTGAACAAAGGCAACTTTTCTACGGCCATTCAATATGAAGATCAAAGCTCTCAGCCGCCCCGTGTCGGCTCAACAAGCCGCTGGCTCAGATGTCACAAAACAGCCTCGCAACCTCGATTCCGCCCTCCATCCTTTCGAACGCGCACGTGAGTACCAGCGAGCCCTCAATGCCGTCAAGCTCGAGCGAATGCACGCGCAGCCTTTCGTAGGCCAGCTAGGAAACGGCCACGTCGACGGTGTCTACTCCATTGCCAAGGATCCCAATTCCCTTGAGCACTTTGCAAGTGGTAGCGGTGACGGTATTGTCAAGGTGTGGGATCTTGCGGACCGGGATCAGATATGGCATGCTTCAGCACACGAGAACATCGTCAAGGGACTCGAGTGGACTCGCGACCGAAAACTTTTGACCTGTGCGGCCGACAAAACGATCAAGCTCTTTGATCCATACAACACACCTAGCGATGCGGCGCCTATATCTTCGTGGCTTGGGTCTGGGGCTTTCCACAGCTTGTCGCATCATCGTTCCAAGAACTCCTTCGCTGCTGCGTCAGATGTCATTAGTATCTACGATCTGGAGCGACACACCGCTGCACCTGAGGTTCTCAAATGGCCTACAGCTATTGACAGCATTAACGACGTTGCTTTCAACCATGTCGAGACATCAGTGATGGCATCCTGTTCCAGCGACCGCTCCATTGTAATCTACGACCTTCGCACTTCTACTCCTGTCACCAAGACCGTGCTGAAGTTTACCACCAACCGCCTTTCTTGGTCCCCGATGGAAGCCTTCAACATGGCCGCTGCCTCTGAGGACCACAACATCTACCTCTTCGACATGCGCAGGTTTGATCGTGCCCTCAACGTTCTCAAGGACCACGTTGCCGCCGTTATGGATGTCGAGTGGTCTCCTACCGGCGAAGAGCTTGTATCCGCCTCTTGGGACCGAACCGTCCGTCTTTGGAACCGTGACCGCGGCCACTCACGAGATATCTACCACACCAAGCGCATGCAGCGTGTCACAGCAGCCAGCTGGACTCCCGACGCCCGTTACGTTCTGTCCGGTTCTGACGACGGCAACGTGCGACTCTGGCGCGCCAACGCCTCACGCCGTGAGGGTGTCAAGTCAGCCCGTCAACGCCAGGCCTTGGAGTACAACGAGGCCCTTATTGAGCGTTACCAGCACATGCCTGAAGTCCGCCGTATTCACCGTCATCGCCATGTGCCCAAGGTGCTCAAGAAGGCTGGTGAGATCAAATCTGAAGAGATCAAGAGTATCAAACGTCGCGAGGAGAATGAGCGCCGCCATACTAAGAAGCAATTTGAGAGACGTAGGGGGGAGAGAGAAAAGATGGTCCTGGCAAGAGAGTCATAAGGGCACTGCTACAGGACTCTTATAACTGCAACAACCAGAAAAGTTCAAAGGGGTCAAAGGCGTGGAAGGGCATTGCATGGCGTTCAGGTCGTATATCTTGGGTAATTTAGATGACTTCACCTTGAAAAATTCAAGTTCCACAAATCTACTTTTCAGAAACTTGATGTGCGTGACAAGAGGAATAGAAAAATCAGCCTGCTAAAGTCGGGTCACGATAGGGATTGGGGTAATTATCCATAGAAACGTGGATTTCTTGTAACTAACAAATCTAGACATAAAAAGGTTCCTCTCAGACAAGCACTCACACTGGAATGTTTCCCTTGAGTGGCATATCCGCCGGCGTGAGCGTCGTTCCATATATATATATCCATCGCATTTGAAATCCCATCTAAAAATCTTCCATCGTTCCTTTATCGCCTGCGGCAAGGAAGAGTAGGGATAAAACACAGCACGTAACACCGCCGATTGAAAACATCAACTTTCAACCATAAACTAATGGATGACTCTGAACGCACAACCGCCAAGTCTGTAGTCTTCATCATGAGTGTAAGAGCCCGCCCCCTAAAACGCCAAAATAAAAGAGCCGATGCGAATAATTGCGTCACGCCATCGGAGGAAATGTTCTTATCAGTCGAACGGAAAACGCCTAACCCTTCCTGTATGTTTTTGTTTATGATGATGCATTCCGTTCCATTGATAGTGCAGAGAATTCCTCTTTTCGTACGTCAATCATCAAATATCATGTCCCGCTGAAACTCCGTAAGAAAAAGACCTGTCGAGGGAAGGTCGGCTCGGTGGGCCCCCGAGTAAGTTTGTTGTACATGCCGGTTGACGCCGGGAAATAGTTGAGTGTAATTAATGTTGTGGCTTGATGATGCTGTTGCGAGCAGTCTTCTGTGGCCTATAGTTGGGCAGCTCATCGAACCAGCCTTGATCCTCGTTGAATCTGTAAGCATGGAAGTCAAGGCCGTAAGGCTTGGGCTCGATGGAATAGAGCATGCCCAAGGGAATGTCCATATCTGTGATGTCGGCTAGGGATAGATCCATGAAGTACGCCATCAGCACTCGACAAACAGAGCGGTGTCCAATAATGAGAAGATGGTCTTCAATGCGCTCAACCTCTCGAACCATGTCGCGCAGACGACTCACAACCTGGAGGTAACCTTCGCCACCGACTCCAGGATAGATGTAGTTGAGCTTATCGTGTGCTCTCTTGGCAAACTCCTCAGGCTCCCTCTTCGCGATTTCAGCATATGTCATACCCTCAAACTGGCCCGAGTTCATTTCGTTGAGCATTTCCCAGTTCTTGACATCGTAGTCCTCGTCAGCTTCAAAATACTCGGCTGTGTCTACACTGCGGTCAAGCATCGAGGTCCAGACACAGAAATTCTTGTCCTCGATCTCTCGGTTCATCTCGGGATAGGGGGGTGTGTTGTCTCCTGGAACAGGTGGGAATGTAGCCTGGGCTTTCTTGCTCTGTTGCTCCATAATCCACTGCTGGCGTTGGTATGTGACGAAATTGTGAAGCGCTTGGCCGTAGCAATGTCCGCGCTCAGTCAGAGGCGAGTTTCCACCCAGCCTTCCCAGTTCATTATCCACACTCTGGCCATGTCGTGTAATCCAAATTTGTCGAGGGGCAAGATTGAAGCTGGCAAGATAAGTGCTGATACCACTGCTAAGGAACCCCTTTAGGCGATGCTGAATTAGCTTTCGGCCAACGTCAACCATCTATGAAACCGTCAGTTACCAAATTCATCTGTGTTGGCGAGTTTTACAAACCTGGATGTACTGTAGGTCGTGCTTTTCTTCGTACTCGCCCAAAGGAACATAAGCACTTTCGTAAGCGGCAACTCGCTTCTTGAAATCTGCCAACGACTTCTGGGGGTCCTTATCGCGATAGTCGGGGCCTGACAGCTTCAATCGCATGTTCGCCTCAAGGAGAAGAGGGTCTTGACAGATACTCTCGATGAAAAGAATGCCCAGTTTAGGCTCTCGCTGCCTAATACGGTTGGCGATGTTCGTTCTTCGCTCAATGGTGCTGTTTGTTGCATCGAGAATGCCAACAGCCCCACCCTGATCAATAAGATAGTCCAACAGCTCATCCAGAGTGTCCATTGCACACTGTTCGCGTATAGCAGCAGCAGATTGGTTCTTAGGATCAAAGAATGTGGCGGACTGGTCCACCCCTGATTGAGCAGCATCGTTGAGATCGAGTGTCTCTGGCTCACCCTGCTCAGGACCAAAAGGCGTGGGGTTGCCATTTAGCAGAATGGAAGCGGCTTGCACAGGAGGGTCGAGATCCTCCGGCTCAGGCTGCAATTTAGGATGCACAGAAACTCTGCGCCCAGCAGCTACACGTCTTCGGTTTCCAACGTTGAAAATGCGAGAATCGTGTTGCTGCCAAGAAAGATATCTTTGAAGTTTCTTGGTGATGTACGACTTTCCTCGAGCGGGCAAGCCAACCATGACAATAACGAGCTTTGCCGCAACATCGCGTGAGGGAATTCTTCCATCGGGCGAAACTCTTGACCGGGTCATACCCGGGATATTGAGCGTTGTTGCATGGGGTCGTACTCGTGGTGTTTGATGACCTGAATTTTGTCGTAGCGGAGGACTATTTTCATACGTCAGTTGGAGGGGCTCTCAAAGCGGGATCGCCAGTGCTAAAAGGGCCGATCGAGGTGGATATGTGGTTCGCGACCCCAACTGTAGGGGGGGAATGAACAAAATGACGGCACTTACATGCGTGGCGAGCTCGGCGCTGTCGAAGTGACACTTCGCGCATATGTGGGGGTTTCGGTCAAATCGTTTAGCGATCGTAGTGCCACAGCCAAGGACGAAGGAGCGTTTGCCGGAGGAGGAAGGTGCTCATGATCGCCATCTGGGGGAGGAGGAAGAACAGCGTAGTTATTTGGGTTGTTCGGATTCGAAGATGGATCTGAAGTTGGGTTTGGTGTTGGATTTGAGCTGGGGTTCGATGTAGGTGGTAGGGAGTCAGAGGATGCTGGCGCTGCAGATGAGTATTGCGCTGGCAGCGCTGGCGAAGGAGGAGAGGCGCTGAGAAGATTATGCATCACGGATTTCAGAAGTCCGGATGATCTTGATTGTCGGCGACCTGCGTCTTAAATAAGAATGAGTATGATTCTGTGATGGTTTCAAGCGGTATATGCGACCACGCAGGTAGGGTCTCCAAGTGAGGACAAAAAGATGTGAGATAAGATATGGTTGATCAGAACAGCCACAAGGTAGCAATGGATGTTGAAGATCTTTTGGAGATTGGAGATTTGAATTGAATGGGAGAAGAAAAATATCAACAAGGAAAAGTTTAACAGGAGTTGAATGGCTAATAAAGCCTAGAAGGAAGGTAGGGCAAATACGTAGTCAATCCAATGTTGGAAAGTGCTGTAAGAAACAGGGACATGGAAGGAAGGCAGCGTTAGTACGTACCTGCAGGGGACACCGGAATCGCTGAAGGCATCTGAGCAATGAGGCGCGAGGGAAACTTAGGGAAGCTCTAAATCGAGGAAAATTGGCGAGTCTGACTCTTCGCGATGAGGTCGACCAATGAAGAAGGGAAATGGCCCTAGCAAAGGCCCAGCGCAATGGTCCACAGGGGCTCCTCAGTGGGCTTTTGGCGTGTGTTTCTTTGAGGGAGGGGTCTCTTTGGGTGGCGTTATCCTGAGGTGTCGAGGTGTTGGTGTGTTTGGAGCGTCCACTAAAAAAGTTGACCTTGGACCTTTGACCTTTGACCGGAGGTGAACGACACGAAACTTCGGGAGACGAGAGTCAGGTTGGAGGGGCGGAGAGGTGACTCCAGCGGGTTGCAGGCCAGTCCCAGTGCAGTTGGAGGCTGACTTTCTGGATGAATTGGAGCTTGGAGGTGTCGAATCGTCGTTGGTGGGCTCGGTGCTGCCGTGCCGCGAAGAACAGTGGAGAAGATGCAGGACCCTAAAAAGTTGCGGTAGTGGCGCTGTGCTGCACAAAGCTTAGCTTCCCGCGGGAAGTTTGGCCGCCTGGATCTTTTTTGTACTTGAACTCAAGAGCCCAGGCCCTGATGGGGGAGAGGGATATGAAGTTGAGGTTTGGGTTTGGGTTGGTAAAGATCTTTCCTCTTTGGGGGACTTGTTGAGTCCTTGAAGCCCTTGCCCTACTGTGGTTTGAAAAATGAAACAAAAACTCTCGTTGTAAATGAGTCTTTCGTCTTTTGTCACCTGTGTGTTGTAATGAGATGCTGTGCAGTGCTGCGCTGCGCTGTGCTGTGCTGTCTGCCTCGCTATCCTATTATCTGCGCTGAGGCTTTGTTGCTTCGCAATTGCTTGGCGCAGTCTTTTTTCCTGTCTTTTGCTGGTTGTTTCTGTCTGCGATACGTCACCAAAGTTAGGCTGTGCCCATCAGAGGGTCTGCAGATCAAAAACGCAGCAGCTCGTAATAATTATATTGGTCGCCTCGAAAGTTATTGCTTGGGTATGTCGGTTGTACTGACGGGGGTTGCTGGTCTGCTTGCAATATATCAGGAGAGCGACAAGACGATGTGAGGTGATGTGAGCTCAGATGGTACTCTGTAGAGGGCCCGTGTTTTATTAATGACCAAAGTCCGAGTAAACGGCCGGAGCTCAAGCCTCAAAGCTGATCTGCAGGGAATTGCATTGCTGCTGCAGTGTAAGTTTAGGGCTACAGGAATAGGAATAGGCACAAGTACAATCAGTGCCTATCCAAACTGTGTTGTCTCTGCTACAAGGTGAGAGGTGAGATAGCCCAAGGTGTGTCTGCTGGTCTAAGCATAGCGGCTCGTGAGACTACTCGCCCTTGGGTGGCTGTGTGTATTGGAGTGCATTGGATCGATCCCTCGGCCTTGTTTGTCCCGACTTACATCATTGTACCTCAGCTGTGCATCCCACACGCGTCTACATTCAGGCACAGTACTGAATGGGAGGCCCTGCTGCTCACTATTACGATTCCAGGTCGCCGTTGTCTCCTTTCTGGGGTTGTGTACGGGTGCACGTTGCACAAAAGAAACGAGTATAGTCTCATTCTCAACAAGATGGGCTGGTTCAGACACGTCTAAAATGGTGTCCCATGCCCTGAGACCCAAGATCCATGGCCATATGTACCGTCCAGCTGGTCCCAGCTTCATTTAATATAGTGGAATTACGTACCGAGTATTCCGCCATTGACAGAATGGCATGTCGTGGCCCTGCGGCATCCAGGACCAGGTTCATGAATCTACGACACCTGGCAGTATCTTACATCCGTGAGATGCTGCATGCTAGATAGCCCTTTCCCACGCGCCCATCGGATCTGTGCCATTGTGAGGAAACTAGAGGCGTTATAGGATAACAATAGACTTCGGATTTGATATTCCGTGGCCATATTTAGTAATATCTCTAACTCTGTATAAGATTCCAGTTGAGTGACGACCCGAAGTATGCCAAGCATTTTAAGCTTATACGCCGCAGGATAGAGCCTTTGGGACATGGAACGGTGGCGGGCCCTTGCACCTCCAGAGTGTGTAATTCTCAAACTCACCGAGACATGTAGGTACTGCACAACATATGCTCGCTTGTGTGATTTTTTGTGCTATGACTGTCTCGCCTGAAGCTGTTGAGGTCGGGATTTGATCATCATCACTCCTATCTACGCTATGGCACAAGCCACGCAGATGACATGGGCGTCAGTTGGTATCGGAATATGGATGGTAGTCGAGTCTTGGCGGAACACATGGACGTTTTGGTATCCTTGACGAGATGATAGATTATCTCAAATTTAGGCATAGAGGGGCTCAAAGCCACCAATGCTAAGTACTAATACATGATATCACAATCAACCTCTAACATCTATGGTGTTTTCATGCATCACTTTAGTGATAATGAGCAGGCGAATGAGCATTCAATTTAAAAATTGGTATTTTTAAGGTCACCACCTATGTTTTTGTGTTTCGGATAGAAAACTGTGCACCAACTCCGGTAGCTTTTTTTCCTACAACCCCAAGTCTTCCGTTCGCAGCCATGCATGGCCCATCTCCATCTCCACCTTCACCTTTCACCCCTCCCACCATGCACCGTCTTTCGACCATGGCCATATCGAGTCAAGCCCCAATGGTTCTTGTCAATGAGACGCCGCGCTACTGCAGCTCCAAGCACTAAACGCCTTCTTCTCCAGCGCTGGAAGCTGACCCAAAACAAGGTACAAGGTCCTTGCTAACCTTGCTCCTCTTCACCTCGAGCCAAAAGGAGTCATCGCTTGCATAGGGAGCCTTCTCCGATCTCGCCGCGGGGAAAACCCACAAGCGATGAGAACAGACTTACATGCTGCATTGCATGGAGGAGTCGTTGGTTTGCTTTTACCCCCACCGTTATCTTGCATTGTGTTTTTCTGCCGTTGATACAGACACAGAATTACCCTCATAATATGTGTAAGATTTGGGGGGACAAGCACATGTGAAATTGTGTATCACGCCTGGACCGTTACCCATAGAGTTTGCACTTTGCACTTTGCGTTGCTCCTTTCTTGTCGCCTGGTGAGACCAATCAATGCAATTCGACAGTCATCTCGCATGACTGTCTATCCAATATCATTCCATCTCCTTTTCACCCCTATAACCCAGTACGAATCAAGTCTACCCGTGGGCGCTTGAGCGTCATGAATTCGTCCATGGGTCCTGGTCATCTTCTGTCTCCCCGGTGCACTGGCCCAGAACAGCATTCGAGCAATGCCTTGAAAATCAGAAACAACGTATGGACTGTTTTAAAAACATAGTTTTGTTGCTGTCTCTGTTTACCCAGGGCTCGATACACAAATGAATACATGATTCTTATTGTTTAATCTATGATTACCACTATGCCCACATCGATGGTTTCTCCTGGTAGTTTCTCCTTGTTTTATTTAGGTCCGTTGAAACATCGAAGCATGGGCCATAACCTATCCATGACAGCCCGAACATTAACACCTCCTAGGCCTCAACTTTGTTGAGTGCCATCTCAGAGTGCACAGGCCAAGCCTACTTTGCGGGGATGATCCCCATTGGCCATGTCTCTCCTTGCTCGTTTGTTTCTAAAGCTGTCTGATCGTCAATAGCGTGTCTTGTCCTTTTTTTGGTGAGTGACGGCCGCCAAATGTTTGAACACCCAGACCCTTCCATGACCCATAACAGCATGTAAGCTCTTTATGCTCGACCACAACGATGCTATTATTCTCCGGCTCCTGAAACCATGTCTAAATTCTGCGACTGCGAGTATGGTACAACTGTGATAGATTATTCTATTTATTGCTACATGTGTGGTGTCGTCAATGCATACTACTACTGTACCATTGGTCGATCTTGTTTCATGCTCGACGTGATGTTGGTTAAGTGCCGAGGCAAGCTCTCCAGTTGTTGCCGGAACTTCGTTCCAGAAGCTCCGACAAAAAGCATCTTTCTACAGGAACCCGGGGACCCTGTTTGGATATCCAGTGCTTCAATACTGTGAGGTGGATGTAGTTTCCGGTATCGCAAGCAGCCAGAAGGTAAGAGATGTGTGGATTGACGGAACACCAAGCACAGCCTTCTTGCAGGCTATGCAAGCAGCCGTCTGCCATACTTGCTCCTGGTCCCGGTGCTTAATGCCTCTTCGGTCACATACTTAATCGACGTGGTTTGATACTATACGCATGTTCATAATATGGGGATACAATATGAGGTTGCCAAAGGAAATAGCCCCTTCATGTATGCCGTAGTGAGAGCTACCTATCTACCTTTTGTTCATCTAGGGCCAGCAAACCGGCTGATCATGTATATAATTCATATGGAGTGGTTTGTTTTGTACCTGATGCTGGTTTCCCTCATGTAATGATTCATATGTGTCAGTTTATCGATTGTTCGTGCTCACCTCAGCAGTGGATAGTTGATCATCAAAGTATGACTGTGGTGTCAAAAACGAGTTTCTATGCAGCAATTTCGAAAAGAATAGTCAAGATATTTCGATAAGTCTCTAGAAAGACGCCTAACAAACAGAATGGTTAATGAAAGGTCACTGATAACAAGCTGACTTCATCATCTTTGTCTTCCGCGGATTTGACGGGATGCTCACCCATATGTACAGGGTAGGTATGACAATGAGGCTTGTCAAGACTCAGCCACATATGCAGGTCCCCGCCACAATTGATCCACTGCAGAACTCATCGTCAACTTCAATGCTAATCAGTTGGTGGGAATACAGGATTTCGAGAAGGCATAGTCCAAGTGGACGAGACATACGAGAACGGAAACTCTTATGTCGATGCATCGTGCACATCCAAAAAGGTGTTAGTTGTGGAAAGCTCCATTAAAGCTGCTCGCGATCGCAAAGAGGCTCTGTTTGTAGCAGGCCTTTTGAAGATCCTGCCAACGCAGTGAAGAAGAGCTGAACAATCTGGAAAGTAGATGCCAAAAGCTCATTCACTCACGGCCAAGGGATAAATCAAAAGATTTGGCCGATCGCGGAGATACGAGTTATCCAAGAAACTGCTAAATCATCAGACGTCACTGTAGACGTTTCTTGACAGTTTCCTGCCAGGTCTTTGGCACTGCTAAAGACAACCGCAGCTTCATTCACCTCGGACAGGCAACAAAAGCCCCACAAGATTGGTTCTTTGGCCTGTGTATTCTCGCCGAATCCTTTATTCCTTTCATACTCTGCCCTTCTCTTTGATTTTCTATCGTTAAGAGATTCCTCCAAGGACATAGTGAAAGGGTAAGTGAGTACCTACCTCGAAGATTGGTATTGCGAGGATTTAGAGGCAGTCACTGACGATTAAATTCATTAGTAGACAGAAAGAGAGGATAAAAAGGTTGTCATCTGAGGTGGTGCGCTCTTGCCTATATTCGTCCCAACTCTGCACCTTCTCTCCTCACAAATTATTGCACCATAGCAACAGTCGCCATCTCCCACCGTCTCTCCAGACTCACCATCCTCAACTCTCTATTCTCAACACGGGGACTGATCTTGGAAATCCTGCCTCACACCACCGGAACATAGAACGCCGCAACCCTGATACAGGACGCTCACTTTCATCAGGGTTCTTTACGACACGAGTGTTGCGCTTAGTACGTTGTCAGGTTCACGAACGCATATTTTTCCTCAACTGACTTTTGTTTACAGACCTCCATTCAGACTCAATATCGCCATAACCTCAGGCAGCATGGCAGCTGAGTCGGTTGGCGAATTCTCGCCCACTCCTGACCCGGGTGAGGTGTCTCAACCTGCTAAGCCCGAGCATCGCGGCCCATCTGAGATCGTGCCAAATCCTTTGATCGATGATTTGAAAGAATACCATGCTCGGCGTGGGGTTTTGATACCACTCAAAACGACCCAAGAAGTCCGACAAGACCACACTATCACTCATGCATACATCACAAGGGCGCCGACTAAACAAGCCAACGAAGTTATCACGTAAGATTTATCAACCGACAAAACAATGTTTTCGATACCGATGGCTAACAGTTCACAGGGCCTTGCGTAACATGCGACCAGATGACAATAGCGCTAACCCCCTACCTCATCTTCGCAGATGTTCCAAGCCTGGCGACCTTCCTGCCCACCTCAAGACTCAATTCATGAATGATAGCTCCGTAGGGCGTCAGATCCATACAGCAAAGTCAACCTGGATCTACATCATCATTGGAGAGGTCAAGGACTTCACACAAGAGGAGCTGGCCGACGTTTTATCGATCGTTGAGGGTGCCGAAAACGAACTCTTCATCGAGAAGATTCCCATCCCTCTTCTTGCGCCAACATCCCAAGTGCAAGCTGCCATGTGGTCATCTCAATTTTGGCCAACCGTCTATCGGAAGAACAACCCGTTGGGTCCACACCCTAGTATAGTAGCCCGGGCAACTGAAGATATCAAGGACGACACCTCTGTGTGGATGGCACTGGCTCACCGTGTTGCTCTGCAGGCCAAGGCGACCGGCATCGGCGAAGCTGTTGGCGCTGTGATTGTCCAGAGGGATGCAGGCAAAGTCGAACTCGTCGGGGTTGCAGGAGACGCTCGCTGGCATCAAGAGTGTGGTCTATTGGAGGGGACCAGCAACCCTATGACACATTGTGTTGTTCGTGCTATTAGCATGGTCGCTCAAAAGTTGGTTCGACATGAAAGACGAGCTGCTGGACTCCCGGTCAACAAGCCTAATCTCGAGTACGACGCATTTCAAGATGGTCCACTGCTTGATATAGAGAAGCAGTGCTTTGAACAGGAACACCCGAACAAAGACGGCTATCTTTGTCATGGGCTGGAGCTATATGTCACGCACGAACCCTGCGTGTCATGCTCCATGGGCATACTTCATTCTCGAATGGGCAAGGCTGTCTTTGCTACGCACATGCCTCGCAGCGGAGGAATGAGCTCGGATGATCGTCCGGATGGAGGTGGACGAGGACTGGGACTCTTCTGGAGACGAGAGCTCAACTGGAGCCTGATGGCTTGGGAATGGGAACGTGACGGCGTACCCGACTTGCCTCCTCTTGACCCCATCACTCATGTTTAGGATTACCACCTCCGAGGTCGATATGAGACTCACTCGCTCCGTTGCTACAGACGCGAAGTTGCAGCGACAACGAAGCTCCCACAGAGCAATGATAGAGTATTGCGTGCTACACGACATTGGCCACGGCAAACAACGATTAAAGTTGACGGCATGATTATTTATCAATTCCTGGTAGGGTACGATTTATGGACTTACTTGCAGCTGGTGCATTGGCTGGAAAACAAACAAAGGGTTTAGATAGTCCTTTATTCCCAAGGTGAGAAGTCGATTTACAGACATTGGCGATGGCCTTGTGACAGTAGCTTGGGCATGGACGAGAAAGCATTGGGAGATATTGGAAGGGGTATTCATTGTAGTATTCTAGCTTCGTTTATGCAACATGATATGTATCAATTAAATTCTTGCTGTGTAGAGGTTTGCCTTGTGTGAGGAATAGCCCAATAGAATGCTCCAAATGAAGTGTTGTTGTAAGAGGACCCTTGCTCTTTGAGCCTGGAGCGTGCAAGGGAAGTGCCCCTCTCTCTTTGTTAAGGCCCGCTAACTTGGCGTTCATGCTACACTTTATTAACGTTAACTTTGCAAACACCGCGACTAGACCCTTCACAAAGAGCTCACAGCTGCGTGGGGCTTTCAGCAAAATCGACAGGGGGCAGTTTCGTTGTTTAGAAAGCTCTCTTTCTTGTTCTTGCTTGTGATTGTTTCTTTGGTCATCGCCATGTGTCTTGTTTGACTCTTTGGCCGCCGATTCAAGCTTCATGCCGCCATTCACCGCGACAGTGTTGCCCTCCTAGCTACTTCTGCCACGACTGTCCGCAGCTTCGCAAGCTCCGTCAAAGGACTGTTGGCCCATCGCGACAGATATATAAGCGCCACACTGCCGCAGGTGCATGCAGCAAGCAGAAGCAGAGGACCTGTAGACCTATCGATATTCGACTTTCTCCTCACAGGTCCTACGACTACGCCTGCCGACCCTGGTAGCAACAGTACCGATCACAAATATTCCCAAGACGACCACGACGCCGACATGAATAAGAAGCGTGGTGCCCCCGCGGACGGGCCTGGGGGTTCATCTTCCAAGGTAAGAAAGATGGAGAATGCGACGAAGTTCTATGCAGTCAAAACTGGGAGAAAGCCTGGCGTTTACCTGAATTACGACGACTGCAAGGCGCAGACGACAGGGTTTAGCGGTGCAGCTTGTGAGTAGCAACGGGAAGAATCCGATCTGAAGCTGGATACAGATAACTAACAGTTACGCGTGTAGTCAAATCATTTAAAACACGAAAGGAAGCACAGGACTACATTGAAGGCAAGGTTACCTCATCGGCGGCTAATGGCCCTGCCAAGTTCTATGCTGTGGCAGTGGGCAGCAAACCGGGCATATATCACGACTGGGCGGTAGCTCAGCCACATACTATGGGTGCTAGTAAGCCTAAGTACAAGAAATTCAACACACAACACGAGGCGGAGGCTTTCATCAGAGAGAACGCGACCCCGGAGACTTGCGAGGCCTTGGGGTTGAAATCTAGTCAAGCGCGAGTTTCACATCCGTACACAGGAGCCGCCTTCGAACCTGCCGAGCCAGTGGCAAGGGAGGTCAAACCCAGAGCACCAAGAAATGTGTTCGAATCTGAACCCGTAAACGAACCTCCAAGTGGGACTCTCAAGATCTACACTGATGGCAGCAGTCTTGCGAATGGACAGGCTGGCTCGCGCGCTGGTCTGGGAGTCTACTTTGGTCGCGACGACGAGCGAAACCATTCAGAGCGTCTCCCGGGCGAGCCACAAACAAATCAGCGCGCTGAATTGATGGCGATGCTGCGGGCTCTGGAGATTGCACCACTGACACAAGACGTGCAGATCTTGACTGACAGCCAATACTCAATCAAGTGCGCGACCGTTTGGGCTGTTACCTGGGAGAGGAAGAACTGGGAGACGTCGTCGGGAGGTCAAGTCAAGAATCAAGACATCATACGAGACTTGCTGGCCAAGATGAAGGAGAGAACCCAGGCCGGGGCGACAACTACTTTCCAATGGGTCAAAGGACATGCAAATGACCCGGGTAACAACGAAGCAGATCGTCTTGCGAACATAGGATCCAGGATGCCAGCTGTTGTTTAAGATGTCTTCTAAACACAAGAGGCTGTTGACTTTGAAACACTACCTGATTCAGCATGGTGTGAAAGTTGGATCATGGAGGATGCTGGACACGTCCTACATATTGTATAATGCCGATAATGTTCAACCCTTCTCCAGGCACGAATATGGAGATGTTTGGCCCATGTGTGTGTGGTTTGGGCTATTTGGGATCTACATGGTTTTCTTACTACAATAGCGTTCCTTCTTGTTTATTTTCCTGTTATAAGAATAACGGTCTGAGATGGCGTATTGCCTTGTATCAACATACAATAAAGGCTCTTGATCACTGACCAGTCATGGTATGTACATCTGTTTCTTGTGATAGGCAATGCGGTATGGAGATAAGGTATACAAGACCACGATAAGGAAATTAGGACTTAGTGGGACGCAAGACGTGCTAGGAGTGGCAACATGCGTTCTTTACTGGGATCAAAGAGATCCCCTTGCGTGATGACTTTGTTGATGTATCATTTTGATAAGATGCAATAGTCAGGGATATACGGAGTATGCATCTGCAGTGCTGCACAGCATGGTTCTATGTTTAGCCCCTGAAGCATCGGGAAGAGCAGCCGAAGACAAGCGAGTAATTCATGATCGGCGTGTAGGCAGGGAACCACGGTAAATGGAGATCTCAGCTTATACTTCCTTGACGTGGGGGTTTAGTTTGGCTGTCTCGGAGGTGACAACGGGCGCTTAAGTAGTAAGCCCATAGCCGGGGAGAAGCTCTGGCTGCAAGCTACATATAACCGAACCTACTATGAAGCAGTACTGTACTGGAATGAGAGAATATCCCTTGATGGAGTGTGATTATTAGTGCATAAATATTCCGAGAATCGTACCAGGTGGCTTGGATAGAGGAGGGATCCGGGGCTTGGGGAAAACATAGCTCTGCATGCTGCATGAACGGAGGAGAAATAAACTCTAGACTATGAGGCTTTGGCATCCAATGGACGTTGCAATTGTATAGGTAGGTAGGCTTAGTCGGAACGACAATGAGATATTTTCTCTCTTTGCGATATACGACAGCGTAAGCGATCAAACACACATTTCCTTAACAAGTAGTCACTAAGTCCTACTAAAAGCGGCCCGATCTAAAGACTCGAACTCGGGCCGTTGAGATGAGGAAGGATTTGGGTTCAATATGGGACAAGAGAAAGAAACTGGAGACAGTAGCTGCTAATGGAAAGCCTAAACTGCAGCCTGCTTGGTGTGATGTCAGGATGACTTGAGAAATGCCTCGTTGCTACAGAACCGAATGAATTGGGGAAAGGATACATGTATAGAATATGAGGTGTTTTTTCGTACGGTCTCGCCGGAGGTGGACCGTACTACACAGAGGAAGCTTTTGCCAATCGAAAATGACTTCTCTTATATGAGTTGCGTAGATCATGATTGGGAACCACAAAGCCGCATACTGCGAGGATGATGGCTGATGGCTGATGTCCGATGTCCGATGTCGCATCAAGAGTCTCTACAGAATGTAACAGAGGCATGCAACTGTACTGCATTATCTCTGACTCCTACCAGCGTGTGTGCTCGGAAGGTTGGCGAGGCGAGGTGAGGCGTGAGGTCTAAGTTGGCCCAATTGGTAGAGATGCAGCCGCAATCTTGCATTCGTATGACCAACAGAAGGTTGCGAAAACACGCCGGGTTAAGGTCAGTGATGAAACAAAATAAATTGTGAGCACGGTAGTTTTCTTTAAAGCAACTAGTTCATACGTTTTGTTTTTGGAATGACTGGGAATAAGATAGTTCTTGGGGGTAAGGGTAAGTGTGCTATCTGAGGTCAGAGTAAAAGGGCAAGGACTTTCAACGGTTGCACTGCACTGCATTGCATTGCATCTTGTGTAACTACTCTCGACAAAGTGAGTCAACGACCCCTGTTTCATAAGACATTTACCGCGTGTCCTCGAAATGCCTCTGGTATTGACCAGAGACAAAAGGGTTTGTGGCTTTAACAAGGCAGATAGGTACATGGTAAAGTTGTTTTATCTCGGCACGCTCCACGCCCTAGCATTGGCTTCTTTGCTCGAAATGTGGCACTGCAACCAGCAATGAGCAATGCTGTGCGCCACGAGACAACGGCTGGGCTTGGACAACCTTGTTGGCCATTATGGACGCTTGCTGAGAGACAGAGACTGGCGTCTATCAGCCAAGAACCAGAACGACCAGAGGCCAAGGCAAGGGCGCCGTAACGTTATCGCATCAAATCAACGCCCGCACGTTGCGGCATGGCAGGATGGAATTCATCTCATAGTGATCTTGAGGCTTATATGGATCATACATGATTGGTGTCAATACGTTGCGCAAGACATGGAATTGATAACTCCTACTGTCTATCAATGTATGTTTCTGCTGCACGTACTTGACATGAGGATATACGCAAGGGGGAATATGTCGACCGACGTGGTATAACCGTGTAAGTGACGGTCTAAGCAATAACATAATGAGAACAAATGCAAGTCTAAGACAATGATGCCATACTAAGTCCTCGGATATGACCATGAGAGGGAGGATGCAGCTTTTGCCAACACCATCTCCCTTGATTAACATGTCTCGAGATAAGCACGTTGGTACTTGGCGTAACCTTACTGCGCCAGCTTTTCAACGTTGTCTAGAGTCAACTGCAAGCACAAAACCGGTCTAACCAAACCGGACCGACAATTTCATTTCTTTTTATTTCCAGACTGAGTCCCTTTCTCGATGATGTTTGATAGCGGCGAATGCGTTCCTCAAGCCAGCAATCTCCAATTCCAATATAGTTCTAAACCTGTTTTCTCCACGTCAATTTGTCGTCATATTCTTTGCATGCCTAGGTACAACCTCGCGGATAGGACGGGATAGGCCAAGCTGGGCCAAGTTGAATAAGAGAACGGACCAGGGCAGTTGCAGTTTGTTGAGCTCTTAAGTACATCTTTGATTTCCTCTTTGGGACTGCTACGTAGAGCCTGGGGAAAGCTTCATTGGAGCTTTGGCCGCGGAGCCCGGAGCTATTGCTGGGCAGTCTAGCTACAGTGAACAATTGAACAGTGCTTATCCATACACCACTATCGTAGTGCAGAATCGGGTTAATGTACGTACCGCGTGGGAGGGCAAAGCCACTAAAACTTTGATGAATGAGGCTTGTACTGTATGTATCATGGTGATTCGCTTATGTTGGTTGCAGACTCCAGGGGAATGGGAAGGGGGAGTCTGAACTCTGAAGCGATCCATTGGATCTACAGGGTCCTTTCTCTCAGTGGAGGATGTCTCTAGCCCACCTCCATTGTCTTGAGCTCCACTTGTAAAGAGCAATTATCTCTTGTGTGTGTGTGGTATTATACAGGGACATTTGTGCTGAGGAAAGACAAAAGTTACATTTTCTTCATCAAGATCCAACAGTACGGGCACGAGATGGAACCCTCTGGCCCTGGAGCTTGAAGCGCAGGGACGCCGGGGCGTCGCATGATGAAGCCCCGTGAGTTGTTATGAACGATTGATAGACATGGAGGGGGGGATACCAAGTACATGTCAGTGTGTACTAACAGACTGTAGTGCTCAGGTATCATAAGTCCTTGATTGTACCAGTTGACCAGTCACCAACAGGGCATTGACTTGTATCCCCAAACTTCGTTGTCAACTCCTAGAAATGGCGTTATCCAACCCGTACCATACCTCGTCTGAAGCCAGGCTGGCCCTTCTATAAGTATCGAATAGTTACTAAAACCCCCGAATTGCTCATCTGGCAATTAGAAAGAGTCACAGCTTGCGTAATACGCGAGGCCTCTCTGTCTGGCTGGCTGTTTTTGATGAGTTGATTGATACAAGGGTGATAGTGTCCATCACCATTCCCCGCCTGCCACCATTAAACTAGCACAGTTGGTACAATTCAGCCGCCAAATATCGTTCAGGTTCCTTACATCCATCGCCATCGTTTGACGCGCCGTTGGCGTAGTGAGTCCATCGTGTCAATCAGTGTCGGTGTGTCGTGGAGATCTAGGTACATTATGTACGTACTTTCATGATCTAGATGGAGATTGATCTGTCTGCCTGTCTCGTCTGGTCTTCCGTACGGAGTAGGGGACTGTGCGATTGTGACCCGGTCTGCGATGAAGATCCAGTGACGGGACGCCGAGCACTTAGCCCCGATACGTGCGCGACCGGCTCTGGCACTGTACGGAGCACGCGGTAAGCAGACATCTGTCGTGTGCGAAGTTGGCCTCAACCGCACTGTCTCGCGCCGACAACGGCTCCACTAAATGGCCATAATCCCCGCCACTGGCACAATGCACTTCACTCAGCGTGGAAGGGAAGGAAATGAACCCACACACCACTCTCTCGTAGTAACAGCAATAGCAATAGCAATAGCAACACACAAAAGAAGGAGAGCGACTTTTTAATTTAGTACCTACCTTACTGAATACTCGACAACTTGACGCTGGACAGCTAGACACGACCCATAACTTGACAACCCATTGTCCACAAAAACCAGCCCCAACGCCCTGATTGTGGACAACAGCAGTTTCCAGTTGCCAGTTGCCAGTTGCCAGTACCAGTTACCAATCCACCCAAGTTACAGTGCAGTACTAGCAGCTGCCTCTAGCCTCTAACCTCTAGCTCCTAGCCCAGATCGTCCGGGCGCATTCAATCAATCCCATCTCCTCCATTCTCTCTTCGCTCCATCTAATGCAGACTGGCCCTGATTCATAACTATTCTATTACTTCCTTCTCCGCAGCTCTGTTGGCAACACAGCGACAAGCCCCTCCTTATCATATACGAATATTATAATTCACTTCACTCTTCAGCCGACCTACCACACACAGTCATACACACACACACGCACGCACACACCTTTTTGCCTTTTTGGCTGCGAACACGCATCTCGACCAGGGGTGGTTGACAGCAGACGACCCTGACCGTCTCCCGTTGTCTCGTTTTTCCATTGACCGACCTGCCGCCGCCAACTGTGCCCGCTGTGTTCGCGTGCGTCTACTAGGGGCTCGCCCATCCATATTGCACTTCTGCCCCAACAATCACGGTTATCGATTCGACGCCTATGTTTCGTCAGCAAACCTACTCCGTATTCCATCCTGAGTAGAACAAAACATCGTAATTTATCCACGACCAGCATCAACACACGATACATCACCGCAATCGAGTTCACTTGTGTCAATGCCTTAGAGCGTTTCTGCCAACCCCCGCGCGATACCGACGATAGTTGCGACACCAAATTTCAATTGCATCTCACGACCACCACTTCATCCATCGCCCACCGGTTCCTACGGGACTATCCAGCCTTCACTTGCTGGTCATGACACCCGCTGCCACCGGCCCGGGCAGCCCTCTCATTGCAGGCGGTGCTATGGCGGGCGGCGATTTCAACGATTTTTCCGAGGACGAGCTTGCTCCGAACCTTTTCGATCTCTCTAACAGCCCAGATACGCTTCAAACCTTCGACTCACTATCCGACACGAAAGCCTTTCTTTCACCACAAGAATTCCCTGGGGCGCAACTCCCCGACTCGCCGAACGGATCGTACCAAGACTCGTCGTCAGAGTCGGCTTCGTCCAAGCGTTCGATGTCCTCCAAATTAGCTATAAACCCAGCTGAAGTGATGATGGACGACGACGATGTTGCGATGGAATGGGGACGAAACACCAACGACTATCCCACTTTTGGTGACGACGACACATTTGCTTTTGATCGCAGCCACGCCGACGTTGACATGTATAATTTTGGCAATCCTGATGGTTTTTATGACGGCACTTTCTCATTCGAAACCGCGTCCAGCAGTCCAGAAATTGCAAATGGCGAAAATTTGGTCACATCACCTCAGATGCCTACAATTCATTCAAGGAGTCCCAACGACGAAGCGACGCCTAAAAGGAAGAAAACGCAGGGTCACCATAAGGCCCAATCAGTATGTCCACCACGTTGCTTTTTCTCAACTGACGGAATGTTTTTCTGACAAATTTAAAGCAATACTCAGTATCTTCAGCAATGAATGCACTAAAAACAAGCACATCCCGTGAGGTATCACCAACGTCCAATATGATCATGAGCCATGGCGGTTCTCCGGCGGCTATGTATAACTTATCCTCACCCAATAACCAAATGGATTATTCAAGAGTTATGAAAAGAGCAATGGGACACCCCGTGTGGCCAAACAAAATGGACGTGGCGGCACAATCTGTACCCGATGTCTCGCACATGCAGTTTGGCGGTCAGATCAACCAGCCTATGCCTATGTCGCAACATATTCCAATGCCCACACAATTCAACTTTACTGGACGATACGAGTTGACTATTCTGCCTACGCCGCTCAAGTCGCGAGTCGAGACTCAGATCCCAATCAAGATGGCCCTATCGCCAATGCCGCCCGGAATTACCAAGCTACATCTCCCAGCACACACTATCTCGAAGCCCAAGCTACTATACAAACCCGCACCCCTCGAGAAGTCGCCGGATACGCTTGAACTGCATGTCTCGCTGGTATGCACGAGTGCCATGGAAGCACCTGGGAGAAGGGAGGCCGCTCTCAAACGTGCGGCTCTTCACCCACAGGGCTATCTGCCCCCTGTGGACGATGGCGAGGATGGCCCTCAGCACGGCGGCGACGTTCGTATTTGCACAGGCTGCATGCAGCGAGAGCGCAAGCGCGCGGCCCGGAAGAAGATCAAGAAGCCAGATGAGGAAAAGGTCTGGCTACAAGATGAGGAGCGTCGTGTGATCGTCTTCAACACGAACGAAGTCAAAGAATGGCAGCCCGTCAACATTGTCATGGATCCAGGTGTCTCCAATGGCACCATGCAAGTTGACGCCCCCATGCGTATTGCTTGCTACTGTCGCCATCACGGTGAGAAAATGGGGTTCAATGTCATTTTCACGATTAAGGACTACCAGGATAGACTCATCGCCCAAGCTATGTCGAACGCAATCATGATCACCGATGACCACAAGACTCACACGATAGCACAACCCTCAACTCAACAACAACCGAGCATTCCAGAAGCCCCTGTGCCAGGTCCTATCTCGCAGGCTTCTATCGATGCCAGCGCTCTTTTACCCCCTACTCCTAATGGAACCTTCCACATGTCTCCATCTAGCGGGGATATGTCGAGCATGCACCGGAGCAGTCAGGTCTCATATCAATCTTCAGTGTCATCGAAAACAACAAATGGTGCTGTTGGCCGGGAGCTCTCGCGTCCTGCTTCGCCAACCCTCGGTGGCCCAATGGCGAAGAAGAGAAAGTCAAGCGCGTCTAGGGTACCAAATGGTCTGACTATGACCCGCCTGGACGCCTCTCCCTCGCCAGGAGCTCAGACAGCCCAGATGCCCAACCCTTCATCTCCGTTTGCCCCTAACCTTGGTGCCTTCTCTCAGGCCGACTCGCTATTCGGACAACCGGGAATACCCTTTTCTACTGGCCCTCCTACGCCAAGCAGCAATGATCAACCAGGGTTCTTCAACAACAACCGCTCCGCGAGTATGGACAACCTGGCCATGGCCCAGCTTTACTCAGCACCTGCTTCCGGACACCCAAGTCGGGCTCCTAGTCCGAACGGGCTTCGAAATGGTGTTGTTGGTAACCCTCAAAACCAGTTTACTCAGGCTTTGACCAGCAGTCTGTACACGGTGCCTATCAGCATGAACCAGACACGAGCACCTCCAATCATCCACAAGATCATCCCCAACGAGGGCCCTAAGGTTGGAGGTATCGAGGTCACCGTACTGGGTGCGGCCTTCTTCCAAGGACTTGAGGTCTGGTTCGGCGAACAAAAGGCGACCACTACTACCTTCTGGGGTGAATCTTCGCTTGTCTGTCTACTGCCACCTTCAGCTGTGGCCGGACCTGTTCCTGTCACTTTCAACAGGCCATCTGCACAGACTGCTCAAGCTTTCCCTATGGGCAAACAAGCCCCCTTCTTCAAGTACGTTGACGACAACGAGGACAAGCTGATTCGAATCGCCTTGTCTGTGCTTGGAAACAAGATGAGCGGTAACATGATGGATATCAAGGACATGGCCCGAAGAATCTTGGATGACAATGGCTCCTCGGGTTGGTCAGGTGGTTCTTCAGCTGGCCCCTCGTCAGGTGGCCAGATGTATAGCCATGCTCCTTATGCCCATCTCGAGTCCCAGCTCTTGAAGTGCCTTGATCTCATTGACCTAGACGACAGTCAGCATAGAACACGTTTGGATCTTAGGAGGTCCACTGGACACACCATGCTGCACCTTGCCTGTTCATTAGGTTATCACCGATTTGTTGCTGCTCTCCTGGTCAGAGGTGCCAACCCTAACGCTAGGGACAAGGGTGGCTTCACGCCTCTTCACATCGCGGCGATCCATAACCAATCTGAGGTCGTCCGAAGGCTGATGCTTAACGGCGCCGATCCCACGCTTCGAAGTGTGTCTAACCTCAGCGCTGCTGACGTTTCTCAAGTGCCCGCGGTTGTGAAGACTATTCGCCGCTTTGAGCGTCAAGTTCGCTCTCGCAGCAGCGGTGGCTCTCTTCACAGTCGAGCTAGCAGCGCTACATCACTGCGATCGCTATGGGGGGAGCCTTTAACCAAGGCACATACTCATGATGAGCCTGTTTCACCGGATTCCAGCGAAGAGAGCCCAGAGTATACATCGGGCGACTTCGACGATGAGGATCCCGATGAGGATTCTTATCTGAGCATGAGACGGCCTAGTGGCTTCAGGCAGGACCGTGAGCGACCTAATCTTCGCCGTCAAAATACTGGCCAGTTGGAGGAAGAGCTGGCACCTGTTGCGACTCCCATGGCTGCTGCATCGGCCGCACTAAAGGAACATTTCCAACAGCAACTCCACCAATTCCAGCAGTCGATTGCTTTGCAGTTCCAGAACCTCCCACACTTCCCTCAGATGCCTCAAATGCCCGCTTTGCCTGACTACCAGGCGCCATTTATGCGACGAGTGCAGCAATTCATGCCAGGCATGACCGCACCTGCACCTCGGCCTGATGGCGAGCAGCCTCAGCGCTGGTGGGACACATCCTTGAAGGCGAGTGCGCCCGCACCCCCAGCATATGAAGAGATCTATCCCCAAGAGCAACTCGACCGCAAGCAAGCGTCTGCTGCCACAGCTGCAGTGGAGGCTGAGGCTGATCAGAAATGCGCGGCTTTGTTCGACCAAGCTACAACGACTGAGACCAAGTCGGTCGTGGCCAATGAGGCCACCGATTCTACCGAGGCCACAGAGCTCAGTGAAATCACTGAGGTTACCGAGGTCAAGACAGAAGAGCTAGGAGTTCTCAAGATCGGCCGAAAGAATGCCATTACAAAGGAGCAGCAGGAGCAATTCCGCCGAGCACATGAAGTAAAGATGAAGAGGATTAGCAGCGACCACAATCTATTCTTCATCTGGGTAAGTCATCCCAACCCAAACCCCAACCTCTACATCACGCTAACCAAGTTTTAGATTCCTCTTCTTCTTGTAATGATTTGCGCCATGCTGTACAGCTACTTCCCCTGGCTCTTTACTTTCGTTTGGGCTTTTGTCCGTTCGCTATACCAGAACGGATTAAACAAGACCCAGCAGCTAATTCAACAAAACCCTCTCGAGCGGGTTGTTGAAGTTTGATATGATTTTACGACGGCGTTTCTCGTCACTTCTCGCCCATAAGTCCAGAGCGCAGTCGTTTCTTTGACGGGTTTGGGCGTCTATTATTACGTTTTTGTTATTACGGCCGATGCATAGCCTTATCTTTGTATTGTCGTCGTTCGTTTGGACTCTACCAGTCCTGGCGCACGGTTTATTCATGTATGTCCTGTGGACTTGTTATAACGACAAAGGATCCTCAACCGAAATGATGATGAGAAGGAACTGGACCGATGATCCGAATACAAGGTGCAGCAAGAAACGGAGATGCGGTTATTAGCGACCTTTTTGTTGGGGTGTTTCCTGGGATGAACACAAATGAGCAATAGAGGGGGCTTTTTGAGTGTGGCTTGTCAGTTATTTTCATAAGCAGACAATAGGAAGTCTGAGGGCCAGGCGACAAGGAAATACGTGGTGTTTGTACTCTCTGGTTATGGATTTTAGAGGGCTGATGTGGTCGATTTCGTGGGTGGGAAAGTAGCGGCTGTACTCTTATATAGGTCCAACTAAGCAAAGGACGAATTAATTTGTCTTTTTACCATTATCTTCGATACCCAACCTGCTTCCTGTGAAACGGTTTATCATATATTCACCTATTTCAAGTACTTGAAGACTACTTGAAACCATCAGACTCTGATCAGAAGGGAGTTGAAATGTCATCACACATTGTAGCTATCATGTTGAAATAGTTAAATCACCGCATACCTCATCATTCGAACAGTATGTAAGGAGGAGGTTCATTTCATAAACACAATCATATCGAGAAAGCCTTAACGCCCCTATCCATCCCTTCCAGGCTTCATCCCAAGGGCGTAACTTGTATGACAAGGACTGTTTTCCATCACTATTCCCGTAATCCCCCAAGAGCAAAACGTATACCCATACCAGCCCAGTATCCCAAAGGCATAAAATCTCCATATCCAGCCGGCAAGGATGCAGTGAGACGTCAGAAGAGAAAAAAACAGTCGTGTCGCATGTGATCATGAATATCTTCCGCGCGAATAGGCAAAACAACCATTCCAGCATGAAAACCCCGAAACAAAAACAAGGTCGTGGCCGTATCAAGAGTCGTCCATCCCACCGCTGTCTGGTGAATCAGATGAGCCCAAAGGCTCATGCTTTCATGTCACCCGTACCAATATCCGCTGTCGTCAATATTCTGCGTGCTGTTGTTATAAATCAATCATCAAGGTCGAGAAGTAAAAAGGTGCCGTCGTCAAACTAATAGCGAGAACGTACTGCTGGGGCAGCGTTCTCGGCGTTTTGGTCGTAGTGGGCAAACTTGTCGGGAATGTTGGGCACCTTTGGGATGCCCCTGTTAGCATTCGGCACAACACGAAGCACTTCTACGACGCTCCTACGCGAACGCAGAACTCGCGAGTATTGGACCTCCTGCAGTGGTTGTCTGGACTCTTCGGTACTGTCTCTAGCAGCAGAATCGGACCGACGATCGAGTTCAATAGAGCCTCGGCCACCACCTCCGGGTAGACGCCCAAGGACGCGGCGGGCAAGATTGTTGTACTCCCTGCTCACTCCGTAGGGTCCCGACACACTACGTCGAGAAGAAAGCATGCTGCGGCGGGAGGCAGCATTTCGAAGCGAAGGAAGAGTGATCTCTCGGGAAGCAGACTTGCGCAACTTCTTCTTCGGCGTAGGGGGATCTCGATCTGCATCATCGTCTTCATCGTCTGAATTGGAGTCCGCGGCAGCACGCTTGGTTCCCCTGGACGATGCGCTAGCTGGTGATCGAATAGGAGAGGGTGCACATGAGGTTGCTGGGGTTGCTATTCGAGAACCTCTAATCTGTCGAGGCGGCGAGAGATAATCCTTTGATATCACGCCAGTAGGCACAGTTGGGGCCGGGGCAGCGCCAAAAGGTGTTGGTGGTTGAGTGTCGTCAGAGACCGGGGGTGTAAAGAATCCCGAGGCAACGAGCTCGTCATATGTAGCAGCTCCTGGTCCAGGAGAGGGTGAGTGTGGTCTGAGAGCATGCCTGATTTTAGAAGGCGACTTGGGCGATGTAGGTGATCTAGGTGATGTTGGTGGCGGAGGTGCGCTGTAAGTGGGCGCTGGAGGAGGGGGAGTAGGCGTTTGAGCTGATGTTTGAATAGAGCCTGGGGGTGGTTGACGGGTAGACTGTATAGCATGAGAAGAGAAGAAACCTGACGCCATCAAATTATGGTAGTTGGCCAATATCTCCTCCCGACTCGGCATGTCTTCCCTCAGTGGCTCTTCGGCAGCCTTAACCTCCGTAGACCTGTCTTCCATAGAAACATCATCTCTGTCCATCTGCCTTCCGCGTTGCTCGGAGTGATCTCGCTTGCGACTCCTCGATCGCTTGCTGGCGGCTCTGTCCTCATCATTATCGCGTCTGAACCCCAGTCGACCACGGACCTCGTCCCAGACTTGGCCCAGCAGTCTTCCCCGCTTGACCTGCTTCTCGGAGAAGTCATCGCTCATCGGCCGAGTATTGTTTGACTTGATCCTCGCCAGAACAGGACGCTCGAGGGCAGCGCGCTCTTCAGGGCCAAGAAAATGTACGGGCGGTGCCGCGGAGGTCCTATCGTTCATAGAGCCCTCCATGAAGCGACTCGCGCTTAACGCGCGGCGGCTTTTCGGTCGACCCATAGAGAAGGTTTGTCGGCTTTGTGTTGAATGATGGGTGTAAGTTGCGGCTGTGTAAGCTCAGAAGCACGATTACGTCGATTTTGCAACGCCCGGGTTAGGAAAACGTTGAAAAGAGGAGAAATAAGATTCAACACGACATATCGAGCTAAGAAGAAGGGAGAATGTGGCTGATAAACAGAACGGCTGGGTGCATTTGACAAAGAAAACGTCTGCAGTCGGATCGGATGGTGGTTGTTGATATTGAATCGTCGGTTCACACGTGATGGACACCACAGCAACGGGCAGGAAGGGGCGGGGATGCAACGTACCTGCAGCAGTAGCGAGAGCACTGACCTTGGAATGGAAGGAGGTACAAGGGTACGTGAGTCGCTGGGCCAGACTGGGGCCTCAGTCCCTCCCCAAAAGTGGAAGTGTCCTCGAAATAAAGCTCCAAAACGGAGATTAAATTCCCTTTTGTTATAGATGGGCAAGGATGTTTCTTTTTGAATCGTCGATTTTAGGTGCGGTTACGCGATGGCGCAAGAACAATCGAGGAACGGGTAATGAAGAGTAAGTATTGCAATATTGGCAGAACAACTGTATCCACGTCTCATCCGCGCCAAATATGTCTATCCATTCCAAGACTGTGGCCGTGATTGTTATTGTTCACCATTAATGATAGAGTGATAAGACAATGGGTCTTGCACAAGCCATGTTGATCCAGGTACGGAGACGTGTTTGACATGGATATCTGGTCAATGGTTGAAACACCTTATATGATTAGACTCTAAACATGTTGGAACTAAGCAGAGTCACAAATGATTGTCACATCTCAAATTGAAATAAATATATGTTAACAACTCCAGCTAGATTAGATACCAGACCAGTTCGCAAGGTTGAGCGGCATGAAATCTATCACGGGTCTTCCATTGATTCCACCACAAAGGTTGCAAATATACTCCAATAGCCACGCAGCGTTCCCCAATATCACGCTGTCGCAGGCTAACATAACGTATTTTGGTGGTTAAAAATAGAAGGAAAAAAGATGACAAACAGAACGGAGCAAGCAGTGATGAATGCATTCATGACACGACTTATTTGAAAGGAGAGTAGGTAGATCAATCAATGTAATGAAAATAAAGAGGTCAAGATATCGTAGTATGTGATCATTCTGAATCACAAAGGCAAAATATTCTTCGTGATCCGGCATGAATGACAATGCAAAATGTTCTTTCTGTCCAAGATGAACCAGGTCCAGGGATAAATTCGCCCATCCCATGTCTTAGTCCCAAATAGTTGCGCCCGAACTCCAAAAAACTGCCGCTCTCAATGCGTCTTCTCTTGCATCATTCCATCATCCTTCAGTGGATAGAAATACAAAACACTAAAACGCCAAGTAGTTGCCTTTCTATTCAGGTCTTGGCAGGTCCCATATTTACTCGTATGTGTTGAATTTGACAAAGCTGATCTGGCCGTCTGCTCTCGAGTATGAGCCTTGGTCATGATCAGGGCTGTAGCCACGGAAAGACCGGCCGTAGTGAGGATCCATCTGTCGCTGACCATTGTGGAGTGGTCTGGTGCTCTGGGCAAACACACTCTCGTGCTTACGCTTACCGCCAATGTTGACAGGAGGAAGCTCAGGAAGAGGTCCGTCATGAGGCTCAATAGGAGGCAATGGCGAGACGGGAGAGACCAGCGCAGCAATGCTGATAGAAGGAAGCGAAGGTTTGTTGTTCATAGGACGAGGAAGTTGAGCAGCAGCAGGCGTAGGGGGGTATGATGGTTGCGAATCTCTTCGGTGGTGGCCTTCAGTGGAATAGATGGAGGGAGAAGGAGGAACGTAGGTGCTGGTAGACTGTCTGCGGTCATACAGATCGTGCTTGGCGGACGGAGCAGGCGAAGGACAAGAAGGTAGTATGCTGCGACTAACATAGCCGTAGGAAGTGTCGGCCTTTGAGTATGGTGACTGGACGGCGGGAGGATAAGGACCACTGGCCGGGACGGGCGTTATTTGCAGACCAGGCTGGTGCGCATACTGTCGGGGAGTCTGATATTGGGGTACAGACGGTTCGCCGAAAGCAAGATGCCGCGAGGCAGAAGCAGGCTCGTACGAAGGTGGGGGAGGCGGAGGAGGATATGCGTCCACCATTGAAGGTCGTCGAGAAGATTCAGAGTATGAAGCGCGGTGCTCGCTCGAGTTACTTTGAGAACGGTTGCGAATTCCATGAGGATCCTCAGCAATAGGCGTCACAGTCCTTCTACGACGGAAGTCCTCTTCCCGGCGCTCGAAGCCATTCCCGTTGGAGTTTCCGTTGCCGTTGCTGTTGTTGTTGCCTCCTCCAGACTTGGTGTCACGCTTCCTCATGCGAACATCACGGCGAATTCGAACCCGGCAGCCCTGGTCAGCAACTGTCTTGCTGAGTTGTGTGCTCTCCATAAGACCGGGGAACTTCTTTGCGCTGTAGACACTGAATGGTTTGGTCCGGATGTCCATTCGGAAGTCAACACCGGGAGGAAGATCGCCATCAACAGGCTCTGCGTCAAAATCCTTCTCCTCCTTGGTAGTCTCGAACAAGCTGAAGGTCAGGCAGTATAGGCCCTCGTGGCGGACGGAAAGATCGGGAAAGATGAAGTAACCGGCTTCGGTGGGACGGTCGAGATAGGCCATACCAGAGGCAGGCACACCGGTTAGAATAGGTGGGTTGCTGGCAGCGGGTGTGTTGACACGGCCGCGGGCGACGGGGCGAGCATGCTCGAGACTGGCGTAGAGGAAGAAGTTGGCGTTGTAGTCGAATGTGATGTCCTTGCCCTCCTCAACACTGGGTCCCTCAATAATTCGAAGCTCTACAACCGGGGGAGGATCGACAGGTCGGCGGTCGCTGTTGGCTATGAGACGTCAGCATACAAGCGACTAGAGCAGAGATGAACGAAGTTTATGGTATATGATCCACATTCATCTCATCATGTATGAGTCAGCTTACCCTTCATTCCAGAACCGCAGGCTCGGGCACGCTCTGGTTGTTGCAGAACGGTCATTTGATACCAGAGGTCGCGGTTTTCTCTCGTGGTTCTGTGAAGTCTGGCGATACATTCGCGCTCGCCATTGGTGGGAATTGCGGATGGTGTCGCCATGTTGGATATTAATAAGGCGCTTGAGGGCGCGCCGACGAAAATAACGGTTTAGAAGTGAAGTAGACGCAAAGTAAAATGAAGCCTTTAAACCCAGACGTTGTCAGTATGATGCTTTACTCAACGGCCAACGCTCCTGCATGCGAAGCAAAACCATTCAGTCGGTATCCAACAAGTTTATTGACCGGCCGATGCGAGAGTATTCCCACGTTGCAGGTGACGTGACTTTTAGCTGGCAACTCACCCTCAATGTGAGACGCCCCGTTAATTAAAAATTGTCGTCGGGTCGAGTTTAGCACGGTGGTTGTAGTTTGTCGATCTGGTCACGGACACGGGGCGACAACCGTAATTGAAGACGGAAGAAGGGTGTCGTGTTGACAAGAAGAAAGAGGGAGAGAGATGGCTCCTCAACGCGACATACGAGAATTGGCTTAGAGTAGTAGTAGGAGTCGAGCCAGATTCCAAGTAGGGGGAGTGGAGAGACGGTATCAGTACAGGAACAAGAGGAAGAAGTGAAGAGAAAGGGAAGCGAATGGCCGGGGGTGGAGGCCGTTGAAGAGGAAGACAAGAGACGAGACAAGTACAGTAGCGAATGTATTAGCGCAGGTCGCTAACTTCAAGAAGCAGGGGACTAAAGGTGAGGTAAAGGGAAACAAGGCCCAGCCTGGGACCAGTAACTAGGGGCTTGCAGGGCAGTTCAATGGGGGAGTGGAACTAGTTGCTGTAGCTGACCTGACCAAACCAGACCACACTTGAGCAAGGCCTGACGCTATTCCCGCGGTCCCGCGGTCTGTTGCAGACTCAGAATGCAACCGAGTACAGTGCGTGAGGTGGTCAGTCGATGGGTAAACGGGTATGGACGTAACATTGAAATCTACAGTTACAGTCAGAGATGGGCGGGGATGTTGCTAAATAGAGGAGAGACAGAAGGGAAGTTGAAGGTCAGACTAAGCACTCGGACACTTGTAAGAACGCGAGAGAGCGACAGATGATCATGATCCATTCTTGGAGAGGGAGAGGAGAGGTGTGCACAGCGAAAGAAGCAGGGATAAATTCACGATGGTAGATGTTGCTGAGTGGCTGAATAGGCCCAGGAGCCTGGTTCTGGTACAGCTGACTCGAACGCTCAAATATGCTCTGGAACGCCCTGGGAAAGCCCCAAAGCCACTGAGACTGGGCACCTGAGTTCCCTGGATCGCCTGGGGTCTCAAGCCTCGAGGTCCCTTTTTTGGGGGGTGTTCGTCCATGGCCAAGGAGACGGGAATTGGGATCGGACCAATGGGGAGCTTTTCCTCGTTGGGTCAAGCCTAAATTGCAACCTTGAGGTGGGAAAAACAGACGAGACGGGACGGGAGGCTTGGGGGCGGTAGACCCAGGTTCCCAGAACGAGCAACGAGTTTAATACAGTACACCTGAGATTGACTGTTTCTGGAATTTGGGAACGGGTTTAATTTTCCCTTTCTCTATTTTCACTTTTCTGACTGATCTCATCCCTGGTGACCAACAAATGGGTTAGAGTTCAAGGGGCGCTAAGCCTTGTGGTTTCGTGAAATTATGGTCAACCTATGTACGGATATTGTAGTACCTTGCCTTGGATTCTGGTGAAGCTCAGCTGAGAAAAAGAAACCATCAGCGGTGCTGCACTGTGCAAACCTAGATGGACCCCGTCGTCAATCATTCCAGCCCTGGAAGCCAACAGCCGCAGGGAAAAGGCACAGGGCGGCCGCGACTGCAGGTGGGAGATACAACAGCCACGGTACGGACTGCGTTGGAAAGGGGCATGATGTGAGCCGATAAAGTCAGGATTGCGTATACAGAGAGCCCCGGGTCGGAGCATTGCACGGTTTAAATTCGGACACTTTTTTTGCTTGTCTAAATCTCATCTCAGGACACTCTCCGATTTCAACGAAAGCAAAAGTACTACCGTAGCGTTACAGCCCGCGTTCGGCAGCGGGAATACGTACCCGAAAAAGGTGAGGTGCTCCGGGCGACAACAGCGCATTTTCCATTTTCTTTCGGGCTTTCTGGTTGGTCAGTTTGCGATTCGACCTATCACAGTTGCATCGACGGGCAAGCGAGGCGACGCAACGCCATGGCATGGCATGGCATCGCCAAGACTCGTCGTGAATGGCTCATGCCCCCACGAGAGGGGACACTAGCAATACTAGATGGGAATTTGGGGGGAGCGATGCCACCAACAAGAGTGAATGCCAGTCACACGGCACTGCTGTTGTGAAAAAGGATGATGCTGAGCTGAGAAGAAGCAAAGTGTTGATAAATGAGTAGGGTACAAGAAGAGAAAAGGGTTCATAAAACCATGCCGGAAATCACTCTTGTTAAGGTGTAAATGCATGCATATCTGTCACGGATATAGTTCGGCACGTTATGTACTGCGCACTGCACAGTCTACGGGCAGACGGGAACCGAGCTCTGGGCGCTAGAATACCTATCAAGTCTCAGTTTCAACGTGCGCCAATGTCTCATTATACGACATGCAGGACATCCAACATGCAATCTTCTCATTTTCTCTATTCTCTACCAGCAAAAATATGCCCCCAATCCATCTACTCCATCTATTTCAAGCCCATCTAAATCATCTCGCTTGGTGACGGAACGTTCAAAGCTTGTCAAAGTGTCAAACTCGGCTTCCCCATCTCGGAAACGTCATCACCAACCAACAACCATTAAACAGCCTTGATCGCCCTATCAGCTTGTCCAGTCATAGCTCATCAATCTTCTCCATATTGATACTCTAGCGCGGAGCTAGTCATGCGGGCTGCAGGACCCGGTACGGGAACCCTCAAGGATCTCAAAGCGCTAGGCCGTTTTCGCTCTAATATCCCGTCTACCATCGAAGGAACGAAAATGTCCCCTCTTTCCTCCCTCGAATCTCTGAGCTTAACAGTCCCGTCCCGTACTGTGCTGTCTATCTTCATTCTGTACTGTACACCGTCACCGCCGATATTCGTATCAAACTTCATTCTTCAAAGACTCAAAGACGCAAAGACACTAATAAACCCGCCATTCAACTCAAAAAGCTGCTGGTTGGTTTCAAATACAACACTGGATCTACGCTGGCATCTAACGAGACGATTCGATTCGATTGATAAATTTCATGTCGGATTTATGCATCGCATTCTGCATATGCACACGCGCTGATGCCACGGGCTAAACATGCGTTGTGTCAGGGATACCCACGACTCATCGCTAGCCACGCATCCAATACAATGCAATCCTTCGTCTCTCAGGTCTCGACACGTTGAAATACAGCAGGTAAGGTACCTACGATGTGTTTGCCCAACTTGGCCCGGCATTCAACCCCTCCAGCCAACATCTCTGGAATACGACATGATGCATCCATGTTTCAAGATGGCAGCCTTCAGATGCTGTGCACTACCACATTCATCCTTACAGCGCATGCAGCACAACCTGACATTTGTCTTTGCCTTTGGTTTTGGCTTTGCCAACGTCAGAGAAAAAGATGTGCAAACCCGGCACCTTTCATAACGGTTAACCGCCTGCTGAAGACTTGGGTATCAAGGGTGTTTCAGTCAAATCCCACATCCTAGGCCGTCCTCCTACCAAAACCTCAAGGTTTACCTCGCTTGGTCATTTAAATACCACGTCCAGGGTCGCATCGCCCGGGCAAACCCTCCGGCAGAGTCAGGTTCCTTACAAGACTGGACAGCTCACTAGTCATTCCGCTGTTCCCTCGGTTCTGGCACTTTATTCGAAACAGCAACATGCCGATATTTTGCCCATTGGCCCGTCTCAGCACGTAGCCACAACGCGTTGACCCTCCCTTCAACATCCGAAAGGCTATCTCACAGAACAAAAAGACCCAACTCCCTGGTCGCGGCACCTGCGCGGGCCAAGCAGCCAAGTTGCCTGCATTTGCACCCAGCTCCCGAGAATGTCGTCTCAGCCCGTGCGTTCCTGTTGGTTCCTGAAGGTCTGAGCCGTTTACCAGCATCAGATACCCTGAGGCCCTGTCGCAACTTACAGAAATTACACGCCTGGAAAACCCCGACCAGATCAGATCATGTTCGCTTGCACATGAGAGTCGCCACACTTTGAGTACCTCCCTGCATCTGTATTCACTTCTTTTCATTGCAGTGGCGTTGCAGGAATGAGATCTCTCGTTCGATTTAGCTGTCGGGTCCGGGGAACGGCCCGGACGGGACGAGGACAGCCTTGCAAGGTGGATGTCTATCATCACCAACAAAAGCTGATGTGACTGCGCCTTCTATCACTCTGCTCTATGAAGAGGAATACCATATCACCTGTGGCCGCGAAAGTGGAATCAATATCCGTATTTCCAGCCTCTCATATGTGACTATCGGCAGATAGTGCTTCAAGACGCCCGCAATTCGCAGCTGCTCAGCCTGCGCACACAGCATCCCCAGGTTTCGTCCACTGAAATGGTTTGTTTGCTCTGATCTGCCCTGCTGCCGTACGCCACCAACACGTTCTCTTCTCTTACCCAGCCTCCAACCCTCTCATCGCCCGGACCAAAATGCACGGGGCGCCGCTTCAGGATACCCGGGAGCGTCATCAAACTTTCTGGCTCATGGACCTCATAAAACCTCATAAACAAGGTTTCCACAAGGTTACCTGTCAGCCTGTCAAAGGGCCTCTAGACCATTCCCGCAGGGCATTCCAATTGCATCAGCCTTGAGACATCGGATCATTATTTCCCATCTAATAACAGACCATCAACCATTGAGAAATAGGCTTTAAGTTAACATCTTTTTGAAACAAAACGTTATCTCTCATTAGCATGGCATTAAACCGTGATCGGCTATCGTCAACCCACCGTTTACAATAACAGCACAAGGCTTGGCTGTAAACTTGAGGCTTAGACACACGCTGTACATTTCACCAGTAGGCTATGCCGCCCTGATTTGCTGATACATCTGCTGCTGGTCTCAACGTGGTGCGGCACAACACGGACCTCAACCTCTCGATCGGATCCTGCCCTGACCCTTCTCTTTGTCAGTGAACCCAAGACCAAGGCTCAATGTCCCAGCCACAGATTCTAGAGGCTGCACACACGCACACACAGGCCATGGCTTTTGCTTTGCATGCAGCAGCAGGCTTCATCTATGGCTGTCCATTGCACGCCACAATCCAGTCTCGGTTTCACCGCTGCATATAGCGAAGCCTCGTGGGACTCTAATCACCCCTCCTCGACTGTGATGCACCGGGTTCTTCTTCGTACCACGGCGAATCTGCCCTGGGTATGATGTTTCTAGCGTATTCGAAGGGAGGAGCAGCACCCCGCGTTTCGTAAAGGCTGTTGGTTATCGATCATCGTTGTTGCTGTGATGTGCTCTGCGGCCGTTGAACGACTCCCGCCCGCAGTTTTGCTCCTCCTGGCATGTACTATGTAAGGGTGAATTGGATGAGAGTCACCAATGCTGAACGCTGCTTCCAGTCCCGGACAAGTCCTCCGGAAGCATATTAAGCATGTTTACTAGGTATGCCGTAATGCAGGCGTTAATTGAACCAGTGGCGTCTTCTCTTATTTCTCACAATGCCATATGGATGCATTGACAATTGCCAAAACTCTTGTATTTCGAGAAGCACTACGGTACTTGGTTTTGCTTCTTCTGATCCAGGCTAATCTAACCATGAGAAGATTTGGCTGAAACAGCCCTGTACATAATTAATAGTGCCCTGGTATGTGAAGACGCTGCTTCCCTTTAGGTCATAGGCTGTCAGATGATGGTCGACTCGTCGAGCTGTTGTGTCTAGACTGGCTGGCTGGGCATATCTACAATCCTCTCTTGCCCACATGTTAGACAAAGCCTTGCAGATCAGCAAACATGCAGCCGCCCGCAAGCAAGCAAGACGTCCCCCTGGCGTTGCATACGTCGGGGCCAGTCTTTGGAAAGCTTTGACTGGAGTTGCGGACTCGTAGTTTGACAGGCCCCATGGCATGTTGCACAGTGAAACGCAAGAATGGGCCGATGAGAAACTGGTACAGTAGTTATACCACGGTGGACACTTGTGCGTGTGTATTGCGACTAGCCGTGGAGTTGCTGGGAGACGTCAGGCTTGACAGGTGGTACTGAGGTTATACATGGTAACTGTGTCCTCCACAAATAGTTTCTCAGTTTGCTTTTTCGTCCTAATAAATCTGAAGCAGGCTGTAACGGCTCCTCCCATGAATATGTCTTGTTAAAAACTGGAAGCTGGATAACTTTTGAGTTTATCAACCCAGATCCTCTCGGAACGCCTTCGGAGCGACCTGATCTCAGAGAGGAAGCTCGTAATCCCCAAGCTCCAAGCTCAAAACTTCAGTTCCTGGAAGCATCAGTAATCTCTAGTGCTCTCCTCTCCACGTGGATCTGACATAGCCAAGTTCCTTTTTCTCGGGGCCTGTCTCAGAGTTGCGTGACTTGGGAACTTCCATTCTGCACCCCTCGCAGCCGTAGCGCAAAGCCACAGCATGTCGAGCGACGTAACGAGATGAGAAACAAAGAACAAAAGGGGGAAAGAAGAGGCCGGTAGAAGAGTTTAAGGTTTTTCTAACACAATGAAACTATGTACAAGGCGTTTATTGTCGTTGTTGATCAAGGTTAGTGCCGTTGGATACGGTGAAGATGTTGACCAGTTTGTGTGATGCCGCGAGAGCGCGAGGAAGCGAAGTGGCTTAATCGTGGGGTTGGGGTATGAAGTTTGAATTCGCTGTATGATTGGAGATGTCTCAGGTTAATTCAAGTTGAGGGAGGAGTTCTGGTGTGACACTTATTCGTCAAGTTTGGCTGTGCTGTTATGGTACAGGGTAAGCTCGACACTAAATAGCATCACGATATCTTCTCAGCGGGATGAAATCACTATGCTTGAAAGCCTGATAGATGTGACCTAGATGGTTGGGACAAAAAGACATACGAGTTGAACAGTATTAGTTATTAGGCTGACATGTAATCCAACTATATCCAAAAAGCGTCAATGGGGTATCCCAACTCCCGTTCAAAGAGGGTATCTCGAAAAGTAGTCCAGCATCAAGTACATCCTCAAGCACCACCGTCATCACTCTGTTCGTCCCTGTATTAGACAGCGTCCACACACTTGTCACTCGTGTCAAGAAAATATTCATCCATTTTGTAACAAAAGAACAATGATAATCACACCTTAGACAGCAGTGGTAGCAGCAGCAGCAGGCTGTGCAGTTGCAGCCGCAGGAGCCCGCTTCTCAGGGAAGACAGCGTTTCCAGAATTGACACGGCCGTACTGAGTGAAGTACAAGTTGAGAGCACCGTAGTCCCATCTCTTGGACAGGAACATAAAAGCAAAGGCAAGACCGGGGACCATGAGCAAGTCGAGGACGCCGAAGAAGACGAGGCTCTGCGTGACACCGATCTTGTTGCCGCCGTCAGAGAGGCCAAAGGCGATCGGGTACAGGAACCACAGCAGGTTGAGCCAGCCGGCCAGAATGAGGTAGTCCCGAGAAAGGCCCAGGCGGGCGGCTGAGGTGCGGCCCGGGTGAAGAGTCTGGTAGGCGAGCATCAGCCAGGCGAAGGTGCCGAAGGCGTAGAAGCCCCATTTGTACGAGGTTGTGGTATATGCGGAGCAGAGGTAAGCGATGATCCTATTGAGTCAGTATCGACGACAGTGTAGACAAACAAGAGGGAGACTTACCAGATCCAGGCGAGAAAGATGTTGAACAGAATGGTTGCCCAGCTCACACCACTCATGAGTCCCAGAGCAAGAAGAACAATAGGGAACGCAACAACCCAGTTGATGTACTTTGCAAAGTAGATCTGATACGATAGGGCACGGCCGAGGTTGAGCTGCGTGGGGATGACCGAGTAGGCAATTCCAGAAGCCATGGAGAAGTAGGCGATTGTTCCGATGAAGAGTGCAATGGTAAAGAGGTAGTGGAAGATCCTCTCATTGTTGCGAGGCTTGAAGCTGAGGGCGAAGTATGCGAGCTGTTGATAGTAGTGTTAGTCAATTGATCCTATAGAGTGATCAGAGGATATACGCACGAAGCTCACGAGGTAGATTGCCGTCACAGCCCAGAGCCAGTCTGAGCCAGCCTCAGAGAGACGAGCGTCACCACTTTGTGGGTTAACGTCGAGAGCATCGTTTCGAGTAAAGAGAACAGGCATCTTTGAAGTATTGCCAATGTTGGTTATGCTTCGTGTAGTGTTGAGTACTCAATCCAAATTATATCAAGTTATTAATTATGTGCTTTGATCTTCCTCAGTGAATAACAAAGAGAAGAGGAAGGGTGACAACTCTTATATAGAACAACGGCACACAGCTTCCAACAGGGTGACATTCCCACCAAGAACTCTCCAGAATCTCCTTGGCTCTCCAATCTGATGACAAATATCGTCAATTGTGCGGTCAGGTCTGCAACTCTGCATCAGTCACATCACCCAAGCCGTCCCATTGGACACCTAGAACCCCCCAGAAGCAAAAAAGGACAACACCAAGAATCAATGCAACTCTCAGCAATGACGTGAATGACAAAAGAAAAAGTCTTGGTGAGTAGAAGGTACTTGCATGTGTCCTCTTGGCGATGCTCATTCATGACACGGAGAGTCTTGTCTGCCAAGCAATTTCTCTTCTTGATGTTCACCAGTCTGACTTGGCAGTTTGTTAGCCATTGGATGTGTACAAGGCATGGGAAAGCCTGATACGAAAAAGAAAAGCAAAAGCTTAGTGATATCTGATGTCGGTATCAACACAGACAAGACCTCATCACCATCATTATCATCATCACAGTGGAAAAAAGACACAATCACTTTTCTCATCCTGGCCAAAAAGAAAAACCCCAAAAAGTATCAGTAACCATCATCTACACCATTAAAAAGTCATGCCACTCTCACCTCACATCCCTCTCTTTAATCCCGTAGCTTCCGGGAGTTGTCATGTGCTCGACAACCCCTACAGTCGATCCCCTTGGCGAAGAGGGAATAGTCCCGACCCTGCAGCAACCCAAAGAAGAGTCGCAGAAGGGAAAATATCCCTTTACTATGTACAAACCGGAGCATCCTTCCGGTCTTTGCATGGGAGGGCCTCGCGAATTGACGTCAAAGTGACTGCATGCCCAGAGATGGCTTTTTTAAACATTGGATTCAAGGTTGTTTCGATGTTTATTTGCACATCACGCGGTCAGAATCTAACATACCGGACTGACTATTCGGTACGTACGTATAGTGTAGCTCACAGCCTCACGTCTAGCAATTCTTCTAAACATCTTTGGGCGTTGACTGCATCGAGATTTCGCTTCTTTTCAACAATGATACAAAGTATCTAATACTCTTCGTTGACTTCCCGTTGTTTCCTCTCTTTGACGCTGTCATTCCACGTTTCATTGCATAGCAACCTCCTTCATGAAAGCTGATTTCATCCATTCGAACCAAACACCCTTGTACCATGCCAATCACGAGCAGACCCCCCCTGTTCTTTTAGCCCCGGCAGATGCCTTGTCTGCCGTTGGTTCCATGATATCACCCCAACGAATGTGACAGTAACTGCAACTGTAATCGCTACAGCGTGCGACCGTGACCGTGATCTTACTGCAATAGCTACAGTACTCCATCAATATCATATCATTCATCATCCAACATCGTCCTATTACCAACAAGCCCAACTATATGTTACATTCGTTGCTATTGCTCTTTATCATACAACTTACACAATAACGTACCAATCAACCAACCGCTGCCTTTTCTTTTCCACACCCTCGAATTTCAATAACCAGCCTGCTCTATCTGGTACGCTGCCGTTTTGGCCCGCTCACGCACGTCCAGGTCTCCATCTTGCTTTGTGAGAGCCTCCATTTTCGAAAAGAACCCAAGCTTTCGTAATTCATGCGCCCTCAAAGCGCAAGCTTGTGCCTCCCCGTCGTCGTCTTTGTATGTGAGATTGGTAACAAAGTGACACAATGCTACTCGTACCTCGCGGTCCTTGCTGCTGGCCTGCTGCGCCAGAAGCTTCAATAGATCTGTTTGAGCTATAATCATCTGCTGATGCCGTGGGATGCTCGCCGCGATATGCGCTAGGATGTATATCACAGCTACTATGATCTTGGCCTGCGGGTGGATAAGCCTTGTCTCTTGACCCATCACCGAAGCTCGACGTGAGAAAGGTCGCAGCACCTTGGCCCGCAATTTTGAGGATAAAATGTCAAATAGCCGTTCGGCTCCGAATTCGTGCAGCAAGAAGTCGATCATCTCGGCCGTTTCGTTGTTCGTCTCTGGTGTGAGTCCGCTTCTTGGCCTTCCAATCAAGTTTCGAATCATGTCCAGGCCTTGTTCTTGAATCGCCAAATCGTCGTTCCGTGCCCTCCGGACCGGATTTAGCTCGGATTCTCGCACTGCTGTGAGCTTGTCTTCCACTTGACGTAGCCTTGAGGAGCTGGCCGCGTTTAGTTCTCGAACCATTCCGTTCGAGCCGTATACCCATCGATGAGGCTCATCTGACTGTTGCATGTCTACATCGTCGTCCATATCGAAACTCGAAGCATCCCGTTCTCTCGTCTGCAACAGGGCCGAGTCCTCCATGTCATCGCAAATGAGCTGCAGCAACCATTGTGACCCAAGCTCTGCAAGACATGCTTTCTTTATGGTGGGTTCAACAGCATCTACGAAGTGTTTGAGTGCCCAGAGCCCGTTTTGACGCAGAGCCGGATTTTGTGACTGCGCATGCTTGCAAAGGACAGTCACAACTCCCTGTTCGGCAAGAAGCTGCAATGAATGTTAGCCCGTACTCGAACCCAAAGGATCTATCAGATTTACCTCTCGCATTGGGCTGACCTCCAGGACCAGATTGCAGATGGCCGCAGTAGCAGCAATTTGAACGTCGACATCTGGATGCCTCATAAACCGGAAGATAGGAAGGGCAACCCCATGGTCGACAAGGGATGTTCGCAATATGCTAACCGAACGAGATAGCATTCGAACAACATGACATCCAGCAACGATTACACCCGAAGGATTGGTACCATATCCCGCAGTCTCTCCCTTTTTGGTAGAATCGGCGCTTGACTTCTCTGAAGTCCGCTCCTTTGCCGTCTGTGGTTTTCTGGGGTATTCCGAAAGAGACTCAACAACATACGAAACCAAATCATCAGCCACAAATGCCTTTCTGTAGTCTTCCTTACCTCCTGCAAGAGCTGCAATGGCCTTCAATGTGCTTTCACGTAGCTTAAGTCGGTGAATCAAAAGTTCATTCTGACCCTCCTGGCCAAGTTGCGCCACCGGGGAACTACCCCCAACCTCCATATCGACGTCCGCATGTGGTGACCAATAGCGGGGCTGCCCATTGTCCTTAGCAGGTGTATAAGCGTGTTTGAGAAGTTTACTCAAGACAGGCACGGCTTCGCACTCATAGGCCGCCTTTTGAAGATACTCGCTGTCTGTAATCATACGAGCAAGAACCACCGGCGCATGCTCTAGAACGGTCCGTTTGATGACATTTTCAATATCGTTCACATCTGAAACATCTTGGTCGTTCTGGGCTATCATCGCAACAAGAAGGGGAACCACAAGAAGTCCGAGACAAGTTTCCCTCAAGCCTTTACTAGCCACGCCGCCTTTGATTAGTGCAGAAAGGACAGAGGAGGCAAAAAGACGCTCTAGTCCATCTGAACGCCTGATTAGACGGACCAGCCAAGGGGTAAACGGACTCTCGATCTCTTCTGCATCCTCACCACCCGCGCGGTTAGCAAGGAAGCGGGGAGAATCCCATATCGCAGACGAACCAAACTTGGTCAGAGACGATCGACTAGATGACTGTGAATCTGAGCCACCTAGTGACAGCGAGCCATAGGGGGATGTAGATGGATTTCGAGGTAGGTTCATAGGAAGCATATACTCCATCGCCGTGAAAGGTTGCTGCCGGGCAATACTGAGCCCTGCTTGTTCAGCATCCGAGGCTCTGAAAGACTCAAATTTGATCGGTGGGAAAACAGCAAGGATAGATGGCGAGTTCGCAAGTCTGTTAGCGCGGTACTTTGAATCCCCCAAAATAGCGCTGATAGCCTCCAGGATCAATCCCAATCTTAATGTTCTGGGAGCAGGGTCGGGGAAAGCCTCGAAAATACCGTCGTTTCGTGCTGAGACATCGGCTCCGGGGACAACCTCCCCACGAAGAACAGCAACGCTGGCCAGACGTGTGGCCAGCACATCCAAGATCCCGGAAGTTGCCAAGGCTTGTTGATGGCGCTCTTCATTGCAGAGTCGAGATATCAAGCCCGCCGTAAGGGAGACCTGAGACTGTAGGAGGGTATTCGTAGACGTGATAGACAACATCGCCCCGAAAGGATCGAGGTATTGGGCGGAGAATACATTGTTGGCCAGCGATTCGGTATCGATTGGGGAAGATGATGCCGCCAGGGCACAAGCATCTGCAATGTCTGTCAATGCCTTGAGGGCTGCAACGACGAGTTGTGGTGCGTTGGTGAAGGGTGATACGTTGGCCATGAGGGCCGGGATCGCATGCGCAGCATGGAGGGGCGCCAGAAAAGCAGGGCCTCCTGTTCATATCCATCAGTAGCTGTAGGATGCTGAGTAGATGTTTTGAAGCATACCGTTCGCAAAGCTAGCCACTAATTGCAGTGCTTGTAGCCTTACACTCTCCTCGTCTGTTAGTGGCCTTTGTGTTAGAAGAACTCGAGAGTCTTTTCCATTTGGCTTGACCGGAGACCTGGACGAGGTCAATGCCCCGACAATCGGATCAAGCACACCCAAGCCAACCCATTGTTCTTTTCTCTGTACGTGGCCGACAACTTCGTTCTTGAGAGCTCGTAGAGCGGCGGTTTGCTCAGGCAAGCTCCTAGCGTTTCGTAACTGAGCCAGAATCGGATGGCCATGCGCTCGAGCCATGAGGACGGTTTATGTATTATATAGGGGTATGTCGATAGATGCGCGATCGTGGAAGAAATATTCTCGTAGAAGGGAGGTATTTGTCGATAAAAATATGTAACAGTGACTGTTTTTGAATGAAGAAACCTAGTAATCAAGGACACTGCGAATGATGCTGGCGCCTTCACATCCAATCAAGCTATATGCGCCGATAGGTTCTGGGATTTGCGCGAAGAAAGTAAAAAGCGAGGTATGAGGATTACAAATTGGCTGCGAAGGATATGGTATTTGTATAATTTGATTTGGGGAGCTGGAATTCGAATCGGCAAACCATTAAAACATGCAAGTTGCTACCAAAGCCAGTCTGGGGAACATGGCGTCGTTGATCACGTCAAGCATGACTGTGAGCAACGGCACGTGCTCCTGCCTTATCAGAGTGATAAGAGATGGGATTCTTTATTCAGTGTGGCTTGAACCGATCAGCCCCAAATCGGCCGTACCCGAGCCACTGTGAAGTTCTGGTGTGAGACACAATGTTTGAAGCCATCGTGAGTTGCGAATTTATTAGCCAGGCATTATAGTTGCTGTCGACGTTTCAATTGGGTTGTATAGAGTTTGTGTAACTGGTAGCGGTATTAAGGATGGATCTGATCGGAGCATCGTGTTAAGCTTACTTGCTAAGAAAACAGGTATCAAGCGAAGTCGTAAACACCACAAGACGTGACTCCATCGATGAGCCCAACATTTTAAAGAAAATGGCTGGTAGGCTAAGGTTCCTTTTCTCCAATTGAGTTTCCTTACATCGTCATATAATTTTAGTTTCGATAGAGTTGTGCAATATTCGGGGTGCATCTGTACAACGGCTGATTCACTTACACGGGGGGCTGAACTGTCTTAGTAACACATATCAGATAACTTTCGCAAGTCTACAAGGGATCATTCGTGTTTTGATCGAGCTTTGACTATCTTATCTTGGAAATTCGAGAGGCTGTGTGTAAGAAATTGCCATGTCTTTTGGATTGTTTGATAACCTGGTATCGAGTCCACCACCGGAGGCGCTTCGGAGTCAAAAGCTAAAAACTGCCCTGGGCCTTTTGCCATCTCCATCAGCGGCGTTGCCGACTTAGACCGACTGTTTCATAGCCATCGCAAGGCGGCTCCGCAAGTTCAGTCTTATTGACTCTGCTCCACGATACTCTCTATTTCTTCACCGAGCTCCAGGCTTGGAATGATCCGCCTGTCGGCAAATGAACGCGGGGCCTTGATAATTCCCGAATGCTGATAACCCTCTGGCCTCTGGCGGCGTGTTGTTTAGCCCACGTTGTGGTTTGAGTGGCTCACGAACGTTGCAGTGTTGGGCCTGGCTGCACGAGGTTCATTCTGGGGAACGCAGTGCGTCTGGGGTAACGTAAACGTCCAAGCCAGGGATCTTCAAGGTGTCTCACTAGTGAGTGATCCAGGTACCTAGGTAGTGTTGGAGCGGTTCATCCTCATTGCTGTGCCGTGTCTGAAATGCGTTGGCAATGAATTTGATAGAGCATTGAATTTCAATTGAAGTGCTGAATGGCTCATGAAGTTGTCGTTGATCACAGGAACATTTCGTCCAGTTACGATACCCGCCTTGAGCCTGGGCTTCCTGATTGAGACGCACGCTGACGCCATCTTTGCGCCGTCAATTTCTCTCGCCTTGAGTTGAAGAAAACGCCAAACTACTATGCCTATCCAAGCGTGTTAAAGCCCCTCTAATACCGCTCTACAACCCTTCTAAGGAGTGTCGTCCGTCTTTGAGAAGAAACACCCAGGGAATATTTCACCAGGGTTTGGCTGTCTTTTAGGATTTGCCATTCGCCATTCTCGCCGAGTCATATTGCCTGCCAACCGAAAGTCTGCCAAGGTCTCGTCAGTGACTAACAGCCAGCTCTCCACTGGCCTGGGCCTTGAGACAGAGAAATTCTGCGTCTCACGCAACTCACCATACCTAGGCTATAGGACAGCACAACAGTACAACAGCGCGCTCCGGTATCCGGAAGTGGCCCCTAGAAAAATAGCCCCTGCGTAAAATCCTCAACCCCCCGGGTCCGGCCCTGTCCGTTTCTCTTCTCTCAGTGGCTCGCAGCGCTGTCAATTTACCCACACGCATTCATCCCATCCACTCGTCGTCATCTTGGACCACTCCCACCATCCCCAGCCCAGGCCGAACCAAACTCTTTGTGCGTCTGCGTATGTATCTGACAAGCAGAGCAGCCACCTACAGCATACCCCTAGCAAATACCAACACCAGCAATCAACTAATCGCCCAGGCCATTTTGGGATCTCTGCTAGTCCTCTAGCCTGCTATTCCTCGGTGAGCGTTCTTGTCAATAGCGCAGTCCCTGAACAACCCAGATTGCGCCAGTGTCGCGCCCACATGGAGGGAATCGATCAAACGCCATGATCTAATTCGCGATTCGATTCGACCCCATACTAAGTTAAACCTACCTATCTGCCGTATCATTGTATCTTGCGCTTCTGCTCCTTCATTGCCACTTCGCAATCGTTCAAAACCCTTGTCTTCTTTTACCGACATTCGACATCGCATCGTTTCAGCCCTACCAACGCAACCCAGGCCAATCGCACACTGCAACACAGCACACTTCAACTGGTGCTTAACCCCTCGATTTCCCCAAAGTCCAAACGACCCCCGACGAACCGACATCTCGACGATGCGACGCAAATCATGCTGAAGACGTCTCCCGCTTTGTCTGCCAATGCTTCGCCAAATACCTTTCGATATGCGACCTCCTCTCCTCAACACTCCTCAAAGCCTTCGCCAGCTCTCCGGCGGCGGCCTTCTTCTCGCTCCAACGCTTCGCCTTCCGCCGACGCCATGAAGTCCTCTCCAATACAACGTCCGAGACAATACGTCGCAAATGACTCTGGCATACACGGGTCCCCCGCAGAGGCTCAGCGACCACCGTCATCACTCTCTCAAAAGGTCTCTGCGCATTCTTCGCAATCGCCTCATCCTGCTGCCGCCCCCTCACGGCCTCCCCAGGATCCCGTCGTGCAACCAGACTCAGCTCCAAGCGGGGTGTCACCAACTAAACGTCGAAGCTCTCCCGCCCCGATCAACTCAGAAGCCACTGCCGCTGGAAGTTCATCGCAACAAACAACTAAACGCCCGAAACCTGATACGCCACCACCAAAAGTACTGCCGGATCGCTATGAGCTCTGCGCCATTGAGGATATAGTAGAACTGGTTGCGCATATGCTGGCCGAGTTGATCGCTACAAATGACGCCATCCGGATATCGAATGGTGGCTTGACACGCTTTCACTCAAGGTAATTGCGGCTCTTTTGGTACTTCGGATTTATCGGACCCAACTGACATGTATACAGAACAGCACCTGGAATCTCTGTTCGAGATTACCTCCACCGTTTGGCTAGGCATGCGACATTAACACCGCCACTTCTGCTGGCCATGGTTTATTATATTGATCGATTATGCGCCATGTATCCGGAATTCACTATCAATACGTTAACTGTGCATCGGTTCCTGATCACTGCTGCCACAGTTGCTGCCAAGGGGTTATCAGACTCTTTCTGGAACAATACCACTTATGCCAGGGTTGGTGGAGTTCGGGTGGCAGAACTAAAACTACTAGAACTAGAATTCCTCTATCGTGTGGATTGGAAAATAGTCCCAAACCCTGAAGTCCTCGTGGCATATTTTAAAGGCCTAGTGGAACGAACACCAGGATATGTTCTGGAGTCAGATGGTTCAGAAGACGAGGATGAGGACGAGGACGATGATGCTGACGACGGAGAAAACGCCGACCTTAACGGTTAAACCCGCAAAGGTATCTATGCTCTTACACGGCACCGAAATAGGTACAATTCGTCACATCCACTGGCCAACGAAGCCTACATCAGTTCAGACAAAATGCTTATTATGAACGGGAAGCATGATTGCGATGAGGGACAAGAGTGGGTTATGCATAGCAAAACATTTACAGGCGTTTGAGGAATAAGGCGAATCTTGAAATTTGAATGACATACATTTTAACAGGATACTTCGGGAGGAAAGGCAAAGGATGGATTGTGTAAATATTTTTGAGAGAGCCGTATTTAGACTCAACGATTGTCAAGTTGATTGCAATATTTCAAAAGCTTATTTACCTTGAATCAACAGCTGTCGAATTGATAAGCCATTCATATAATAGTACTATCCGGCCTATATCGAGATATTGAGATATGGATTTGCTGACACCAAATTAGCCGACAATGACCCGTCCCACTACAGCTCTCAAGCTTCAATAGCTGTCCTATCCACCATCCATCAACCGCATCATATAATTGATCTTCAGAATCACCTTCACAATGAGGATCACAACTCTCCTCTCAACGATCTGCGCCGCTGCGCTCGTGGCAGCCGAGCAGCGCACCGCCCAAGTCTACATCCAGCCCATCCAACCCTCACCCTCAACCCCCCAACCCCTAGCTGAGATCGCCTACGACGCCGCCTCGCTCATCTCCACCGAGATCGTATCCTACGAAGCCCCCGTGCTTCCTGAGACAGCCTCGCTCGTGCGCGTCGGCATCTACGACCCCAAGTCTGCGCGCTGGATCGCCGGCACAACCGCTGCGTCGGCTGAGAACTTTGACCGTGGGTACGCGCCCACGATATTGCTGTCTGTGGATGAGAGCGGCGATGTGCACAGCGTGGCGCTCAAGGGCGTTAGAGTCGATGCTGGGCAGACGAGGGACTTTGGCCCTTCAGCGATTGTGATTGCGGACAAGAAGGGTAGTCAGCCTGAGCTGAACAAGCCGGTTGTGCTGTCACCTAACGGTCGCAAGGCTGAGGAAGAGGAGCCCAAGTCATTCTTGCAAAAGTAAGTCTTGTAAAAGAAAACACGACGATCCAGAAGTGGAATGCTAACGGTTGACTAGATATTGGTGGATGATTGGCATTGCGGTGGTCATGTCGCTGGCCGGAGGATCTGAGAAATAGAGCTTAGTTTATACACCTTGACGACCTCGACACATTCTCGCATTTCGATCGTTCTATTCACATGCCCATTTTCTATTTAGTTACGTGATGTGTATGGATAAAGAGTAGTTTATGTCCGTGGGAACCACCTCAACCATGCATCGTACTCATCTACTATCTGCCGTAAAGATTCTGGATCAATGATGCTGGATGGTAAATCGAGCTGAGCAACGGCATGGGCATAAGACTTGATTGTGTGAGGATCCAAAGTAGGCTTCTGCCGAAAACCGGGAATTCCTGTACCGCGATCCCAAGCCTGTAGAACTCCAACCTGAATGGGAAAGTTGAAAGTACCCTGCCACGTTACAAACGGTCCGGAGTCAGATGAACGGTAAACAAATGCGCACGCCTTAGCCGTGTGCCCGTACTATAGAGCAAAAAGCTTGAGCTTTGGCATAGCACAAGCAATCTGACCCGCCATGTATAGCAACATAGTGATTTGCTGGATCTGCCCTTCTTCAGTGAGTAATGGAGATGTAAGGGCTATTGATTCCAGATGATGCCAAGCCCATGATCGTTGGTAGGCTTGAATGAATTCCACCGCATCGATCAGATAGGAAATGTGAAGTTGTCTAAGACCAAGGCTCCGACGCGCGACTTGTTCCGCCAGATGTCTGTTAAAAAGGTAACTAGGCATTCCCGGCACTTGAGAGAGGAGTTGATCACAATCCTGGAAGAGTGATATATCTCTGAGTGTTTGTGGCAGTCCGATACGGAAAAGTGACTCGAGTTCTGTAGGGCACATGATAGATGTTAGCCAATCCACGGTGACACTTGATGGCACGAGACTTGACTGACCTTCTGCATAGTGCCTGTGTTCATTATGTAGCCAATGAACTTGCGATGACTCGTAGATGATGCTATTAAGCTGGGGAAGTCTCCTAAATAAGACCATCAAAGTATGAGCACAAAGTTGCCGACGGACTTGCCGACGCAATATAAGCTTGTCAACTACGACGACCTCTGGTAGCCCCAGGATAACAAATCCTAGTTCGAGTCGTCCAAACAATCGCGGCATACTGTAGCGCCATAGATGATCTCGATCATGAAAATATAAAGCTAGACGGTCCGTATCCTGTCCTCTTGCGCTGGGCCTAGCCAACTCTAACTCACGAATTGTCTTATGTTCTTTACCGCCAAAGTTCAGGTGTCGAAAAGCATAGTGTGAGTCACTCGGTGATTGGAAGGTGAGCTCCAAGGTCAGTCGGCATAAATCTGGATCCCAAGAACTCAGAATAGAGAACAACATGAATAAGTCATGCGCTATGCAGCGGCCATTGAGTGACTTTGCTGTGGTATCCTCAAACGTCAAACTGAGAGCCTCGGTATATGTTGGAAGTTGAATGTGTAGCCAGATGTACTTGACTAACTCCTTTCGATGTGGGAAGACTTGTATCATTTCGGCGAATCTTGTTAGGTCTGCCTGTTGCAACTTGACTCGTCGGAAGATCGGTTCATCTATGATGGCAGCCTAGGCCCTGCATACTCCTATGTATGGTCGCAGACTATCAGGGTAACCGTTTCCAAGGAAGCTGAAAATGATGAGTAGGACGTTTCCCGGCAGGGTTCTCGTAGCGTAAGCTGTCATTGTAAGAAGAGTATGAACGTTGATGAACAAGAATGATTGATGATGTTTAAGTCAAGAGATACATATTCCATCTCGTACATGTTGTAAGAGATAGATATGTTTCTCAAAGGTTCCTGCCTACCTAAGGTAGGTAAGCAACCTAGGCACTTACTTTAGGTAGTATGCAGCAATGCGGTATGGCAGGTGCGTTGACGATGAGGTTGCATAGGTAGTAGGTATACTGTAAAACTGTTCTATCGGTACCTACTAGACATCTGCAAACCAGATCTTTACTTGATATTGAACATCCTTGCGTACTGCCTTGGCGCTTTCAATGCAGCGAGGACCGAAGAAGAACAAGGTACTATCCTCAAAAGATATAGTCCCCGTGTTGGCTCATTCAGTAACAGTTCCCTACCTACCACTTACAGATGGAAAGAAACTACCTATACCAGGCTAGACAGCACGTGACTGTCGGCATATTCGTCACAGCGGAGAGGAAGGTACTAGTACTTGAGGTTAATGGACCTCACTCTTGACACACCCATGCAAACCCGTTGGTTGTTGGCTGCGATAACACTTCAAGACAATGGCCGGCCTGTCTTATCTCCCATCTCAGTTACCACCCCCGGGTGTTGCCATGCACTGGCAACCGACAGAACTTCATCCGTCCTTTCTCTCATCTTAACATCCTCGAACCTCCATGACTCCTGTTGAGCAAAAATGTCACAATGTCACGAAAATGGAGCATGAGAACCCTGTTAGTGAAAGGACAGCCCTCCTTTCACCGCAGTCCGAACCACCAGACGACGAGGTCGGGCCAATTACTTTCACGCACCACAGTCGTTGTTCGTGGCCGTGGATATACGTCGTGCTCCTCTGCATCGTCCTCGCCGTCGTTTCAGATGTTGGCGATTCCCTCCACACCGCGCCAAGAGTCCGGCTTTTTGAATCCGTCGCCTGTATCCGCTACTATATTCGGCACGATACGTCATCAGTGGATCCTGATGGGTCTGTCGGATATCGACACTGCTCTTTGTAAGTATTACAAAAGCACTATCCCCACCACAGTAGTGTTGACAATACTATCACATATTGGGGTACTTTACTTACCCTTGAACGTAGTTTGGCTTTCTTCGGTCTTTTTTTTTATCATCGGTAGCAGTCCAACGACAGACACAACCTTACTCCCGACTGTTATTGCTGATGTTGTACCTCAAGAGGTCAGGTTCGTTGGATTCCATCCTGGCAGTCTCCAGTAACATCCCTGGCAGATTGCCATCTTTACAGAGGCACGGTGTTCTTTTATCACTTCTGTACCGACCTTATTGAGGAACTCATCGTGCCTCCATTTACCTCAATGCTGATGCACAAAAACAGACGGATCCCTCTCCTGCTGCCTGTGGCTTTCCGAGGACTCAGTGTCATCCTAGCACTCAGCTTGCCTGGAATATTACCTGCAGTTGATCTTTAGAGGTCTGGTGAAGACACCAACGAACTCTCTTCAATAGCCACGAGCTTCGGACAAGAGGCACTATCCAAGAGTGATGACAGGCGGGGAAGCTGGTTTACTCGAGACAAACACTTGTTTAACTTCGTCATAAGGACAAAGTCGTGTCCACCTTAGTCGTGACTTTTCTCATTTCCAAAGTCGGACACCAATCTACTAATATATTTTTCCAATACGTTTCGAAACGATGTGGATGGACCCTAGGTCATGTAAGTTGATACTCTCTGTGCCTCAGTGTGGTTGTGGACGTGTTTCGACATATCTCAATGCCTGGGCAGGATTTATCATATCACTACGGGTTGGCGTAAATATTTCCCTGTTCGCAGCCATATTGCCTTTCGTTACAACGTATGCACTTGCAAGATGGAGCGCAGCCTCTCGCGACTCATAGATAGGCAAAACAAGCTTTATCCTCCTGTTGCTGGGCAGTTTCGTACTGTTCTTTTCAGAAACGACAATGGGCATGATCATCAATAAGCAAAAGAAGTTAACGAAACATACCCCGTAGAAAGCTGAGCATGAGTTCAGGACTCGTCATATCCACACCGACCATGCGTAGTCTGATGACTAGTCTTGTCGAGTCTCGGCATCCAAACGCAACAAGCGATATTGGGCAGCTCTATGCGCTCATTTCTGTTGCAGAATAAATTAGAACCCTACTGGCAGGTCAAGGAATGGCTTTAGCCTTCCGAGTAGGCATGAGCTGGGGCAAAGTCTGGCTCGGGCTGCCCTTCGGATTTTCTGATTTGCTCCTTGTATTGGTCTCGATCATCGTGTTTAGCGTGGAGCTTTAGATGGCAAGATCGTGTGACTGTTTGACTGAGATGCCGGTAGGGCAGTCTGTAAATCGTAAGCCGTGCCTCCAGGTCATACAGTCAGCTGCTTGTATTATCATGCGCGATATGCGTGTTCGTTAATGCAGCAATATCCGCGCTTATGTCGGCTACGGTGCCAGGTTGTTATTGCGAGTGCGAAATGTACACCATGCTTGGAAGTCGACGTCTGAGCCACTGGATTACGCAAAAGCTCATTGAGCTGCTTGTCTTCCAGGGGAACCCCACCATACTAACCATCATTCTGGACCGTTGCAAAAGGGTACAGTCTTCGAATCCCGAAACATTCTTAATGCATAGTAATTGGCAACGGGCTAGGTAACCAAGTTTTCTTCCCCTGTCTGAGCAGAATCATGTTGACCGCATAGGGGGTATTGCAGATGGGAGCCGAGTATCCTGTCAGAGCTAAGCATAGATATATCATGACGGAAACAGCTTTTCAAGTTGTCTTTATCAGGTCCGGGGCTTATAACTTCGAGATATCACATTCCTTTAAAGGCCGGCCGTGAGAGGTCATGACAGGTTCTGAGCAACAAGATGGGGATGCCCAGACCAGCTTTGCGTGATCTGTCAAATTTCGGCTGGAGTATCAAGATAGCAGGGGAAGATATTGCTGCCACTGCACTCCAGTATGAGTAACCCATAAGATTCATCACGGCTAGCGTTGCTGGTTTAATTTATGTTATCTATATATCAGCTGGTGAACGATGCTCTCTCGGTGGGTGATGTTATTCAATTGACACCATATCCTAGGTAGGTTTGAGGGATGGAAGATGATCGGAGAACAAGATACAGGCTTCTTGAGTGAACTACGGTTTACTTGGCTTATCCAGCTCATGACGGCGAGATTATACATATGATACCTGGATTCAAAACGTCAGTGTCCGAGACAACATCACAATACTTGTGGGTGGCCACTCATCCGGCGATCTCATTCCGATGTTATACACGCCTGCGCTCTATTGCTGGACTTGAGAGTCCTGTCACATGGTGATATGATATAAATTGATAAGAGAGATATCGCCATGTTAAGGGGCGCAAGAGTAACGCA